ACTGCAGTGCACTAGGGAAGGATGGTCTTCTTAATAAACTATGTGGTGTCATTTGGATATCATATATTTCCGTGGGGAAGGATCTTGGCCTCTATCTCACACCATAAACAAAAATCAATTTAAGATGGATTACAGATCTAAATGTGACAGATAAAACAAGAAAGCTTTCACAGGAAAACACCTTCATGAACTTCATGTTATGGTGCAATGAACCAAGAGCATCAATTGGGCTACATTAAAATGAAAACTTATCAAAAGACACCACTGAGAGTGAAGAGGCAAACACAAGAACGTAAAAGAAAATCAGCCATACATATATGCACTCAACACCCACCAGACAGCGAGAATAAAAGAACTGATGAGACCATGCACCAAAGAACTACTGATTGCTCACACACTGCAGGTGGTACAAACTGGTACCAACACCACTCAGGGCAGTGTGTACTGAGGCTGATCAAATGCATACCACTGCTTGTCACTCCTCTGAACACACCTAATAGGAATGTATACAGATCTGTACCCAAAAACAAGCAAGGATATCCAGGGCAGCCTTTACAAAAACTAGAAACAACCCAGTTACCCACAAACAGTAGAAAGAGTAAGTTATGACAGCCCTGGCTGGTGTGGCTCAGTTGGTTAAAGCTGAATCCCATGCACTGGAAGATCATGCCTAACAATCGATGTATCTCTCTCACATCAATGTTTCTCTCTCCCTTCATCCCTCTCTAATGGTGTATTCATTCATATATTGGGTTACTAGACAGCAGATGAGAATAAACAAAGCTACGTAAGACAACGTGGATGGATCTCACATACAATGTTGAATGAAAGAATCAAGAAACAAAATATACCTATTACTTTACTGCATTTATATAAAGTCAAGAACATGCCAAAGCAATCATCACCAAAAGTCAAAAGCGGGCAGGCTGGTGTGGCTCAATGGTTGAACATCAACCTATGACCAGGAGGTAACGATTCGATTCCTGGTGAGGCCATATGCCCTGGTTGCAGGCTCCATCCCATGTGGATTGTGCAGGAGGCAGCAGATCAATGACTCTCTCAGATCATTGATGTTTCTATTTCTCTTTCCCCTTTCCTCTCTAAAATCAATAAAAATATTTAAAAAAAGAAAAAAGTCAAGACCGTAATTTTCTACTGATATTTGTTTTATATATTGGGATTCTGAATACAAGTTTTCTTGAAGAAAGAGTTCTTATGGTTAAAAAAAAAAATTGAAAACCACTGGAACAAATAAAATGAAAAATCCTTCCAAAAAATGGAGGGGTGGGGGATAGTTAGCTTTGGGGGACAATTTCTGGGAGCAGGGAGGAGGGGCTTCTGGGAACGTGGTAATGTTCTGTTTCTTGATCTAGTGGTGGTTACAAGAGTGTGTTCACTTTGTGAAGAATTCAGAGATGTACACTTATGACATGTGAGTTTTCCTGGTGTATGTTATATTCAGATTTTGAAGTATATACTTGCCTACATAATGTGCCAGGAGAACAAATGTACTTATCTGATTCATATGCCTCCGATCTGGCTACACTGTTAACCACCAAACAGGAGATAAATGCCAAGAAAGGAAAGTATCCAAAGCACATTTACATGATGGTTCCTGTGTTTCTGAAATGCTGGCCCCGGGCGCTTAGGTGTTGAGGTGACTGTGCGACACCATCTCTACCTAATGAGGCATTTCCAGGTTACCACACTGAGCAGCAGCTAGAAACAAACCATTGAGCAATGGTCTCACCCCACTGGTGTGACAACCCCCTGTACTGCACAAACTCCGGTCCCTTCCCTGTTGTGTCCTTGTGCTCCATTAAAAAAAACCTAGCTCACCAAATATGTAAGTATTTGACATACACCTCAAATTACATTAAAACAATCACACACACAAAACAACACAACTGAAAATATTCACAAATACACTAAAATCTGGCAAGAGATAACACGACCAATCCTTTTAAGCTTCGGGTAATAAAATCTGACCTAAATAAAATTGGTAATTTAGAGGACTGGAATGAGAAAAAAACTTAATGATTCTCTAATCCAAAAAGGAAATATTATAGCACTAACATTAAATTATTGCTGCTGAAAAAGAAATCCAAATGTTAGACTTATCAATCTTTCAGGGCAGCTGACTAAAGCCAAGAAAGGCATTAAGGCCAGTAATTATTCATTCACTAATTCAGCACTGCAGGCCCACCACGAGAGCATGTGTGTGCCTATTCAGGGCTGCCTGAGAGCACCATCAAGGCAGCTCTTATGAATAAGTAAAACGGCACCTAGACAGCTCTCACACACCCCAGTCACTTTCCTCTCTCCCACCACGCTGTGCCTTTTACCTTACATTCCCGTTGCCATTTTCTCCCTTCACCTATCATTAAACCCTCATTCAGCTCCGTAATAAACGGGTTTGAAACGCTGGTCCAAACGTAACATACTTAAATGAACAACTGCAGCTTTGGAATTCCCATGTGCCAAGGAGAAGGTTCCAAAGGAATCAGTCCAGCCTTCTATTTCCTAGAACAAGTTTCATCTACAACAGGCAGGTGTCCTGATAAACGTGGACTGGACAAGCATTTTCCTGCGAAACCAAACCTATTTGTCCACTCATTTTGCTACAAATCCACAGGAAATACCCATTTAACAAGAAATGGCTGAAGGCGAGTGATCAAAAGGCACCACATAGCTTGACTGTTCCAAGGTCCTTTTTCAAACACTTTGGGAGCGCCACCCCAAATCCAGTTCCTCCTGCCGCCCCGAAGGAAGGAACGAGAGTAACGAGGGGTTTTCACAGGACTGCAGAGGGGCAGAACCTTTTTCCCTGAGAAGTTTAATCCTCAGGACCATGCTCTATAGCTCTTACAAACACCAGAACCCCATCAGCTCACAAATGGTTAGGCTTAGTACGCATCTAAAAATACCGACACCAGCAGGATGACCTCACAGAGGTGACACCACTTAGGAGACACCGATCTGTAAAGCTGCGGGGAGGGAAGAGCATCCGTACCTGCGGAAGTGCGGTGTTGAGCTGCCTCTGCAAGGAATCTCTTTCATGGCCAACCTCGTGCAATTTCCCCTGAGTGAGCGCCAGTGTCTCCTGAGTCTCTCTCAGCGTCTCCAGAAGGCGGTCCTTCTCCTCCAGCATGGACACCATCAACTGTTCAAAATGCGAATCCGCATCTGGCTGCGAAGGCGAGCCGGACCCATGGCTCCCACTTCCTCCCGGGGGGCCTTCTGCTTCACTGATGGTTGGCATCACCTCGCACATCATCTTGAAAGAAAAGACCCAGAATACATACAGTCAGTAAGTGCAAAGTATGGCCTCTGACAGAGCCGCGACTTTATAGCTACCTGTCGTTAATAAATGAAAGGCCGACAGCCTTATTCTCGGATCTGATTGTTAAGCTCTGAGCATGACAAACTGGGAAAGCACACACATGCAAACCACAAGATGAAGAATACATTAACAGACAAGGATCCATAAAGGACATAAAGAGCAGACCCTTGGTATTTTATTTGCCAAGCTGTCTTTTCTAGATGTTGAAAACACGTGTGCTTCTGTAACCTGTTTTTTTTTTTTTTTTTTTTTTCTTCTTTCCTATTTCCCGGTAGGGGAAAGAGAGTCGAAACACACGCCACCCAATCAGTCTGCAGAAAAAGCCCAGGAGCACACACAGCCAGTAAAACGGACAAGTACAAATCCACCAGGCATCTTACAGGAATGTGTGCAGTCAGCTCCTGGGAAAGGACTGACTGCTCCCTTGAATTCTTGGGCTGGATTTGGGGGGCACTAAAAGGCCTGGATTCCTTAGGGGCTGGGAGACATGTTTTTCAATGGCTGCAATGGTGGTTGTGGTCCGACAATCTAACTTACGTAAGGTACCAGACCAAAAAAAAAAAAAAAAATTCCACAATGGAAATATAGCAGGTCAATACAGCCGTGACGGCTAGGAAAGAAAAGTGAAAGGTGAGATTATGAGAGGCTATTAAGTGTCTCAAATATAACGAGGGGCACAGGGATAGGAGGGCCGGTGCCCGAAGCTGCGGGCGGTATTCCCGGCTCCGCAGACCCCCGAGAGGGAGATGCCCTAGACCACGCACCGGACGGTCTCACGACCTCTCCACGTTCACACTCGTACCAGGTGCTGCGGATCCCCGGGCCCCGGGGTGCCGAGAACCGTTTACAACGGGGAGCTCGGCCCGAATCGGGGTTTCTCGAGGCCACAGGTGTTTGCCTTTCGCACTCGGGGCTGGGATCACCGGGGCGCCGGGGGCAGGGGAGGGGGCGGCGCGCCGGGCCCAGAGCTCGTCCCTCGGGGCGCGGCCGGGGAACGCCTCCTCCCGGGGTCCCGCCGGGGTGCCAGCGGCGCCCGAAGGGCTCTCCCACCGACCCCGCGCCGCGGGCCCCACCCCCAGTCCCCGCCCCGCGCCCCCCGGAGCGCGCCCGACCCGCGGGACTGACGTTAATCGGCGGCGGAGCCGTCCCCGGGGAGGCGCTGGCTCCCGGGACCCCGCTCCGCCCGAGCCTGCCTCAGTCTCCCGCTCCCTTACCTTGCTCGCCGGCGGGAGCAGGCGAGGAGGCTCCGCGGCGGTTCCCGGGCGGCCGCTCGCTCCGGGCGAGCTCGGGGCCCGACGAAGGCAGCCCGCGCCCGCGCGCGCGCCCCGCGCCCGCCGCCCCGGGCCCGCCGCCCCCAGTCACTAAGGCCGGCCCGCGGCCGGACACTGGCGGAGCACGGGAGGAGCGGGCCCGGCTGCGCGTCGCCGGCGTCAACGTGCCCGACGTCGGGCGCGTCGGCGTAGCGTCAGCGCCGAGCGCCGCCGGACCGGTCCGCCCCGCCCCGGGGAGGGGCGTTGAGCGAGAGCCGTGGCGGCCGAGAGCGCAAGCACCGCCTCCTCAGGTGGGGCGGTCTGCGCCTCCCGGGCGCCGATTGGACGAGCGCTGCCGGAGCCCCGCCCCCACTGGCCCCGCCCAGGTCGGGGTCCCCTCCCCGGAGTCGTGGCTCGGGACTCGGGTCTTGACAGCATCTGGCACCTCCCGGCTGCCCCCAAATCATTTCATGAGAATCGGTAAGGACTCCGAAGCCATTACCGAGCGTCTACTCTGCGTCAGGCTCTGAGCCAGACACTCCCCGACGTCACGTCTCCACACCTGGCTGGAGAGAGAGAGAGCGCGGGCGGAAGTCACCTGCTGGCAGGTCCGAGCCGGTGGCGTCGCTTCCGGAGCCTGCGCGGAACCCATCCTTACCGGACCCCGAAGGACGCGGGTTCCACGCAAGACCCCTTGACCTGGCTTTACCTGCTGTGGTCGGAGAGGCAGAGATGGGCAGCGTTGGAAGTCGAGTGGTGGATCCAGGCGCTGTGTGGCGAATGCAGGCTTTGGAGCCAGGCGCACCTGGTTGGGCTCCCGCAGATTCTTGGGGCGGTGTGCGCTTCTCGCAGTGCGCGCCCCAGTCTGACTCAGGAGAACCTGTCTGGGATTCAGAGGCTTATCTCTAGGATTGGAAGAGGATCCAGAACCACCCCAGGGCTTTCCTAATAAGCAGAACATCTGCAAAGAGCAGCCCGATGAGAACCTGGCTGGGAGGCATTCTGCAAATGATGGTCATTTTTATCCTTATTCATGTTCCTATTTCAGCCTCACTCAAACCTTTTTAAACACCAGCTCTGTGCCAAGTCATGTGCTAGATCCTGGGAAGCAGGTATTGATAAGTACACCTTTAATACATGAAAGCAGATGCTCCCCCTCAGGGTTTGACTCCTGGAGCACAAACTTTAAACAAACCAGAATGTCAGGGCATGTTGCCAGGCGCCACTGGCCACTGTCTGTCTATTTCTGACGAGGCAGCTAGGAGTTCCTGAATTACCCAAGCCTAAATAAAGGTAATATAGGGTGGGAGGGCAGTGAACCCTACCCAGGCTGATTCCTTGACTCCCCCAGATTGCTACCTCAGATTGGCTTTCTTAACTCCCAGAGTCCAGGACTCACACCTCTTTTTCCTTCATGTATTCATTCATTCAATAAATATTTACTGAGTGACTGCATATAAACATGAATTTCCACACCTAACCCAGGGTCTGGAACAGAGGAAAGTCCCCAGCTCTTCTTACACGTACCAGCTTAACTCATCCAGCCCAAATTTGCACCATGCTCATAAAGTACCTGTCTCCTAAGAAATCAGGAAAAAATACATACCTGGCAGGAGAGAGAGCATGATCAGAAAGGTGGTTTTCCCACAGTGAGGCTTGTCCATTGTACTCCAGATGTGCTGACCCCTGACTCCTGTGATTTCCCCAAATGTAGGAAGCTTGACTGCATAACTTGTGGTAGTGGGGGCAGGACTGCAAACGCGTTCTCCTCTAGTTGGGGGGGGGGGGGGGAGAGAAATTGGGAAGATACCCAAGTTTAGTTCAATGGGATGGAATGTTCATTTTATGAATTTTTTTAGAGCCCTATGTGTCAGGTGTGGCCTAGGTTTGGGGAAATCAGAGCTAAGACATCACTTCCCCTCAGTTTACAGCCTGGAGTGGCGAGGAAAAACAGAGTATTGCAATGTCTGTCTTATAATCAACGTGTGACTGGTGAGAGGGACCACAGAAGGAGGATCCAACTCTCCAGTTGGCATCATGGGGGCTTCACAGAGGAGATCTGAGCTGGGTCCCAAAGGATGAGCAGTTTTCCAAGCAGAGAAGGGAGAAACCTATTTGGTATAGCTCCAGTAAAGTGAGATGCCAGCTTTCACTCATTTTCTTCCATTCATTCATTCATTCATTCATTCATCCCATTCCCCCAGATTGCAAATTCGGTAAGAGAAAGCTGTAAACAAGCTAAATGGCCAACAAAAAGAGATTGGTTAAATCATTTTCTTTCCAAATGACAGAAAGTGTGATGACATTCTCAGTCATGTTTTGATAACTATCTAATCACAGGCAAAATTCTATATCTTGTTTGTGGTGGTAGTTACAGGACTATACACGTTTGTCAAAACTCACACAACTGTACACTAATATGTAAAGTATGCCCTAATTTTTGAAAGTGGGGAAAACCTTTTTTAAAAAGCAAGTTATAAACAAGTATATACAGAGTGAGTCCAAATTCAAAAAAGAAAGCAGGTGGTGTTTAGATGAAGCATGTATGATATAAACTTGATGTCTCACACAAAAAGCTCTAGAATGTTATTAATCAAGTGATAGAATTGTGATAAAATGGGTTTGTTTTTTAAAAGATATACTTTTATTTATTTCAGAGAGAAAGGGAGAGAGAAACATCAATGATGAGAATCATCAATCAGCTGCTTCCTACACGCCATCTAGTGGGGATTGAGCCTGCCACCAAGGACATGTGCCCAGATTGGGAATTGAACCATGACCTCCTGGTTCAACCACCAAGCCACACCAGCTGGGCAACAAAGTAAGTTTTATGTGAAATTAAATGAAATTTTAAGCCTCAAATTTGTAAAAGAAAAACATACACATCCATACATGAGAATATTAGTGTTGTACATTTCTCTATATAAGCATATGTTTTCCTGCAGAGGGACACATCAGAATGTTGGCAGTGGTGGTCTGAGTGGGGCATGGGTAGTTTTCATGTCTTTCTTTGTGCTAGTCTGTACTTCCTAGATACTTTATGGAGAATGTGCACTACTTTTATCATGGGGGAGGGGGAGGGCACAAATCTTATTTTAATAAAATCTAGGCAAGAATGAACCATGGAGAATAGCTCAGGAAGCTAAAATGACTTTTAGATGCAGTTATCTGTACCATCCAACTAAACTGTTTCCCAGAAGGATTCATCTGAACGACATTGTAGAGATTGGGTGGCATCCTTGTAAGCCTCAGTCAGGAAAACAATGAACATGGGAAATGCTTTGGCTCCAATTCTTCTAAAGTTCTGATAAAGAAAATAAGGTTTTATGGCTGGGGAGGGGGTACACAGTTTATTACCATGCCTAGGGTTGTGTCTTCACAAATGTGCCACCAGCCTCGGCGCCGGATAATGTAGTTGGTTGTCAACCTTGAGCATGACCCAAGCCGCCTCTCCTTTCTAGACATGCAAGCAACCCAAGGAATCCTGTGAGGTCGGAGTATCACAGAGATCTGGGTGTGTCTCATACCCCCAAGAACATGTACGAACCTAATGAATGGTGGTGTGACAAGCAGCCAGAAGGTCTGGCTGGAAGAGCTGCGTGGGTGGATGGTGGGACACGGGACCCTCCTTTTTTCCCCCCTGGCACCCACCCGGGTTGGGGCAGAAATAGGACTGGAGCTTCGAGTGAATGGAGGCTATTGGTTCCCGAGTCCACCCTGCTTGGATTTTCCATGTACCCCTGTCAAGGTGGGAGGTCAGTCAACGAGGAGACAGGGAAAGAAAACAGGTGCTTTGCTTGTTCATCTCATTTAATTCTTAAAGTCACTCCCCAGATGGGTTCCTTTATCTTTCCATTTTGCAGATGAGGAAACTGAGGTCCAAGTGGCTGATAAGCAGGGAGATCGATCATCAGGCCAATTGTTCCAGGGTCCATAGAAGTTCGATTTCTCGTGGTCAACCAATTAACTGACATTTTAACCCATCCATGAGCCAGCCTGTTGGTGGGAGCTTGGTTGGTGTGTGTCAGTCCCTAAGAGCAGGAAGGAGAAAATTGCAGAGCATTTTACAGAAAACCCTTTACCCCTGTAACGTCACTCAATCCCACATCCTTTGACAGGAGCCGCTGAGAGATTACATAGCCTGCCTGACGCCCATGAGTTGGTCAAAGCTCTGCCTGGAATGCAGGAATGGCTCCGGAGCCAGTGTTCCTGATGCTACATCAAAAGGTGTCTCCTGACCCCACAGCTGGGGACAAAACCCCTTGACCCGTGCAGGCCCACCATGGTACCGTCACCAATGCCCACTGAGGGTCTACATTGCCTCCCAGCTGCCCAGCCTAAAATGCTCTTCATTGTCCCAGCAAATTCCAGGCAAGAGAGTCCCAGCTCTGGGAGTACCTCACAGCTTCCCACACAGGGGTAAAGATTTCTGGCCCCTTCGCCTATATAATTAGGTTTTAAAATCAGGTCATAAGCTGCCTGCAACTTGATTTTCTGGATTTCATTGAGTTCATCAGATAGTGCCATCTAACAAAAATACCCAGCAATTACAGGGAGACGAGCCCATGGGCAGTTCAAACTGTCTGAGAGCTGGGGGTTCTTCCCTTAAGACCTTGGCCCAGGTATGTAACCCATACTAAGCCTCAATCTCACCTGTCGGATGGGGAGAATACAGACTGACTTGCAAGCTAGAGTAACCGCCCTCCTTGTCCAGTCACCATTTCCCTCTTTGAAAGTCACTTTCACACAGTGGTTACTAGCATAGACTCTGGAGCTGGGTGGCCTGGTTCAAGTGTTGGCTCTGCTTCTTTTGGCCACGGCTGTGCACTCTTAGGCAAGTTGGCTGACCTCTCTGGGTCTCAGCTTCTTCATTCCTAAAGCAAGGATCCTACCTAGGCTGGCTGTGAGGGCTAAGTGAGTGGAGAAGGGCTCCCAGGTAAGAGCCTTATTATCACCATCTCCTCTCCCCTGCCAGAGAATCTGCATTGCTTCCTACCTCTTTGCTCTGGATTACTTTCCTACTTCTGAGCATCTGAGAGAAGCTGAGAGGGCGGGGCCTGTTCTCATCACTGCCATCCAACGGGCCTGGCAGGTCTTCTGAAGTTTTCCTCTGGGATAAGGTAGAACAGCCTGGGGAAAAGCACAGTGGCTCTGCCTTTTTCTTCCTATTTGTGACCATCCCTCGAGAATGTGTGGCTAGGAACTAAGACAGTCGTCTGATGCCACAGGGAGAGACACTGCCCATCCTATTTCCAGGCAGAATTCCAGCCCCCCGCCACCCCATTTCCCAAGAAAGTTTTGTTTTTCCCATTCCCAAGAGCACAGAAAATCAGTCAAGAAATTGAGAAAAAGGGAAAAGTATTATAATTCTGTAATAATGAAAAATAAGCATAATGGTTAGACTTTTATACAATTTATTAGAGGCCTGGTGCACAAAAATTCATGCACTGTGTGTGTGTGTGTGTGTGTGAGTTCCCTCAGCCCATCCTGTACTCTCTTGCAGTCCAGGACACCTCAGGAGATGTCCAACTGATGGCTTAGGCTCACTCCCTGGGAGAATGGGCCTAAGCTGGCAGTCAGACATCCCTCTGGCAACCCAGGAGCCCTCTGGCAGCCCTTAAACCATTAGTCGGACATCCTTAAGCCAGTTTCTGGCTGAGCAGCATTCCCCTTGTGGGAACACACTGACCACCAAGGGACAGCTTCTACGTTGAGCATCTGCCCCCTGGTGGTCAGTGCACATCATAGCTACTGGTCATTCCTGGTTGTTAGGGTCAATTTGCCTATTACCCTTTTATATAGGATGAGATGATCCCCAATAAGTCTTGTACTCACGTGGCACCACCCATAGTTATTACAATATTATTGACTATATTCCCTGTGCTGTATTTTATATCCCTGTGACTGCTTTGTAACTATGTGGAATTATCTTTAAAATTTTAAGTGATTTTTTATTTGGCATTTACCTATTGTAATTCTCTGGAGAATTAAACTCACCAACCAACATGAAGAGGTTACTGGTTGGAAGGGACCCACTGACCAAGTCAAAAGCAACGGCAGGAAATGCTGTCACTTGGAGCTGCAGGATAAGGGTTAATTTCGGGAACTGGGACCAAAGCACGCGGAACAGAACCAGATGCAGTGGGACTAGTCTTGCTGTGGTTGTGGCTGTGGCTGTGGCTGCTCTCAGCCCTGCCTCTGCCAATGGTGAGTCTTCCCGGGCAAATAAAGGAAATATCAATGAGTGTATGCACACAGTTTACTTCATTTTGAGTGGTTTGCTCAGGAATAAGCTAGGTACTTACACTGGGTAGTTCCGTGTGGAGCTTTTAGGTTTGTCAATAGCTGTACATGTTCCATGATTAGAATTCCACTCCATCACACTTGCTGGCATTTCCAGTAAGTTACTTGTTTGCTTGTTTTAGATTCTCTCAACATTTTATTTTATTTTTTAAAATATATTTTATTGATTTTTCACAGAGAAGAAGGGAGAGGGACAGAGAGCTAGAAACATCGATGAGAGAGAAACATTGACTAGCTGCCTCCTGCACACTCCCCATTGGGTATGTGTCTGCAACTAGGGCACATGCCCTTGACTGGGATCGAACCTGGGACCCTTGAGTCTGCAGGCCAACGTCCTATTCACTAAGCCAAACCGGTCAGGGCAACATTTTTTTTTTTTTTTTTTTTAAGTTTTTGAAATACAAGTCAAAAGCACATTTTTTGTACGACAGCATGTTAACAAGCTTTACATTCTCTTCCCTATAGGATGACTGAATATGAGGTACTTTAAAACTTCCTTTTCAAAACAACACATTTCATGGAGGGAAATCCCTAGTTAGAAGAATGCATGGGTGCACAGGCTATCATATTTAATAATTTTAGTGCTTTATGAATGCCAAACTTGGAACAGCAGCCCCGCCTACGGAAAATTTGTTCTCTGAAGTATGTTAAGTATTCCTCCTATCACAAAAATAAATGAAATGCATTTGAAAAAATGGCAATTTGTGGTACAGGCCTCTGAGTGAGCTTGGAAAACGTGTTAGGATGTGCTTTGACCATACAGAAGGAACATTCTAGAATCCACCTAAAAACATCTGGCAGAACAGTTGGCCCGAGGCTCTTGGGGTTGTTCCGCCTCAGAGAGGGACATAGGGAGCTTGGAAGAGTGCCCAAGTCTTACAGTGTATAAATAAGTAGAACAACAAATTGATGTTCCTTTCTCAAAAAAAAAATCAATTAAAAATATATTTTAATCCCTTTCTCACATTAGCCAAAATCCTGTATGGACTACACAACACTGGCAGAACCCTCTCAGCAGTCACTCAATGCCTGGAAAGCAAACTGTAAGCTTAGAACAAGCATCTCAGCAGGAACAAGATTCAAAAGGTTTATAAAACGTTGGAGGTGAAAACCCCTTCATCCTTCATAGATGGTGTCTGTGCTCAAGCACTCTGTTTCCAGGACACGGCGGACAACCACGGAACATTCACAGCGAGAATGAATCCAAGCTGCCTGCCCTCAGCTTAGTGCTTAGGGCGTCAGCCGTGCCCCGAAGGGTCTCAGGTTCAATTCTTGATCAAGGGCACATACCTGGGTTGCAGGTAAGATCTCTGGCCTTGGTCAGGGCACATACCAGAGGATGTGTCTCTCACATCGGTGTTTCTCCCTTCTGCTTCCTTCCCTCCCTCCCTCCCTCTCTCCCACTCTCTCTAAAAATGAATGGAAAATATCCATGAATCATCTTCAGGTTACCCTGGCTGCCCCCAGCGCATTGCTACAGCCTCACAGGGTCCTTAGCATCTGGATCAGCCCCGCCCTCCGGTAAGGCAGCACAGTGAGGGGGAGCACAGCCAGTTTGATGGGCAGCATTCACCTGCGCACCTCTCCCCAGAGGGCTTTCACAATCTCATGATCCCGGCCAGCGGAAGCAGCCAAGTGAAGAGGAGACCGACCGGCATCACGCTCATCATGCATGGGCACCCCGAGGTGCAGCAAGAATGCAACGGTTTCTTGTGTTCGCTGAGCACGCCATGCAATGCAGTCCTGCTGTCCCCGCCAGTTCTAGTGGCTGGGATTTCTGCCTCAGCATCTCCTACGTCAACTCCTCCAGCTTTCTGCTACCAGCTAGGCCATGGACCACCCGCTTAGACACAGATCCCATTCCCTTTCCAGGATCCGTGGCAGCAGAGCCCTCCAGTGTACGAATGTTGACAGGGACTACGGGCTTTTAAAGTGTATTTTAAATTTTTTTTTTTTAGTTTAGAGAGAAACATTGATGTGTTGTTCTACTTATTTATACATTCACTGGTTGATTCTTGTATGTACCCAGACTGGGTCTTGAACTCGCAGCCTTTTTGGTGTATTCCTACTGCCCAACTCCTACTGGCATATTCCAAAAAACCTGACCAACACAAAAAGAAACTTTTTTGCCTCTAGAATATTTGTCATGAAACAAAAGATTGAGAGGATCAGATAGAGTAATTATCTTTTTAATATTTAAGAGTACTCCAATACAGTGTTCTCAATAACATTGAATAATTAGGGTGCAGGGAATTATTTTTTCTTTTTATTTCTGGCAACACTTATTTGCTCTGTGGCCCCGCCCCCGCCCCTGCTCCACCCCACCTCCAGCACACCTTGTCTTCAACCACTCATCTCATCTTCACACTCAACTGGTCAACCCAATCACTCTAAGCCACCGCCAGAGACTGGGTCAGGGCCGGGACATCTGGTCGACCCAGGTGCGGGGTATTCTGATTTCTCGTTGCCAAGCTTTAAAGATTAATATCTGTGAGGAACTTGGCTCCTGTGGCTGCTGACTGACTGAGGAAGAAGGTTATGCCGAGCAGCGGTGCCAGCCAGCACCCGCCCCCACACTGGGCTTACTAAGTGGGACCGTCAATGGGTGTTTTGTTCGAGTACCTTCAGTTGATCAATCTTGGCACCTGGGCCAGGGCAGTACCACCAGGAAGGTCTTTTTTCTCTCTTCCTGACATGACCTTAAAATCACTCCAACGTTCTTAGAGGATATGACAACTGTTAGGTGTTGGAATTTTCCGGCATGTATATGATGAACATTTTTACCCATTTTCATTCATTTACTCAGTGCACATTGTCACGTTGAGCCACTTTAAGCCAGGCACTGGGCCTGGCGCTCAAAAGACCTCCATCATTCGAGATGTGAGAGCGGGTTGTCCAGGCAGAGAAGCGGACGGAGAAGCTGAGATTTGCATCTGGTTTGGAAACAGCATGTTCTGAGGCTGGTGACGACTCTAGATAGGCTCCATCGACAGGACCCCCAGGTGGAGAAGCAGAGTTGGGGTTACAGTGGCCGTGAGCTCCTCCTGCCTGCTGCCCCTCTTGCCTGCTGCCCCTCCTGCCTGCTGCCCCTCCTGCCTGCTGCCCCTCCTGCTACCTGGGAAAGGAAGGGAGCTTCTGGGGAGGTGCAGAGGGAGGCTGGTGGCTGCACTCGGGGCCGGAGAACCGACGGAGCCACTTGAGCTGAGGTTTCTTACCGGCACTTGGCTCTTTGCCTTGGAGTGGCTGCTTGTCCATCCTCACTGCTAAGACCCCGTTAGTTGGAATGAAAGTTTCATCATTCTATGTTAAAAAAAAAAAAAAAAAAAAAAAAGGGAAAAAGCTGGAAGACTTTTATTTCTGGCATTGTACGTGGACGCCCGCACATGATATTTTGTGGAAGAGCCACACTCAAGGGGCCAAAGAGCCGCATGTGGCTCTTGAGCCGCAGTTTGCCAACCACTGCTCTGACCAACTGAGCTTCCTGGCCAGGGCCCGAGAGACTTGTTTTAAAAGTGAATCTGCCGAAACCGGTTTGGCTCAGTGGATGGAGCATCGGTCTGCGGACTGAAGGGTCCCAGGTTCGATTCCGGTCAAGGGCATGTACATTGGTTGTGGGCACATCCCCAGTAGGGGGTGTGCAAGAGGCAGCTGGTCGATGATTCTCTCTCATTGACGTTTCTGGCTCTCTATCCCTCTTCCTCTCTGTGAAAAATCAATAAAATATATATTTTTTTAAAAAGTGAATTTGAAAACACTTGAGCTGGGAGTCAATTCTGAAATCTCCGTTTTTAAGTTCTATTTCCCAAAGCCATGCCTGCAGGCTACCTAGAGTCGTTCCTCCTCCCTTGGTAGGGCTGTCAGTTGGTGACAACCATTTTTGTGTGCAGTGGGCAGCAGATGCCCTATCCTGGCCACTTGTCTTCCTCTGACTGCGCAATTCCTCTGTGTTCAGGGAGGAACCAGGAACTGGTGGTTTTCTTGTGCTTTATAGACGTCACACAGTGGATGCTGGGGATAGGCCACTCATGAGGTGCGTAGGACACAGTAGTGGGGTGGGATCAAATATGAAAAAAAATGTCCTTGCATAGGAGCGTTCATATCTCCCACTGCCATTCCACACGGCACAGCCTGCCGCCCCATCCACCCTCCAGAGGTTATTTTTCCACTGATTATTTTTAGAGAGAGTGGAAGAGAGAGGGAACGCAGAAAGAAATGTCAATGTGATATCTCAGGGCCCAGGCTGCGGAGGAGACTGCAACCGAGGTAAGTCCTCTCCACCAGAATCGAACTCGGGAGCCTTCGGTCCGAAGGCTGACGCTCTATCCACTGAGCCAAACCGGCGAGGGCCCCACCCACCCTCCTCATTGCCACGGGCTCCCCACTGCCCACTGCCTGGCACCCGCTCTTGCCACACCTTCTCCCGCCCCCGGAGCACGAATGCCGGCTCCCAGCTTGGCGGGGACTGATGGGAACGTTGTCCATGTTCCCTGCGGCCCAGCCTTCTCAGAACCAGCTGGCCGTGACTCAGAGGGAAGAAGGAGAACTGAGGCCAGCTTCGCGGGCAGCAGGGTGGGGGTGGGGGTGGGTGTTTAAAAGCTGGGAAATATTGCACTGTGAGTGACGCTTGCTTCCCTTGAGCCAGGCAGGTGGCAGCAGCCTGGATGGCTCGATGAAGCCAAGAGGCCAAGGCAGGGCCAGGGAGTGGCGTGGAGTATCCATCTGCTCAGACCGCTGTCACTCAGTCCCACAGCTGGCAGCTTACACCAGACATTTTTTTTCCTTTTCTTTTTTTAAATATATATTTTATTGAGTTTTTACAGAGAGAAAGGGAGAGGGATAGAGAGTTAGAAACATCGATGAGAGAAACGTCGACCAGCTGCCTCCTGCACACCCCCTAATGGGGATGAGCCCGCAACCAATGTACATGCCCTTGACCGGAATCGAACCTGGGACCCTTCAGTCTGCAGACCGATGCTCTACTTAGCCACACCGGTTTTGGCTTAAACCAGACATTTACTGGCCCTGGAGGAGTTCCCAGCCCCGTAAGGTCACGCCAAGCAACCAGCCAACACCGAGCTAGTGGGGTTCCGACCAGAACACAGAAGAAACCCCTGGTTGTGGCAGGAAGTGCTTCTGCAACTGAACGGATCCGGAAACAGAGCCACACAGGCCGAGTCCGGGCCCTGGGGTGGCGCAGGCCAGGAGCCGCACGGGGAGCCTCAGAGCTCAGTCCCCAGCGCTTCAGCATTGGGCCTTTCTATCTCAGGCAGACAGAGAATGTGCCCCATCTCTCTGAGGGGATCCCGGAGTTTCCGCCCTGGGAAGTTGGGGTGTGGATCCCCTGCACTGCGGACCAGCCCTTCCCCAGGTCTGCACGTGGCGCAGGTCCCAGCGGGTGTGGCGGGAGGGGCCAGGGAGCAGTCTGTCCCTGGTGCTCTGTCCAGATCTCCCTCACGGAGCAGGGGCTCGGTCATCACCACAGAGCCTCCGCGCCGGCACAGGCAAGGTGGCAGGCCGGGACCGCGCCGTGTTGGCACAATGCTCTCAGCTGCCATAGGAAAGGCCCCGCCTCGCCAGTCCCCTTGGAGGATTCCCTCCTCCTAGCCAAGCAGGCACCTCCCTGCGCCAGCCCACCCCGCAGGCTCTGGACCAGGCCGGGAGGGTCCCGGTCTCCCTGGCCGGACCTCCTCCTTGCGGCCCACCGTGATCTCGGGAGGCTGACAGGAAAGAAGAAACAGGACGGGCAGGATCCCGGGAGGCGATAAGCCTTCAACAAGTAATTACTTGCCGTTCTTTAATCACGAGGTGAGCCGTGTCCCAGAGGAAGGGCGGGCGAGGAGAGCCTGGCCAAGGCCAAGGGCAGGTGCTGGACGAGGCTGACCTGGCGGAGGGGCGGTGGCCCATGGCGGGTCTGGGTGGCAGGTGCTTGGCCACATGCTAACACACCTGTGCAGGCTCCTGAGGAAGCTTCTGGCAGCCACACGAGACCCCTTCTCCCCCATCACACTGAGCAGCGGGGAGAGGCCATGACAGAAGCATCCCCATCCTGTAGGGGCCTACACTTTTTTTTTAAGCTCCTAGTTCATTAATGCGGTCACCTTAGGTAAGATGAAGTCACTGTGGCTTGGAGTGTTAATCTGCTCAGCACTTCAGCGTGGCCCCCTACCCTTCATCTGCTGCCCCGACACCAGCCTTTGCAGGCCTAACTCCTGTGTCCCGTTCTCTGTGCTCTTAAAAAATATATATATTATTGATTTTTTACAGAGAGAAAGGGAGAGGGATAGTTAGAAACATTGATGAGAGAGAAACATCGATCAGCTGCCTCCTGCACACCTCCAAAACTCTCTGAGCCTCACTGGTCACACAGGGGTAGGTCACAGTGCCATCTTATAGAAGGGGATAGCTGGCAGTGCCTGGCTGAGGTGGGCATGCCTTGTCAGTCTTCAGAGTGGGACCCCAGCAGGGAGAGTGGCATTTAGACCCGTAGCTGGTTTCTGTGGCCACTCACATCCTTTCAATAAGAGAGAAAAGATTGGCTTCTTTGGTCATTCAAGTTAACCTTTCTACAATGTCACTGACTCCTGGCAAACACCCACATCCGGAGGGCCAGCCGCACTGCGTTTGCCCAAAGCCCATAATCTCACTGCATACTGTCTGCACCCCTGCAGGCGGCAGAGACTCCTGCTCACCACGGTGGTGACTCTGGACGGGAAGGTGAGGGAGCTGTGCACAGGACCCTGCTTCCTCATTGTGCTTCCTGGGTGGGTTCCTGGCCAGCCTCTGCAGGACGGGGAAGGCGGCAGGGGCGGGGAGGCTGTGGGACCTGTCCCTCAACCTCTGCAGGAGAGGCCCTGCCGCTGGGAAAGCCCGCCCACAGCTCACATTCTTCCCTGGTGGCGGACACACCTGGAGCAAAACCCACAGCTCACTCAGCTCCATGCCTCCTGGCCTCTGTGGCGGCCTCAGACCTGCCGAGCTGGTTCCTGCCCCAGGGCCGTTGCACTTGCTGCCCCGCCTGCCCAGAACTCTGCAGCCTGCCTCTTCATGGGGCTGACCTCGCTCAGTCACTGAGTTCTCACGCCATGACGTCACCTCTTCCCGGAGGCCGCCTGGCCAGGCTGGCCGCTCCTGCTCCCCCCGGTACGGGAGCTCCGTGCCCTGCTCCTCACCGGCCTCGGTTCCCGTGGGGCAGGGAGAAGCCAGGGGGCTCAGGCGGGAGGGCAGTAAGCGTGGCCCTGGGAGGGAAGTAGGCAGATGACCAGGCCCACTCTGGTTTCAGCTCCTTCAAGCCCACCGTGCTCTGGGAGGCCAGGGCCGATGACAGGGTGGGCGGGCTCCACCTCAGGCCCCGGGAGAGCCGGGCAGGCTTCCTGGAAGAAGCAACACTGAAGGAAGGACAGAGGGTGCGATTCTGTCGGGTGAGGAGAGTGAGGGAAGAAGGGCCAGGCAGAGAGATGAGGCCGGAAGTCCTCTCTGCCCTGGGCTCCCTCTTCCCAAAGATTGGTGGGGGTGGGAGCTCAGATTGGCTCTGCCTGAGAGAAGGAAAACTGCAAGAGGGAGAAGGGGGTTCCTCCCTACCAGCCCCTTCTCTGGGGCACCCCGAGGAAGCGGAGGGGGCCCCTATTCCCACAGCCCGCAGCAGGCTCCTCCCGCCCAGGGGTGGCAGCTCGGCCCTGGGGCCGTGTGGGAGAAGGAGGAACGCTGAGGCTCCCGCCCACGGGCCAAGCAGCAACCTGCTTGGGGATAACAAGCTCCAGCCACCGGTGAGAAAGGTAACAAAGGCCTCTAATAAAGACTGAGACAAACAAAACAAAGCAAAACAAAACAAACCAGACACCTCACCCTGGGCTGGTGAGCCGGGGTTTCCTCCAGGGCTTTCCCTGAGGTGGGGCTGACAACCGGACCAAAGTCTGGAGGCAGGGACTCCCCTGCTGGAGGAGACAGAGCCAGCGCAGCTGCCCTGCGGTCTGGACCTGCCCCTGCCCTTCCAACCCCGGCTGCTCAGGCCCCTGGCCCGTCCTGTCCTCTCCCAGGCCCAGGGAGCCCCCCACCCCCGAAAGCAGCCGACGACATTCCAGCACATTTGATGACGAGGGGCAGCAGTCGGACGCCCTGTCGGATACGAGGCGCCGTGTCTCCGTGGCCAGACCACCGGCGTCTTATTCGTGCTGCCTCGCGGTGGGGATGCAGAGTGAAGGGGGTCAGCAGTGAGGTGAACAGGTGCCCCTTTGCCAACGCTGGGGACCTGGGACAGGCCAAACACCCCACCCATGTGCACTGAGTGTCTGACACATGGGCGCTGTCCTGGGGGCTGGCAGTGTCACAGGGAACAAAATGAGGGGTGTGTCCCGAACCCCGAGGGGCTTCCGGTCCTATGGAGAGAGGGGACAGCACCCGAAAAGCCAACACCGGAAAGGCCCATGGGGGCCCTGGCCGGGATGCGAAGTTTATAAACCAAATCCCAGCAGCCTGGGTTTCCCCTAAGCAGCCCCAGAACCGCCTCTTCCCGAAGCCAGAGGCCAGCTCAGCTCCCCGTGTACTTGCTGTCACAGCACTTGACCCCGCTGACCCCACACCCTCTGCGTGCCCAGCGGTGACCACCCCCCCAGTTCCTTTTTAGGACTCCACTCCCCACTGTGACCCCTGAGGGCCCCCGCCCTCCTCTCCTCTGTCTGTACTTCCTGGGCAGGATCTTCCTCTCCTGAGGTCCCCATGACTGTCTAGAAGCTGGTGGCCCTGGACTGTGTTGAACGGGTTCCCCCCCAAATCCATGTCCACCTGGAACCTCAGCATGTGAGCATATTTGGAAGCAGGGTCTTTGCAGATGTAACGAGGTAAGTTAAGATGAGGCCACACCGGAGGAGGGCAGGCCCTAAATCCAATGACTCTTGTCCTTCTCAGAGGGCCCCAGGAGGACAAAGGAAGGAGCCACATGCAGAAGCAGAGACCAGCAGCAGCTCAGGACACCACTGGCTGCCGAAAACCGCCAGGAGCCGGGAGAGCCGGGAAGAGTTCTCCCCTGAACCTTTGAGAGAGCACGGCCCTGGGACACCCTGACTTAGGACTTCCGGTCTCCAGGGCTCTGAGAGCATAACTTCTGTTGTTTTAAGGCAGCCAGTGTGCAGTCATTTGTCATGGCCGCCCCAGGACACTCACCCAGCCCCCTGCCTGCATCCCATCACGCCTGTCTCCGGAAGCTCACACCTGATCCCCACCTGCCCGCCAGGTAACTCCTCTCCGAGCTCCGTACCCACTCCGGGAGCCCCCAGCTCGGGGATGCACCGCTGGCCGTACAGGCCAGAGCCCGCCCGTCACCCAGACCCCTCCCTGTCCCTCACCTGCCACCCAGTGACTCACCGCCCTGAACTGCCATGGAGACAAGCAGACGTAACCAAATGCCACTCTGCAAGCTTGATGGGACTTTCAAAACGAGCGGGGCCCAGCGATAGGCGGCGTTCCTGGAACCTGAATGCAGGCCAGCAGCACTGGCGCTCCCGCTGGCTTTGCGAGTGACACTGGTCTTGTGACGGAGGGCGGTGGTGGCGGCCTCGGGGACGAAGCGTCCTCGTGTCTGTGACTCACTTCCAGATGGCTCAGAAGAGGGACATCTACCTGTCCTGCTGCCCGTCTGGTGAGAGGAAACACAGGGGAAGCCTGTTAGGGATCCTTGAATCCAGGTGGACACAATGTTCATCGACCTTTCTTCAACCTCTGAGCAGGGTGAAGGCTTTTAAAAAAAACAGGCATTTTCCCCTTGCTGGTTTGGCTCAGAGGGTAGAGTGTCACCCAGCGGGCTGAAGGGTCCCAAGTTCGATTGTGGTCAAGGGCACATGCCAGGGTTGTGAGCTTGATCCCCAGGGTGGGGCGTGCAAGAGGTAACTGTTCAATGATTCTCTCTTATCATTGATGTTTCTCTCTCTCTCTCTCTCTCCCTCTCCCAATAAAGGTATTATTTAAAAAGAAATAGTGTCTTTTTTTTTTTTTTAAGTGGCCATACCATATGTTTATATAGCAAGGGCTGTTTAAAAAAATATATGTTTTTATTGATTTTTAAGAGAGATAGAAACATTGATGAAAGAGAAAACATCTATTGGCTGTCTCCTGCACACCCTCTACTGGGGATCGAGCTCGCAATCCAAGCATGTGTCCTGACCAGGACTTGAACCAGCGACCTCATGGTGCACAAGACGATGCCCAACCAACTGAGCCACACTGGCCAGGGCATGGTGAAGTCTTAATAATAAAAAGCTGTGGGTGGATTCTTTTGATCTCAGCCCATTCTCTGGACCCCAGGCCCCAGGCCCGTGCTCTGCCCTAGACTGCTACCACCCTGCACTCTTGCTGAGGTCATCTCTGCTCCAGCCTGCCCTGCACATCACAGCTCACCCCCACTGTCCATCCACTCCAACTCGTTCACATAGCAGCCAGACTTCTCCCCCAAACCAGACCCTTATCTTGCCCCACCTGTTTGAAGCCCACTAAGCCTGTGCTTGGGTCAAAGTTCAGACTCCTTCCTCGGCCTACAAGGTCCTCTCTTACCTCTCCAGGCCCATACTACACTTAACCCCAAGTTAAACCCCCCATATGCACTCCTCCCACTTCCCTTTTTACCCCGCCTCCCACCGTCACCTGGCTGCTCTACCTTCAGGTCTCTCTCGACTGAGATGCCTCTTTTCTGCAAGTCATGTGCCTGCACCATGTGCTCTACAGAGCACATTTACCCTAGATGTCCATTAAAGCTCAATGCTGTGCAGTCAACTCCTTCTGGTAGCGTCTGTCCCCCAAACTGACAGTTATCTCCGTGAGGGGGAGCGCTGGGAGATACTGTCCTTATCTCCTACCCACCTGGCAGAGGCCCTGGCACAGCATGGCATGCAATAGATGATGAGTGGGTGACTCTGTTGGGGCTGGATGTATGAATGGATGGATAAATGGATGGATGGATGAATGGGTGTGTGGATGGGTAGATAAATGGATGGATGGATGGATGGATGTGTAGAAGAATGGATGAATGGATGGTTGTTAATAGATGGATGGTGAATAGATGATAGATGGTGAATAGACAGATTGATTGGTGGATGGATGGATAATGGATGGCTTGATAGATGGATGGGTGGATGATGGATGGATGATGGATAGGTGGGTGGATGGATGATGTAGTACAAACAAAGTTGCCATGAGGAGGTGGGGGTCAGGTTTAACTGAAGGAGGCTTTTTAGAGGAGTTGAAAGGATAGCATGTTGGTGACAGCTGCAACTTAAAGAACTTTCCCTTTGCTGAGTCCCAGACCTGACACTTTATTTGTGTTACCTCCCTGCATCCTTATGGTAGCCCTTGGCGTGTGCTATTTCCCCCTTGCCTAAGTATTGTCTCATTGGTAATTAATACTTTAAAAAATATATATTCTATTTTATATATTTTTTTGTTTTTTGTTTTTTTGTTTTTTAACAGAGAGGGAGAGGGATAGTTAGAAACATCGATCAGCTGCCTCCTGCACACCTCTTACTGGGGATGTGCCCTTGATTGAAATCGAACCTGGGACCTTTCAGTCTGCAGGCTGGCGCTCTATCCACTGAGCCAAACCGGTTAGGGTGGTAATTAATATTTTAATAAAAATTTACATAAGAAACACTTGCTTGATACGGCATTTAAAAGGAGCAGTAAGATGTATGTTTTCCACGGTGGAGACCCAGACTGTTGTAGGCATAGTAGCAGCTCAATAAAAGCACAGAGTTGAATATTTAACATGTGAAGAAACAGAAGCTCAGAGAGGCTGGGGACTTGCCAAGCATCTCACCGTCAGCCACGTCAGCCAGCAGGTTTCTCTCACTGCAGACCAGCCCTCTCCACCAAGGAGGAGGAGTGGGGTGCAGAGAGCAGGCCTGGGCTGAACGGTGGGAGGTATAGACAAAGGCTCGGGGGCAGAAAAGGCATGGCATGTCCTGGGGACAGAGAGGAGGGTTGTGTCAGAAAACACGGTGAAGCTGGAGTTGGCATCATGGCCTGAAATCCAGCTGGGGAGGCGGCGGTGACAAGCCAGGCCGAGGAAAAGGGCAGGTGTCATCTTTTTGGACTTGGAAGGCAGGAGGCCCGGACAAGAGGAGAAAGCTGATGCTGCCGGTTGGGGTGAAAACAGTATGCCCACAAAAACAAGCCAGACCCATGCTCAAAGCCTCAGCTGGATATCCACCTGCTCCCACCTGCCCGTCCTCCCCGCCGCCTGCCTCACGCACAGAACAGGATCCACTTGGGCCGCTCTCCGTGGCTGAGCGCAGGGGCCTCGGGGACAGGGATGGAGGCGGCTCCAGGCCGGGTGTGCACCGCCCCATCACTGCAGGTAGCGGTGAGGTAGGGGCCTTGGCACCAAACGGCCCTGAGTCACATGGTGAGAAAGCGGTTCCTCTGTCAATTACCCATCAATCCTGAGCAAACCGAGATTCAGGCTAACGATGACTAATGTTCTCTGTTTGTTTGAAAGACAACAAGAGCAGCCCTCTGGTGCAGAGCCGTGAGGGGCAGCGGAATCTATCAATGGCTTCCAAATACAATTTTTCACTGCATTCATTGTTTCCGTCATCGTCTACGGACTCCCGCGTAATACGTGGTTTCCGTTCGTAGTAGGTTGGTGGTAAGGGTCTGAAATCCCGAAACCACAGCGACTTCAATGAGGGAGTATTTCTGTCACGCGAATACGGTCCTGAGGTAAGCCTTCCCAGGCTGGGAGAGGCTCTGCCATCGAGGCTCCTTCTGCCTGGTTGCTTTACGCCTCGTGGTCCAAGATACCTGCCAGCGTTCCAGCCAAAGGAAGGCAGGAGATGCTGAAGTGCCCATCTCCCTCCCGTGAAGGACACTTCTAGGAAGGCACTTCTTCTCAAGTGGCCACGCCCGGCTGCAAGGGAGGTTAGGAAGCAGCCTGGATTCCGGGCAGCCATCCGCTCATCTAAAAACCAGGGATCTCAGGTGAAGCAAGAAGGGGTGGGCAGGCCCTGGGGAAAGCTAGTAAGTCCGCTGGGCCCCGCTTTTCTTTCCTGATGGGGACAGCAATTTTTTGTTTGTTTGTTTGTTTTTCAAGCAAGGAAAGAGTGTCGCTTTAAAGAAGAAGCTAAGTAAATAAAGGAACAGGTGGTCCGGGGCTGGCCTGGAGCTCAGCGAAGTTCAGGAAGCATGCTGTGGAAATAGAAACACAGGAGATAACCGAAGGGCCAGGATGGATCAGGGTCAAGGATATCTCAGGCCCCTGTGGGCAGTGGCCTGGAGCAGCACAGGTCAGAGGCAGGAGCCACGGAGGAAGCAAATGCTTGTTCCAGAAGAGGGGCAGAAGGAGCTGAGCCAGGCCCAGGAGCTGGGAGGCGGGCAGGGATGGCTAACCAGGAGAGCGAACCAGGGCGTGCGAGGAGGGACCGGTGGGCATCAGCAGCATCTCTTTGTTTGTTTTGGAAGCAGGAGCGGGGCTGGGGTGGGGCTGCTATGGGGTTTAGGAATAAGAAAGATCTGGAGCACAGGTGGTGAAGTTACAATGGGATAGGTCAGAGGTCACTAGGCAGGGGCTGCTGAGAGGACGGAGGGGTCGGCTAAGCCAAGCCCAGAGGCCATCCTGAATAAGGATGTGGACAAAGCACGGGTCAGGGCAGTGCATGGGGCGAGGGCTCACATCCTGGCAGTGGCTGCCGCTGCCGGCATTGTCTCCCTGCATCCCCACAGCGCGGTAAACCTGTCACCTTCTAGCCCCATTGGACAGCGAGAGGAAGCTGCTCCCGATGGTCTCGGGCTTGTGAACAGCAGAGCAGATCCACACGGGGTCTGGACGCTTCCCAAACTGGGGCCCTGGGGCCCTGGGGCCCAGAGCCGTGCCTGGCCCGGCTAGGGTGGTCCTGAAGAATGAGCGAATGAATGAGTGAATGAATGGGAGGATTGCTCTCCTGCCTTTGTGTGCAAGCAGGAATCTCGGGGAACCACGCCACCCCTTCCCCTGGCAGGCAGCTCCTAGTGAGGAAAACTCGATTTTTCCCAAAATAAAAGAGTGCGGGGACCGGAAGTGTGGCTCCCTGGGCTCCACCCAGCCGGCTCCGGGCAGGAAGCCAGCCCTCGCGGCTATTCCCAGCGCCCGCCCTGCTTTCGGCAGAGTGTTTCTGGAGTGCACACAGCCTTATTTTTGTTCTATGTGCGGGGCTGTTCCGCGGGGGGCAGAGACGCCTGGCCACGCGTGCTGCCGGCGACTGCCTGGCTGAGGTGACTGGGACAGCATTTGGGCGGGGGTGGGCCTCTCCCCGCACGCCCAGCTGGGCCAGGCTGCAAGCTGGAAGGTGCTGCAGGGCAGGCCAGCTCGGTCAGTCTGCAGACCTCACTCTCGGCCTCCTACTGTGAGCCCGTCCCTTCCCCTCCCCAATCACCAAACTCCAAAAGTTAAAGTACCACCCCCAGGAATCTAGTTGTTGGTTGTTTTTTCCCTCATTTTCTTTTCTTTAAAAAAAAAAAAAAAAAAAAAAAAAAAAAAAATATAAAAAAATATATATATATATATATATATATATATATTATTGATTTTTCACAGAGAGGAAGAGAGAGAGATAGAAAGTTAGAAACACCGATGAGAGAGAATCACCGATCAGCTGCCTCTTGCACACCCTCCACCGGTGATGTTCCCGCAACCAAGGTACATGCCCTTGCCCGGAATTGAACCCGGGACCTTTCAGTTCGCAGGCCAACGCTCTATCCAGAGTCAAACTGGTCCTGGTGGTTTTTTTCATTTTCTGATGAACAAGCACATTCGCTGGATCTCTAATAAAAAGTGCCACACATGTAGTCATGGCCTTGTTCTGCTTAAAATATGTTGCCAACCCTTTTTGTCTACATGAGATCCAGGCCTTGGCTTTCCCTTCAGCTGAGAACACCCTCCTGACCCTGCCCCACTAATCTGCTTCCTGCCTCTCGCACACGCCTCCCCTTTCATGCCTCCTGGCCTTTGCACTTGCTGTTTTCTGTGCTTGAACTGCTCACCATCTGCTGAACTACTTATCCTATGAAACCCAACTCAAAAGGCCCCTTCTCTGAAACACAGTTAGGTGTCCTTGAAATTGCGTGGGCTTGGGTTCCGGTCCTTGCCCCACCTGTGATCTGGCAGATGACTTCAGCGCTCAGGACTCTGGTTTCTCCGGTCATTGTTTTCCTGTGCCTCCTGCCAGTCCTGGAACTCCTGAACATCAGGTACCACCTGCATTCGTTCCCAAGCCCTGTCCTTCCTCCCCAGTGCCTAAGGCAGTTACTATCCCACGATGGTAATAAATCAGCAATTACCTTTCTTGGTGTGTCAAGTTCTGCCCTGGGAAAGGCGGGGCACCCCCAACTTTACTCATAGGACATGCAGGCGTGGGGGTTCCATGCCAGTAGCAGTGAGTGCCCACATTCCTTGGGCTGGCGGCACTGGGCGCGCAGTTAGAAGGCACCCAGCGTGGTGACTCAGTGGGTGTCAGCGGTGGCCCACGGTCCCTCCTCACCCCCCTGCCTCTCCCTGAGCTCCAGAAGAGGGGCAAAAGAAAGGTGAATCACGACCCCCCACCTCTGTTTTACAAATTGGATGACAGAGCCTTTTGGATTAACCAGAAAACAAAACAAAAACAAAAACCCCAAATCCACCACTTATGTCATTTCTAGCTGGAGCAGGGCCAGCTTTCAGCTGAGCGCTCAGCTCTGAGCTTTGGATTGGCCCGGGACACCACCTGCTTTCTCCCTGTCCCGAGCTTCGGGTTGGCAGTGGGGCGAGTTGTCCCCTAGGGGACGGAATCCCACAAGACCACCAGAAGTCTGGATTTGCTGGAGCTGTTGGACCCTTCCCCCCACGGCCCGGGCTCCCACCCCACAGGCCTGGGCTCCATCCAGATAAAAGCCAGCCCCTGCCCATGCTGAGGGGGAAGGCCAGGTTAGAGCCAGGCAGTTAGTGTACCTCACGTTGGTAAGGAAACGGCCATCCCGCCCCCTGTAGTGCTGGGGCCACTTCAGGGCTCTGCGTGGGGCTGAATCAGACTCCGTGGGGGTGGGGCCTAGGCTTGGGCAATTTAAACACATTTCCAGAAGATTCTCTCTTCCTTGGGGATAGGTGCTCCCGCTCTCCTCTCCTGACCAGCAGGTACCCGCACTCTTGAAGCTCTCACTTCAACCCTGTGAGGCACCTCCATGCCCAGGGGACCCCTTCTGTGGAAGTCCTGAGGGCCCGTCCCATTCAGCGTCATCAGAACCCAGCATCCCTTTGTGGGCGGCCCCATCCCACCCCAGCCACTGGGCCTCCTCCTCAGGACACCACCTCCTGCCCTGAACCTCCCGGCACCTTCTCTGAAACACAGTGAGGTGTCCTTGAAATTGCATGGGCTTGAGTTCCGGTCCTCGCCCCATCTGTGACCTGATAGATTACCCCCCCTCTTGCCCCATATGTATGACAGGCCACAAATATCCTGGAATTCGTGCCTGCTCTCCCTCTACCACCACGCACTATCCCAGCCCCCTCCATCGCCCCCCCGCCTGGCCCATTCCAGTAGCCTTGAACCCACTCCCCTTCCCCTCCTCCAGTCCCTGCAGCCAGAGCAGCAGATCTGATCGCCTTGGCCCCCTGCCGGCACCTCCTCAGGGCCTGTCCCTTACTCCTGGGACAAAATCCAACTCATCAAGTTCTGGCTTGCACAACAAAGGCCAGAGTGGTTGATGCAGCAAAGCGAGTTGTTAAAGGACAGCAGACCACTCCCGGGCTGCAGGAGGGCAAGCGCTCTAGGGAACCTGCGAGCTGGCACTGCCACCCACGCCAGCGAGAGACCTGTTGTGCCGCTCCAGCCTGGGCAATGGGGTCACTGAGCCCTGCCCGGGTCCTAGCTTTGGGCCAGTTCTGAGCTGCGGGGATGAGGTGAGGGCTCTGGGCATGCATTTCTTAGGCCTGTGTCACATGAGCAGAGCAAGCTGATCCAGCCACTCAGTGATGTTTGTCTCTAGGCTCGGCTCCGCTGATGGCTACATAAAGCTCGCTGTGACAGCCGCAGCCCTGAACAAGTGACGGATGCATCCTTTGTTGTGTACTTACCCTCTGCTCTGTGAGCAAGTCACAGAATCCTCACGGGGTCCTAGGAGGGAGGTGCTGGGACCATCACTTTGTAGATGAGTTCATTTGCCCAAGGGCACACAGCCACTAAGTAGCGGAGCTGGGCTTCGAACCTGGCCAGTCAGCTCCAGAGCCAGCCTCCTGGCAATGCCACGCCCCTGGGGGTGTGGCTCACTGGGTGTCTATGAGATCTGCCTTGCTGTTATCCATTACCTCTACACGGTCTCCCAGGTCTTTTTGGCTCCTTGAATTTTGGTCTGTGCTGAGAAAGATGAGATAGTGTCCCGGTCTGGCCAATCCACGTACATTGATTTCTTCCCATAATCTTTGGTTTGTGGTCTGGGTTGCAAACACCATCCGTGGGGCCAGATGACAGGAGTCCCCTTTCCTTATGTATAAAAATCTCCATAAGGCTTGCCAGCCAGGCCTGGGTCACGTGCTCCGCAGTGCGAGGTACAGGGGCTGCCTCCCTGGGTGTTACCCAGGGTCCGTGAAGGTCTCTGGAAATAAACATGCGCTCTAAGAGTTCATACCAGCAAGCTGTAAAGGTAAGTGATTTAAAACGTGCGCTCACTCAGGAATTAAGATAATGACATTTAGTGGCCTTTACAATGTACAGCCACTAACCACGCCTCATCTCAGCAGCCCCGGGAGAGGGAGGGTCCTATCAGGTGAGCAATGGCGGTTGGGGAGGTGGGGCTTCACTGGGGGGTCGCCCAGCTAGAGGGAGGTGAAGTGGGCAGTCCCAGGCTGAGCCCTTTGCTAAGAATCGACTGAATGAATGCATGCGTTGGTAGATGAAGAGATGGGTGAGTGGGTGGATGGATCCAGAGCAAAGGAGTGTGTGCTCCTGAGTATGGGCAAGTGGCATCCACCCTGCCTGGGAGGAGGGCAGCTCCCCAGGTCCCTGGCTGGACCTGCTTGGACTAGGTGGTGTGAAGGGCAGATTCTGGGTCTTGGTCATCACAGGGAGTGCTGGCTGGGGCACTGGGCATCAGTGGGTGATGGCCTGCCTGCATCTTCCCCTCCCCCTGTACCCCCCCTTCCCCCACCCAGCCCCAGCAGGAATCTCAGAGCCTGATCAGTCCCAAGCCCAGAAAAGCAAAGCACCCTGGGAATATGAAACATCCCAATGGCATGATTTCTTGCCTGCAGAAGACTCTGGACCCCTGGGGACACCTGCGCTGGCCTTTTACCATTGCAGTTCATTTATTCATCCGCTCAGCAAATCCACGTAAGCCTTTCCTGCAGAGCTGCCGGATGGTGCTGGAAGCAGCAGCCAAGAGGAAGCTGTAGGCTGTGGTGCTCAGGGAGCTGAGCTTGGTGGGGCGGGACGGGGACAGGAGGGGCCTAGGATGGGTAGTGGGGTTGGGCAAAGCTGCCGTCGGAAGGCAGGTGGAGGGGGTAACGGCTTGGGCAGACTGCTGGGCACTGCTCCTGGCATCATGATGCTGCTGACTAGTGTTGGTCCTGAGGGGCCTGGGCGTCCTGGGAGCCGGTTCCTCTAGCTGGGAACCCCGCTGGAAGCACTGACACTGGCCCAGACTCCGTGACAAGCAAGGCTTTACTTGTAATGATGTTACTGTGATCCATACAAACAGAAGGCCAGATGGAGGCTTCTGCTTCCAGCTCTCAGAAACTACAGATCAATAAAAGGACAAATTAGAGGGATGCCTACAAAGCGGACACAATGTAGACCAGTAGCGTAATTAAGTGGTTAGTAATTTAACATGAAGAATGAATTTCTAATTGCTGTAAAAGAGACACAAAATGTAACCCTTTCAACCATGTTCAAAGGTCACCGAGGATGCTCACAGTGCTGTGCCAAATGGCCACTCTCCATTCCCCAAACTCTGTCATCTCCCAGCAGGTGTGCCTCGGAGCAGCAGGTGAGGTTTGGTGGGACAGAGCTGTCACCTCGTGTCTACTCCTGGGTGTGTGGGGTGACACAAACGGCCCGTGGCTTTTCCTTCAGCCCAACCAGGAGATCTGCACCCACACATCACGCGGCTCCCACTCAGTGGGGACCCCACTCACCCACTGAGTCAGCCTCTGTGCCTTGGTGGCAATGTGGGGGGTACACACGTGTGCCTCCGGCTTGGGTCTTAATTTAGTCAGACTCAAAAACTGAGGGCCTCTTTGATGAAAATGGATTTCCATTGCAAATTTTCCCTGTGAGAGACAAGTTCTGCCTTTGTACCCCCAGACGGAGGGAGACTGGGCATTTCTCATGAGCACATGCGTCCCCAGCATGCTTGCCTGTCCAGAGCCAGACACAATGCACACACAACCCTGTGGCTAGAAAGCGGTCTGAGGGATGACTCAGAATAGTTATCATGGAAATAAAAGCACAAAACAAAAAAATGTGTAGCGAGCTTGCAGCTCTAAAAATACTTTCTGGGCCCTGGCCAGTGTGGCTCGGATGGTTGGGCGTCATCCTGCGCACTGAAGGGTTGTTGGTTCCATTTCTGGTCAGGGCACATGCCCAGGATGGGGGCTTGATCCCCTGCCGGGGGCTGGGGGGGTGGGGGGTGGGGATAGGCATGCTGGAGGCAGCTACTTGGCGTTTCTTTCTTACATTGATATTTCTTTCTCAAGATCAATAAGAAAATGTTAAAATAAAAATACTTGAGAGCTCTGCAGTTGGGGGTGGGTTAGAAGGGGAGGGAAGGGCAGGAAGAAGACCCTGAGCTTTCTAGAGATGAGGCTCACGGGGGGCGGGGCAGCAGAAAATGCTTGTGAGGTAGTCTGAGCTAGAGGAGCTGGTGCTGTGATACAGGGACAGGTGGCCCTAGACAGGAAGTCCTGGGTCTGCACCTTAGGCACTGGCCAGGAATGGCGGTTGGGGGAGGGAAGATGTTGAGCTTGAGTTTTGTGGCTGGCCAAATGCCTGTGGCCCAGGTGCCCAAGTCCTAATCCCCAGAACCTGGGAATATCTCTTGCATGACAAAAGGTGTCACCCCTGGCAGCAAACAATGTGTTTGGTGTTTTAGAAAAAGACCTGGGAGGAACCAGGGAGCTGGGATAGTGAGGCCAAGGCTGTGAAGTGGTGCTGGGAGATGGTGTGCAGGAGCGGGCAGCGGAAGGAGGAAACCGGGAGCATTTCATGGAGAATGGTCAGGAGAAGTCAATGCCTGGAGGCCGAGCGTGACTGAACAGGTATATGAGTTTGCCAACTGCAACCTCAGCAAGTGCTGGGAAGATGCAGTGAGGACGGAGGCCAGTGGGTGGGGAGGAAACAGTGGATGAGGGCCTGGTGACTTTGGAGGTGAGGTGACTGACAGAGCAGGAGTGGCTGTGGTGTGAAGGGGAGAGAGCGTGTGAAGCCAGAGCACTCAGGAGGGGCGGGCAGACCAGGGCAGGGACCCTTTGTTCCCGGAGACACTTGATCCAATTCCCCTTGATTGGCCCAAAGTCTGGGACACTCACTGGCCTCCCTCTTTTTCAGGGGAAAAGGGTGAAGAGAGCAAAACATGCCCTTCATTTCAGCTTTCAAGTTGACTTATCTACACCTTTATTAGAAACATACAATTTCATGATTGCAAAAAATAAGGTACATGGGTTACTATGAGAACTCCCTGGCTAAAAATTGTAGCAGCTCCCTCCTTAGGGTGGGTGGAACTGCCCTGCAAGGCCATGGCTCTGATTGGACATCAGTCCTGTCTGTTCCAGGAGAGGCTACAGAAAGATCCAGAATGTTCCGCCTGGAGGCAGCCTTCACCACCTGGGTCAGACTCAAGCCACATGTTCTCCAGGGACAGAATACCCCACCAAATAGTCCAGGTTACCCCACACATCAAAGAAAATGTGGAAAACACCCAAATACAGTAACCCTGTCATTAGGAAGTAACCGTTCCCAGATGTTTGCTGTGTAACATGTCACTTCTTGTGCCCATCTGTGCTTTGTACAAGCTGTGTGTGTATGTTTTGTTTCCTTGTTTTACAAAACGGGGGGGACATTGTGCATCTCAAGGACAGGCTGTTTGTCCTATTCAACCGAGTCTTACCACCAGGCTCGGTGGCAGTCCCTTGGAAGCCCCCGACCGCATGCATGCTTCTATCTGGCTCGAAGCCTCATCTTCAGGGGCCAGATTCTCTTGCAAGCTCATCCCACTCTATGGCACTGACCTGGTGGCACACACAGCCCAGCAGCATCATTTGGAAGCATTTTGCCACTCATCACCTTTTCCGAGTTTGACAACTCAAGATCCCAGCGCTGAGTGCAGTTAGATCACACAGGGGGTGACATGTGTCTGCCCCAAAGCTAGGACCCTTCTCCCTCACCACAGGGACAGGAGTCCTGGGATGTCAGTGCCTCACTGGGCGATGGGCCACTGGAGCAAGCTGGTAGCAGAGCTGAGGACTGAGCCTGTTTCTTTCTCCTAGGCAATGGGAAATTTGGGTACAGCAACTACGCCCGTCAAAGCCTCTATTGGAGCAACCGGCATGATGGAGGGCTGGGATGTGGGGGAGGCTGGCTGCTGCCAACTGCTCCACACTTCCCCGTTTCAGCAGAGGACACCACAAATCATAGGAATGACAGAACCTCTAAAACCTATTTCTGGGTGAGAAATATGGACACTCAATTCCCAAATCTACCCATTCGGGAGCCACTCACATTTGTTGACAGTGATGACGTCTGCTGTCCACAGAACTGGGCCTGGCCTGGAGGCTTGCAGAGGGTGTGCTGGTGGGTGGGGGTGTGCAGCATTAACACAGGGCCGGGCCAGGCTGTGTGGGCCTGAAACCAGCTCAGCTCCTTGGCAGCACCCAGACCTGGGCTGGGCTAGTGAACACCTGGGCTCCGGGCAGGCTTTTGGGGTGAACAGAGTAGGGCCAGTTCTATCCTGTGTGCTGCTGTGGTCCCAGCTCCTGGCACAGAAAGTATCTGCTGAAGGTGTGGGGGCTCAAAGGCTGGGTCCCCGCGCAGTGGGGGCAGTGCGAGGTCCTCAGCAGCCAGAGTGAGGCAGCATGCGTGACATCCCACCACACGTGGCTGGTCCAAGGTGACAGCTGGAAGGCCCAGACTAGGCACACCACTTGGCACCCGGGTACCTCTTGGAGGTAGGCAGGGCCCAAGCAGTGAACGCTGCCCTCCACAGACCCCCGTTTCCTGAGGGTGATACTCCCTTATTCAGAGGTGGGGCAACTGTGAGGAATGTGGCCACTCACAGGATGAGCTTCGAGGGAGACCGTGATCGGCTGAGATGGGACTCTTGATAATATGTGATATAAAATCGATAGAAATGGAAAATTACCTGTAATAGGGAGATTTCTGCTATAAAGCATCTGGTTAGTAGGATTATTGTAGAGATAGGAAGATTGCTTTTTAAAATTATAGGTTCCCACAGGATCCCTTCCCTTGCCAATTCTGTTACCAGAAAAACAGTGATTTTGATACATTAGTAACTGTGGATTCACAGGAATCAGAGTCCTTCCATGAGTTTCAGGCTTTGAGCCTCCACACTTCCAGCAGGACTGAGTGTAGAGCTGACTGCGATTACTTCACTTCTGAGCACCGAACAGGCACCACCTCCTGAGGAGACAGCTCCCGCAGGGGCAGGGGCAGGGGCTGGGGCTGGAGCAGGGGTGCTTCTTGCCCACACCGTCTGCACAGATAGCCTCATTGGGGGCGCGCGCACACGCGCAGGACGAGCAGAGTGGGGCTCTGAGCTGGCGCACCGCCTCCAACCCCAGCTCTGCTGACTCCAACCTCAGTTCCGTCCAGTGAGCCTTAACTTTGAGCTCCCTCCCTCCCTTCCTCCGGAGAATGGTGAAGTAACAACCGCTGTTAGATTCCTTCTATGTGTTGGTACGGTTCCAAAATCCCTCTGCAGGAACTCCTTAATGGAGTCCAGACTCCCTTTCACAGGGTGATCAGGAAGAATGAATGGATGAATGGGTAAAGGCCCGAAGCTCCACCTGGCACACAGCGTGTGCTAAGTCAGTGCTTTGGCGGAGATGCTTGTGGCCGGGCGAGCGCGCGCTGGGGTCCCTTGTCCTGGCTCACTGCGAGGTTTCCACAGCGCAGGCGCGCGCAAGCCCCGGACAGGCTCGGTGGAGGGGTCCCTGGAGAAGAGCGGCGGGGTCAGGAGGAGGCTCTCGTGCTGCATGCGTCCAACTCCCAGGACATGAGGGACACAGTGCTGTTCCCACTCTCGTCCTCGCGCTGGAGGCCGCGGGCCTGCTGGTCCTCCTCGATGAGGTCTGCCACCAGGTTGAGCCGGCAGGCCCTGAGCGCCCCCACGAGGTGGGGCACGGCCGCTCCCTCCCCTGTGGTGCTCTTCCAGACTCTCAGCGCCTCCCTCACCTGCTCGGTCAGGTTCCGGGGGTACTTCACCTCGATGGCATCGATCTTGCTGTCAGACACTTTAAGCTGACGAGCCAGTCTTCTCCAGTCCTTCCCCACGTGATCACATATGATGTCAAACGCTGCACAAAGGTCTAGGGAAAGAAAGAACAAAAGGACTGACCAGAGGTTTGGGGCGGCTTCTCTGTGCTGACCAGAACTGTGGATTCACAGGAAGCAGAGTCCTTCTGTGAGCCCCAGCCTGAGCCCCCACACCTTCAGCAGGACTGAGTGAGGAGCTGACTGTGCGATCACTTCACTTCTGAGCACCGAACAGGCACCACCTCAGAGGTCCTCTTGCAAAGCTGAAGTCACCTGGTAGCAGAGGGGCTGGAGGTCACAGAAAGCCCACCAGTGACTTCTAATCCCACCCCAACCAATGCCACCCCAAAACATGGAGGTGTGGCCTGCTGAAGACTTGGTGGCTGGGGTGGGCTGTGGTCGCACTATCTGTTTAGGCCAGGGGACACTGAAGGAAGGGCTGGGAGGTGCTCAGAAGGAAGGAAACGGGGTCACGCCCCATCCCATCCTGAACCGTGGCCTCTAAAAGGATACATCCGTGTCAGCTCCCTGGAACCACAAATGTTAACTTAATTAGAAAAGGGTCTTGGCAGATGTAATTAAGTTAAGGATCTCGAGATGAGGACATCCTGAATTATGCAGGTGGCCCTAAACCCAGAGATGCCTGTCCTGATAGGACACACAGAGAGGAGGCCATGTAACCATGGAGGCAGAGACTCAAGGAGCAGGATGAGGCAGGAAGGACTACCCCCACAGCCCGCGGAGGGAGCACAGCCCCGAGACACCTTGGCTTTGGACTCTGGCTACCTACTGTGAGAGAAGCAAGCTCGGCTGCTTTAAGCCACCGAATTTGTGGGGATTTGTATGGCAGCCCCAGACTGACCACCCGTCTTCAGTCCCCGCTACCATGTCCTCAAGTGCTGACACTACTGCTGAGATCAGCCAGCCGGGTACTCTACACCACAGAAGGCTGTTCTGGGATGGGGAGAGAGGCCAGAGGACAAAATGTTCCTGCAAATTCCCATCTCCAGCTACAAACCAGAGACACTACAGCCGTTTGTACAGATGAGGAAACCGAGCACAGAGAAGGCCAGTCAGTTTCCTGAGGACAGACAGCCAGACCAGGGCAGAGCTAGGTCGCAAAACCCTGACAGTCTGATGCATTAGGCTACTTCATCTATACTAATATAAGGTAATATGCTAATTAGACCAGGCTGACTGGAAGATGTCCGGTCCTCTGGTCCTCCTCCTGGACAAAGTCATAGTGGTAGGGGCTGAGGCAGAGGCAGTTAGGGGTGATCAGGCTGGCAGGGGAGGATGGTTAGGGGAGATCAAGCAGGCAGGTGTGTGGTTAGGAGCCAGCAGTCCCAGAATGGAGAGGGTGCAGGCCGGGCTGAGAGGGGAACCCCCCTCCACAAATTTCATACACCAGTCCTCTAGTCTTCTACAAAGGAGTAACAAAGAATCACCCCTTATCAACCCTCACACCTGCTCACCTTCTAGTGCACTTTCCTCCAACATAAACACACACACACACACACACACACCTCCCCCACTGAAAATACCTGAAGATATAGTTTTCCCATGAAAACTATATCTTCAGGTATTTTGTCCCGGTTTGTCTGTCAAGTACTGTGTGTGCACGTGTATATATGTGTAAATCTATCTCCTTTTAGGCAGAGCTGTGCTGTCAGCTTGCCACCAATAATAAGCACCAGTGCTTATGGAGTGATATCCATGGAGTCACTCTTAATATCCTTTTTAGGTTCAGGGACTGGATAACCCACTTCAGGGCACAGCCTGAAGCCCCTGAGGGGTGCCCTCCAAGCACTTCCACCCCGCCCCCGCCTGGTTTTAGAATTATGGCGTGGCTGAGAATCCCTGAAGTTGGGTTTCACTTTTACTCTCGGAGGCCCCTGCAAGCCACAGGTGCGGGTGGCGGAGGGGGTGCCTGAGAGCGGGGCAGGAACCACTGCAGAACGGACTTGACAGGCAGAAGGCAAGTGCGGGCAGCAGCACAGGCTCCCGCGACCCTTTCCCACCCGGAGGAGGTTAGCACGCCTATTTCCTTCCGGGTATTTTCTCACTTACGGAGACGGAGCCGGGCTCTGCCCCAGAAACACTGAACTTGGGGGGGTGAGTGTCCATGCCCTGCAGCCTACGGTGAGTTCACTGTTCTGAGCGCTGGTCCTCTCATGTGTCACCGGTGTTCCAGGGGCTTTTAGGAAAACCCACGCAAACTCAAAGCTGGCAACCGTTAGACGCCCGGCAGACCCGCTCCGCCTCCCGGCCGGCTGCCCCCGGCCCGCGCCCACCTTGCTCCTCCGGCGCCGCCCGCCCCGCCGCGCCCGCCTCGTAGTCGTCCAGGAGCCGCAGCAGGTCTTGGCGCCGCAGGGACACGAGCAGCTCGCGCAGCAGCTCGGTGTGCTCGCTGTCCAGCTCGTTCTGCTCGAGCAGCACGGAGAAGAGGTCCACGCCGCTCTGCACGCGCTCCAGCTTCCTCTTGCTGATGCGGCCTTGGCACAGGAACTTGAGCTCGGTCAGCTCGCCGCTCGTCAGGCCGGTGGACACCGAGTGCAGCAGCACCAGGAACTGGTCCATAGTGGCGGCCGCTGGGCGGGCGTGGCCCGAACCCGGCCCACCGCGCGCGTCCTCCGCTCCGGCTCGCCACCCCCAGTCTCGGTCCGCTGCCCGCCCGTCCGCCCGCCCGCCGGCCTGCGCCCGGGGGACTCGGGCCGCTCGGGGTCCCTCTTCACAAACCCCGCGCTTCGACCCCGACAGCGGAAGTCCACATAGGGCCTCCTAGGGGTCTCGCGAGAACTCCGGAGCCTCGCGAGAACTGCGGGACTCACGCATGCGCCCGGGACACGACTGTAGCCGTTTCCGCCTGGGAGACGCGCAGCCGCCTCCAGAGGGCGCCCCAGGCAGGGTACGGGCGCGGGCTGGGGCGGCCTCTGCGCCTGCGCCCTTCAGACCTTCTCCCTCCAGATGGGAACCTATGGCCTTGGAACTCCCGGGACCCGGGTTGTGGGCGGGAGGGCGGGAGGGCGGGCCTGCGTTTCCTGTGGAATGTGGCAGTACAGGTGCTGATGATAAATTCATTTATTTATTGACATTGGTGATGGTGCATGTCCTTTAGTGCCCCCTGGGCACCTGTGTGCGGAAAAGATTACTCAGAGGTTTATTTAGGCGGTTAGCTTTAATGGATATTTGATTTTTAAAGTTGCAAACATTGATGCTTTGAATGCTTTTTAGGCCTTTATTGAGCGCCTACTGTGTGCCAGGCAATAGGTGCTGGGGCCAAATTCAGGAAGTCCCTGCCTGCTAGAGCTTAGTCATCAGTACACTAGTTTACAAAACGCAGATAAGCAAGTGCAGAAGGTCAAACCTGGGGGGGAGGGGGGGGAGGGGCAGGAGTGGAGAGGGACTGGGCAGAGCCGAGTTGAGGCACAGGGGATGGCCAGGTTACAGGAGCCCCAGGGAGACCAACAGGTCTGGAGCAGGGGTGAGGGTGGGGATGGGGGGCTGAGGGAAGGCAAGGGGAGGTCAGGGAGGGGGCCCTAAGGATCGGCTTTTCTGCCGAGATGGAGCTCTTGCAGAGTGTGTGAGAAGCAAAGGAATTTGAGTTACATAAAAAAAAGAAAAAAGAAAAGAATATACACCGAGTGGCCAGATTATTATGATCTCTGAACGCATAATAATCTGGGCACTCAGTGTATTTGTATCTCAAATGGGTACCAAAAGTATTCTAGACTTTTGCTAGAGATCAGCTCACCTATTTGCCCTGAGCTTTCTATCAGCCAGGGCAAAGGGGAAAACTGATCAGGTGCACGATCTACAGTATCTTTGATATAAAATAAATGAGGTACTCAAGAGATGTACACTGAGTGGCCAGGTTATTATGCGTTCAGAGATCATAATAATCTGGCCACTCAGTGTGTGTGTGTGTGTGTGTGTGTGATGAGAGATAACTCACATACCATACCACTTACCCTTTTAAAAGTTTGCAATTCGCTGGTTTTTTAGTCAATTCATAAGATTGTCCAACCCTTTCCATTAGCTATTTTTAGAACATTTTCATCGCCCCAAGTAGGAACCTGCCAGCCATTAGCAGCCACTTCCTTCCCTCCTCCTCCCCTCAGCCCCTGGCAGCTGCTAATTTACTTTCTGTCTCTGGATTTGCGTACTCTGGGCACTTCATACAACTGGAACCACGCACCGCGCAGCCTCTGGAGCCTGCTTCCTTTTTATTGAGCAGAATGTCTTCAAGGTTCATCCACGAGGGAGCAGGCGTCCGTGTTGGTTCCTGTTTACGGGTCGGACGGACCACGTTTGTTTACCAGTCATCAGCTGATGACATCCCAGTTGTCCCACCTTTTGGCTATTATGAATAATGCTGCTGTGAACTAATATGTTTAAAACCTTTTTAATTTATTGATTTTAGAGAGAGAGGGGACGTTGATTTGCTGTTTTGCTCATTTATGTATTCCTTGGTTGACTCCTGACCAGGGATCAAACTCACAACCTTGGCATAGAGGGACAATGCTTGAACCCACCGAGCAACGCCAGCCGGGCTCTGCATAATATTTTTAAGGAATCGTTCTGCCCTCGGGTAGAAGCCACGGAACTCTGCACTAATCCTGATGAGGGAGGAGAGTCCCTGGACTGAGTGCATTGCAGGGGTGGGAGGGGTGAGGCCCTCTTCAGATTTTGGGGTGGACATAAACAAGAGGAACTGAGGGTGCTTGAGCATTGACTGACCTGGGGAGGTGGATGGGTTTGGGGAAGGACCTATTAGACATGTTGACCTGACAGTGGGATGTACAGGAAGAGGGTTTGGGACAGAGATCTAGGCAGCGATGTGAATTTGGGAATATTCCGCAGACAGATGGTGCTGTGATGGTTAATGCATTTTTATTGATTTCAGAGAGAAAGCGAGAGGGGGAGAGAGAGGGAAACATCAATGAAGAGAGTGAATCGTATGTCCCAGATATGAGTCCCACATCAGATATAGGAGGTGCAAACATGGCCTCCCATTTGCTGAATGGCCATTTAGCTCTGCCGATGGTATCCTTTGATGCAGTCTAACTAGAGAGATGGCAGTGTGAGAAGGGCCCCCTGCCAACACTGGCTTGAAGATTATGGGACGGGTCTGGCCCTGCTGAAACCTTGGTTTTAGCCCAGTGAGACCTGTGTCAGATGTCTCAGCTAGGGAACTAGAAGTTAATAAACGTGTTGTTTGAAGCCACTACATTTGTGGTCATTTGTCTCAACAGCAGACAGAAAACCAGCCCTGGCCCATGGGCAGGCTCCTTTCCTCCCAAAGTGGAGCTCCCACAGGCAGCCAGCAGAGGGCAGCAGCCACTATAAACAAATCCGGGGATCAGCGTTAACGCGGCTGGGAGTCAGGACAGGGAGTCAGGACTCTGGTTACAGCTGGGTGACCCAAAGGGAGCACCAAGGGAGGCTTCTGAGGTGCCCTGACATTCTGCGGCCGAGTCCTGGCCACAGAGGTGTGTGGTTTTGTGGAAGTTGACTAGACACTTAAGGTATGGGCAGTTTTCTGTGTTCCACGTCCATAAAAATGTGTGGGGAGAGAGGGCGCATGGGGTAGGGGAGTGAAGAGAAGGGGGGTGGGAGAATGGGTCACAGTAAATAAATATCAGCAGAGCCGAGAAGTCTGGCTTCAGTTTTACAGCTGCCTTTCCCCAGGTGCATCCCAGGATCCTGGCCCTGCTGCTCACACCAGCCCCTCTGGGGAAACCTGGCTGGGAGCCCTGTGCTGCCCAAGCCAGTGTTCCAGGGGTCAGCTCCTCTGCCAGAGACTGCGGGCCTGTCTGCGGCCAGAGGCATCGCCTACCTCCCACCTAACCCCTGACTCCTCCACCAACAGCCCTGCCAGTTGATTCCAAGGTCTGTGCAGCTCAAAGGCAGAAAAGCTCATTTGTCAGTCTATTTGCCTGCCATCTACGTATCCATTCACTGTTTGTCTACCTATAACCACTCATCTATCCATCCATCCATCCATCTTCTCAGTCACCCATCCATGCACCCATTCATCCACCCATTCACTCATCCATCCATCAATCCATCCTCCTAACTACCCATCCATGCACCCATTCACCCATCTATTCACCCATCCACTTATCCATCCATCTATCCATCCATCCATCCATCCTCCCAGCCACCCATCATCCGTTCACTTATTTGGCACTTTCTGGTGCCTTCTCTGTGCCTGGCCCTGGACCCCTGCTCCTACCGGGTCTGTTCCTTGCAGGGTCATCACTTTCCCACTTGGCTGTGGCTCCTCCAGAACCATGTGGATGGTAAATAAGTGCTGCCCAAGCGTGGAGGCACCTGACACCTGTGCTCATTTTAGAGAGCACGTACATGGCCCCTAGGAGGCTGCAGGTGAATGTGTGGGAGGTGGGTACCTGGCTCTGAGTCCAGCCCGGGGGTGAGGACAGCTGTATCCCAGCATACACCTTGGCCAGGCTATGTTCCAGCGACCCCCACAGCTGGTTCTGCATCACAGGAAAAGGACCTGTCCTGGGGCTCGTCTAGAAAGGCGGTGGCTCCAGCAGCCGCAGTCTCAGCTGCTGCTGTGGGCTGTGGGCGGGCACGTTTGGGAGGGTGGGAGGTGGGCAGAGGTGGTGGAGAGGACCGGCATCATCTGAAGAAGGGCACCGGCCCCAGCCACACCCGAGAGGCGACACGGTGAAAAACGGGGCCATGTCATCAGCGGGGGAGAATTTTCAAGAAAATGGCAAGCCTGGATTTTTATGTGGATTTAACTGGTTTTCCTAAATTAAATTCACTCAGATAGCAACGCATTCTGACCCTGTCACGTGGAGGCTGTGGGGCAGCTCACACCAGCCTCCACGCTCTGGGGAGGGGGACAGACTCCTGCCCATTCCCACCACACCATCCAGGGGCCAGCAGCAGAAGTGCTCGGCCCTAGGTCCACAGGGCCTGGGTGTGAAAGACAGCTGTGTAGCCTGCTGTGTGACCCCCTTAGGGCTACGACCCTCTCTGGGCCTCCTTGTGCCCGCTGTGAAGTAATGGCACCGGCCCGCCAGCTGGTCTCCACGGAATCCTCCCCCTGCGAGATGGCGAGGCTTTCCGACATTGCTGCTCCTTCTCCACCACTTCTCCCACCTGTTCAGGCCTATCATCGCTTACCTCAACTCCTGCAGCTCTCTCCTCTCGGGCCTCCCGCTCCACAGCTGCCAATCAGATCCTGCCACTGCCCTGGTTAAAACTTTGCCATGGCACTTCGCACCAAACTCACAGTCCTCACTGCGTGAGTTGGTTCTGGTGGCCTCCCCTGCCCCTCGCTCTAGCCACGCGGTCCTTGTCGCTCCTAGAGTTAGCCCAGCACACCGCTGCCTCAGGACCTTTGCACTGGCTGTTCCCGCTGCTTGGACTGCCCTGCCTTCCTCTCCAGGGTTTTACGTTCTGGCTCCTCATTGCTCAGCTCCCCAGGGACCTCTCTGACCAACTCGGTCTGTCCGTGATACCCTCCGTTGTATGTTCATCAGCACCCTTTTCTTCCTCTGAAGCTATTGTGGTTTGGTGTTCATTTCTGGTTCAGCAGATGGCGCCCTCTGCAGGAAGCCATCCCCCGGGGTGCAGGGGCGGTCTGCTTTGCCCAGGGCTCTCTTTGTGGACGGGGCATGCGTGAATGTCTGTCGGGCTTGAGTGCCAGCCTCCTTGAGGTCTTGGCTTAGGTGCTAAGGAGCTTTGTGATCTTGGCACCTACACCCTGCTCTGATCCTGTGTCCTCACCTGTCAAGTGGGGCAGGTCCCACCATGAGCCTCCGGCTTCAGGGAGGACCTAGGAGGGAGGCCCTGGTGCTGCCTCCGTTTGGGACTTAGAATGCGGTGCCAAAGCTTCAGAAGGCCTTTCTTGACCTGAGTAACCAGGACAAGGGACTTGCGGTTTGCATGGAGGCATCTGAGCACCAGATGGCGCTCGAGGCCTACGGCTGGCAGGGAAGGCTTTGGAGGTGTGGGGACCTGGCCGCCTGAGTGGCTCCTGAGGGGAGGTCCCCCTGACAGGGTGTGCTGCCCCCTGAAGTTTAATGTACAAATGCCCCCTTTTTCACGATATGATGGTGATCCTCAGTGGTGATTTAAAAGCAGGTGCCCCCACGCACCCACATGAAAACACTGGTGACTCTAGGTTGGTCCCGGAAAGGTTGGCGGGAAGATTTAGCTCCATGAAATCCCAAATTCTCTTGTTGGGTGGGATCAGGGGTCAGGATTTGGGGCTCATGGAAGAGGCTGCTGGGAAGGTGTGACAACTCCCATCCCAACACACACATGTGCACGCACAAAACACAAGGACATATAAACACATATAAACACATACACACAAAGGCCCCTGCACACAGATATAAGCACATATAAACACATACCCACACATGTGCACAGACAAGCCCCTGCATACACGAATGCACACACATGCACCCGCACAGACACAAGCACACATGAACATGCAACACACATCCCTGCACACACAGACGCAGACATGCACAAACACACACGTGCACACGCACACACTCAGAAGGGAAGTCTCAGGAACAGCCCTCCATGTGTCTCACCAAAGATGACGGATGCCCCCAAGTCCCTCCCGGACTTTCAGCTCAGCCCTGGGGCTCGGGACACGGGGCAGAGCCCGGGGAGCTTCCTGGGCAATGCCACCAGACATGTCTCATGAGGAAGGTGTCACGCACACACATGGATTCGGGAGCGCATCTCGCCACGGCCCTCCGGGTCTGTGCACACTCACTTAACAAAGACAAGGTTCCCACGAGAGGATTTTGGTAATCACCTCGTTTTTAATACAATAGTCATATACAAAACCCCGGTTTCAAACAGCTTGCTGTACATGAGAACACAGAAGCATCCGACGGCACGGTTTCAGCACACGGGGGACGTGTCGCCGCCCGCAGAGCAGGCGGCGGGCGGGATGCCAGCGGCAAACACGGTGTATGGCCTCCCCTCCCGCGTTTCTCTGGGCGCTTGAGACGTGGACCCCCCTGTCACCCACAAGACCTGCGTGCCCACGCTCTGAAAATCCTAACTGTCCAACAGGAACGTTCCTGTGAGTAGAAATATAGAGAAGTGTTACCAAAATAGAGGCCTTTATTAATAAAAATCTTTGGTAGCAACAGTAGTTTAAATTCCTCTCGACGGTATTTGGTTAACTAGTAAAAGAAAGTCCTTCCACCTCTGAGCTACAGGAGAAAAAAACAAAACAAAACAACCCTCAAATCCACCGTAGGATCGATAAAGAGAACAACAACAACAAAAAAAAAAAAGAAAAAAAAAAAAAAAAAAAAAGAAAAAAAAAAGAAAAAAGAAAAACAAGAGAAAAAAAAAAGTAACAGACCCTCAATAAATAGTCTGAAGCTGTGGCCGAACCCTGGGAGCCGTGGGACTCCCTGAAACAACCGTGGCCCCCAAATGCCTCTGGGTGACCGCTCACTGCCTGTTGTCCTGTCGCTGGTCTTTGCCCACAAGGAAAGGGGGCAGCTGTGAGGCCAGCTCCCGGCGTGGGGGCGGGGAGGGGGACAGGTGTGGCTCCCGGCGGGACCTGCCCCCGTTGGCTCTCAGGAGTAAGCTGGACGCTCCCACGCCCTGTGGCCGACATGGCCAGGCCACCGCTCCCGACCAGAGTGCCTGCTTCCGAACCGACAGAAAAGGGGATGGGGACGGGCTCGCTCTCCTGACCGAGAGGCAGGTGAGGTCTCGGGGAACTGGTCTCCAATGGCTCAGTCCTTGCCCGCTTCTCTGCTCCCCCTGCACGTGGCACCCAGGGCCTCGGAGGCCATGCCCGCCTGTCAGGGTGCCAGGGGGATCACAGGAGGTAATGACTTCTGCTCATGGTCGCCGCCACGGGGGAGACGCCAGGACTGCCCGCCAAGGCCGCCTCTGCCGCGGGCGCCGCCCTGTCCCAGCGACCGTTCTGATGAACTCCGAGAGTAAAGATAAAAAATTCCCTGCAGAATGGTTTTGTGCAAAAACAAGGGAAAAACAAAAAGAGAAAACAACCCCAGAAGAAAAGATTTTAAAAAACATCGTCTTATCAGAAGGTGGTCTTCGAGGTTTGCTGCAAACACAGGAGCCACCCGACCTGGTGGGGGTGGGCTGCCTGCCCGGGAGAGGTGCCCGTCGGCCGGGCGCTGGGGCGGCTACAGGGCGCCCCCGGGGTTCTCGGGGCCGTTGGGGCCGTTGGGGCCACCAGGGCCGCCGTCTGGGCGGCCATCGGGGCCGCTGTCGGGGCCACCGCCGCTGGGGCCGCCGTCCGGGCCATTGGGGCCGCCGTCAGGGCTGTCCTGGGGGCTGTGGTTGCTGCAGGCCTCGTCCTTCTTGGGGCCCCGCTCCATCCACGTGTCCAGCAGCTGCTGCTTGCCCTGCTCCTCCCTCATGAACAGCTCCACCATCAGCACCTTCTCCTTGTGGATCTGCTGGCTGATGTCCTTGGGGATGTCCGGGATGACCCAGTCCACGAAGTCGCTCATGAACATGACCAGGTTCTGGAAGGACAGTTACCGTGTGGGCGTGGGAAGGAGGACCCCGGAGAATGCTCCCTGCCTCTGCCCACCGGGCAGCGCCACCCCCTGCCCCGCCCCTGCCCGTAGCCGTGGGCACCAGCTTGGAGCTCCTGGGCCTCGGTTTCCTGGAAGGTATAACTGAGGGAGGGAACCTGCCAGCAGCCCCTCCCGACATGTTGGCCAGCCTTCTTTTAAAAATGTTATAGTTACTGTTTTTTCAGAGAGAGAGAGAGAGAGAGAGAGAGAGAGAGAGAGAGAAAGAGAGAGAGAGAAAGAAGAGAGAGAGAAACACCAATTGGTTGTTCCGCTTGCTCATCATTCACTGGTTGAACACCTGTACGTGCCCTGACTGGGGATCGAACCCACCACCTCGGGGTAGTGGGATGACGCTCTAGCCGACCGAGCCACCGGCCAGGGCAGCCGGCCTGCTCGGGAGAATCTGAGCTCCGTTAACTAGGAAACGCCTCTGGAGGCTTCCGAATTCCTTGGCTGGGAGGCTTCAGACGTGATCCGCCGGGTCACGCATCACCAAATAAGACAAGTGTCAGGGCTTTGAAGCAATTCATACGATGAACTCAGCGCACAGAAGGACGGGAGGCTGACGGGTGCCTCCGTGGGCACGCCCGCCCGCCGTCCTGGCCGCGTGGAATCCTGATGCCCTGACCCTGCCTGACGCGGGTCCTCCCGCTCCGGGACCCGGGGCCCCTGGAAGGCGTACCTGGAAGACGATGACGAAGGCTAGCCGCGCCGCCAGGACGGCCCAGAAGTCCTTGGAGATATCGTACTTGTTCTCCGACCACGGGGGCTCCCGATAGTCTTTGTACCTGCAGAGGCGGGAATAGGGGGCTGCGAGAGGACCCTGAGGTTCCGCCCAGCGCCATGTGGCCCCTGATGCCGGAGCCTCTGCAGGGGCAGCCCGCCGCCCAGGCGACAGGGAGTCTCTCCACGTGGGAGGGCTGGCAGGGCCGAGGGGCTTGGTGGAAGTGAGGACCCCAGGTAAGGGTCCCTGGAGGCCCAGTTGGGGGCCCGCAGAAGCGGGCTCTGGGACCATCTGGTGAAAGAAACCCTTTCTCCAGGAGAAGTCCCACCTGAAACCCCGGGAGATCAAACCAAGCAAGCGGGGCTTCCCTCGCTGAAGTGGGTGGGGGTCCTTAAGCCTGGCCCCCCCACACCTCAGCCCACGCCTGCTGTCCACAAAACTCAGGCTGGGTCTGTGACACCCAGTTTGAAAACCACCTGCCCCGCCTTTGCAGAGGAAACTACGGGAAAGAACTACATGTCTTTCTCAGCGTGGCCTGTGGAGGGGGTTACACACACAGGTGGCGTGGTGGGGGCCTGCCTGGCAGAGGCCCTAGGGCACATGTGTCAAACACAAGGCCCGCGGGCCAAATCTGTCCCGCCAGGCCTTGCAATGTGGCCCGCACCGCGCTGTCATCACTGCACTCCGCTGCGTTTCCATCACAATGACAGTTTATGACTGTTCAGTAAACCATTTGGCCCGCGATTTAGGCTGGATTTTAGATTTTGGCCCCTTCTCTGATTGAGTTCGACACCCCTACTAGGGGGCCCAGTGCCCAAGGGCACTGCGCTGTCTTCCAGCCACGGCCTCTGGGTTGTTACCTCTTATCTCTGCCTAAGACAGTCCACCCCTCCTTCCCAGTTATTAAGTTTAGAAGTAGCCTAATGACTTCCTGCTCAGAGAGACTAGCGCCTCCCCCCTCTCCCCCCAGCCTGCCTCTGTCCCTCCTTTGGCGCCCACGATCTTTACTTAGTGTCTGCCCCTCACTCTGCCAAGCGGGGTGATGGGCACCTCCCGAGCTTCGGGCCTCTCCATCCCCTTCCTCTTTCACGCAGGCCCAGAGATGCCCAGGGCGAGGACCGAGGTCCTGCCTCCCCCCAGGCCCACCAACTGCTCCCTGAAATCCGGAGGTGCTAGGGCTTCATGGCCTGACACCCCTCTGCATTGGAAATACTCTCAGAAAACATGCCCACAGTTTCCAGGCGAGGGGGCCCCAGGTGTGCCCCAGGTGTGCCCCGTGCTGGTCCCTGAAAATCTGAGGTCCAGGGGGGGGGCGGAGGAGGGCCGGCGCCCGGCTCAGTGGGCACAGCAGGCCCGGCCTGGTCCCCAACCCAGCTACTGCCTTGCTGTGTGTCCCTGTGCGACCCCCGGGCCTCTCTGGGCCGCTAGCTGGCATCCCCTCACTTACTCACATCATGCGCATGCATTGAGCAGCTACCCCGGGCCAGGCCCTAGTCCAGGAACACAACCCGCAAAGCTCTATCTCTGGAGTGAGCTGGATGGGAGGGCTAAGCTGCCAGCCCTGGGGATGGGATCGGGCTGGGAACCCGCAGTCTGGTGCCAGCTGCTGAGCGGCACGGAAGTTGCCCAACCTGAACTCCGCTGGGAACAGGCAGCCCGTGTTCTCCCAGCATCAGAAGCCACACACACACGTGTCCTCCTTTCCATGCTCAAGGCCTGCTGCATCGGGAGACTGGGACATGTGTTTGGGGCACCTGGCAAACTCCTATGCATCCCTCAAAGCCCACAGACAGATATGCCCAGCTGCCTCCACCTGCACTGACCTCTATCAGGGATGATCTTATGTTTTTCCTTGTGTGTGGCTCTCCTTAGCCACCCTAGCTCCCCTGGGCAGAATCACAGTATTAATGTCCTCTCTGGGGGTGGCTGTGGCATTGCATGAGACAAGACCTGTCCTAGAACAGGAATAAGTAATAGCCACCAGCATCGCAGCTCTCAGCTCTGCCGCCTCTCACCCCCACCGCCCCAGGCTGGGCTCGGTGCCGCCCCTCCCACAGCCAGCTCCTCCAGGAAGTGGGTTGTCACGGGCGCGGCCAGCGGAGGTGTGGATCTCACCGCACCTGCAGCCCGTGATCATGGCCAAAGGATGGGGTGAACCTGGCTGACAGCGAATTCTGGGGAGTGCGTCGGTCTGGCCCACAGCCTCCCATGTCCACAGGGGTAAAAGCAACAAGACCCTTCACATAACGGGGCCCTCCCCCCGCCTCCCTGGCCTCCCCGCATGTGAGCAGGACACCCGAACGAATGCACGGGGTGGGGAGCTGCGTCCTTAACCAATGCCCGTGACCTGCTTCCTGGTCCTAAAACCCGAGGCGGACCCTACAGACATCAGCACGGACACCCCCTGAGGGGATTCCTAATGAAATGGCCACACGCCTCCCTGCCTTCTTTCTTCGGAACTGTCCTTCCTCTGAACGTCAGTTTAGACAGGCAGGTCAAGCCTGAGCGTGTTCTTGGCATGAACGCTCAAACGACACAAAGGTACTGGTGCTCCTGACGAGCCGGAGGCTGGGGCTCCGGTTCTGCCCGCCCGGCACCTGGGGCACCTGCCTGCGATAGGACGGGCAGAGGGTCGGAGCCGGTCATCCTCTGCCTTTCCCGGGTGGATGTGCCCACCTGTGTGTGTATGGTGAAATACGGGCCCCTCCCTGCCACAGAGCCCGCAGGGCACCGTGCCGCTGCTCACTGATCACTCGCCAGCTGGGCGTGTCTGCTGCTGCCGCGCCATCGGCGGCACCTGCAGAGTCCAAGAGACTCGGGCCCGGGACTGCTGACTCCTGGGTAGGAAACATTCTTGCCCCTGGGACTGCTGGGGCAAGGGTACAGAGCAGGAGCCGCTGGGGGACCTCCCTGTCTGCCAGGAAAACCACACCAGCGTGGAGGAAACAGAGCTGGGAGGCAGCCCCTGAGTGGCCCTGATGGCACACGGCAGCACCTGGATCCAGCCATGCCTGAAGCTGCTCTGGACTTTGTAGTTAAAAGGGCAAAGGGATCTGTTATTTCTCAGAGTACCATGGAGCTGTCCTATAATTTGCTCCTGGAAGAATCCTGGCTTGAACTGGATTCTCCCAGAAACCGGGCTCTTCACAGGGAGGGCGGGGGGTAGGAGGTGGGGGACGGGACGGGTGGCAGTACCTGCAGATCTGCACCTCATAGCCCAGGTCCAGGGGGTCGTTGGGGGCCGTGCCCTCCTGGAAGTCGCTGACGTTGAAGGAGGAGAGCGTGTGGTTGACGAAGCCGTGCATGGTCCCGTTCTGGCTGTACATGTACAGGTACACCAAGCGGGGGATGAAGTCCGACGTGAAGGAGATGACGAAGGCCTGGGGGGAACAGCAGGGTGAGCATAGGACCCACGGTTTCTGGGCCTGATCGTGGGGCGCCCTGCCCACGAGTTAGTAACGTGACCAAATGCCGAGTGAACAAATGAAGGGTTGGGGGGCATTCCTGTCAGTCCCTCCGGCAGCCCAAGGAGCTGGGGACATAACACCGTTGGGCATGAGATGAATGCTGGCAGCCTCTTACTCGCTGTGCGGCCTTGGGCAAGTCACCTAACCTCTCTGTGCCCCCATTTTTCTTCTGGTTACACAGGACTAACAACACCCACTGTACAATCCTTGTGCCTCGTGGTTTTTTGTTTGAGATTTAAAAAATTGATTTTGAGAGAGAGAAGGAGAGGGCGAGGTTTAGAGAAACATCTATTGGCCATCTTCTGCACACGCCCTACCAAGGATGGAGCCTGCTTGGGAATTGAACCAGCAACTTGTCAGTGCACAGGATGATTCTGAGCCACACTGGCCAGGCACTTAAAAAAAAAAAAAAAAAAAAGAGACCAAACCGGTGTGGCTCAGTGGATAGAACGTTGGCCTGCGGACTGAAAAGTCCCAGGTTCGATTCCGGTCAAGGGCATGTACCTTGATTGCGGGCACATCCCCAGTAGAGGGTGTGCAAGAGGCAGCTGGTCGATGAATCTCTCTCATCGATGTTTCTAACTCTCTATCCCTCTCTCTTCCTCTGTAGAAAATCAATAGAATATATTAAAAAAAAAAAAAAAAAAAAAAAAGAGAGAGAGCAAAAAAAATTGCCTAAGGGGAATCTCTCTCTTTCAGTATCTCTCTGTCTCTGTCTCTCTCTTGTTTATCCTCAGGACTCTAGGGAGAGTGGACTTAGGGGTCAAGGTGGGCATGGTAGAGCATTTTGCTCAGGGCCGCAGGAAAAGGCTGAGGAGAATTGGTGATTCTCACCACAGCGTCTCAGCACGACCAACGGCCACTTCTAAAGAGGAGACGCTGCTGCAGCCGCGGCCCCGCCCAGGCTGAAAGCAGAGGGTGCCCAGCTCCCTGGGAGGGGCGGGGGAGGGGTGCGATGGGCGGCCAGGCAGCTCAGCCAGGGCCTCCCTTGGCCCGCCCGCTGTCACTTACGTTGATGATGACGGCAAGCTTCCCGATGCCTCGGAGGATGTTGTACCAGATTCCTGGGGAGGCAGAAGCACAGCGTTAGGGAGCCCCCGCGGCTGGCCTCAGGGACCCAGAGAGGCACCCGCTGACCCCAGAGCCTGGGCCCCTGCAGGCTCACCCGCTGCTTGTGAGCAAATCCTAACTCCTACATGAGTGCTTCAAACCAGCCGGTCCCTCAGGCATCCTGAGCAAGCTCCCGGGAGCCTGTTCACCCACTGGCTGGCTGGACGACACCTTTTTTTTTTTCTTTTCTAGAACCACCAAGATTCAAGTCGGGTGTAGCTCTTGCCCATAGGAGCCCATGGCATGGTAACGCGAGGCCAAGCCCAGAACTGTTATGCAGCTCTTTCCTCTGTCCCTCTATGTAGGGACAAGCCAGGGGTAGTGCAGGGGTCAAAGAGCAAACCAGCGGCCCTGGGTCACGTCTGGGTGTCATGACCATTTCCGGTGGCACCGGAACGCAGGGGAGAAGGACCCTGAGAAGCAGGGGTTCCGCCACGGGCCTCCCTGGCAGCCGGGCCCAGGAAGGAAGGAAGGGCCTTGTCTGGGGGCCCAGAGCCGGCCCTGCCTGTTAGGGCCTCGGTGATGCGACTCCCGGGAAGGGGCCCCGTGCCTCCTGCCTGACCCTAACCCAGTCCCCTTGGGCCAGGAGCCCTGTTGCTGAACCAGATCTGATTCCCGCAACCACCAGCACTTCTCAGAAAGGGCGGGAGGGGCCTGCGAGTGTGCCAGTCATCAGGGAGGAATGTGGTGGGTGGGGTTTCTCTGTGCAGGGCAGAGGCTGCTTTGGGGCAGGAGAGCAGTGAGCACCCGGGCGCTCCCTGGGTTCCGATTTTGGGGGTGCATGTTGGTGGTCTGCAGAGACCTGATTCCAGGTCTGTGTGGCCCAGAAGCTAGAAACCATGGACTTGGAGGCGGCGCCCGAGGCCGGTGTGCGAGGATCCCGTGACAGCGCCCCCTGCTGCTGGCCCTCCTCCGGTCAGCGGTCTCTGAGCCGGGCCTGGGAGGGCTGACCGAATCCAGATACAAGCTGGAGTGGTTCCCTTTGTATTGCTCCTTGGCCGTGTCAGCACCCTGAGGGTGCCGTCACCCATTCACGGGCCCCCCCCGCCCCCCGTGGGGCCTGAGTTTGTGGCCTCTGAGCTGGGGTGCTGGGGTGCTGGGCACAGGTAGCCGGGGGAAGGGTGCTGCCGCTGGGTAGGGGGCTCCCTCGGGAGGCAGCTGAGCTCAGCACCAGGAAACGGGCCCATGGCGGGCTGGGGACAGTGGGGAACGGGTGGGCCAGCAGAGCGATCCCCAAAGCTGGGAGCCAAGCCTGTCTTACAGGTGCCACAGCGAATTCACGTGGGGCCAGTGGGCCTCTGAGTGACCCCCACACCGGAATCGTGGGGCCCTGCTTAAAAAGTGCAAAACCAGGGCCCGAGCAGCCTGTCTCGGCGTCTTGCCTCTCCCCGGGTGCGTGGCCGAGCTCCGCGGTGAGAACCGCGGCTCTGCGGATCCCCAGGAGCCAGGGACCAGGCTCTTGGGAAAATGTCTGGGCTTCCTTCGTGGGGGAGCCGTCTTCTCCGAGGCGCCTCTGCCACCCCAGGTGCTAAGCCCCATTTCCAGGAACACGCCAGGGCTGCTCTCACCCGTGACCACACGCAGCGCCCGGAGCTGAACGCCGGCAGGAGTTTGTTCCCGGAGGCTCCGCCGAAGGAGGCCGAGAGCCGGAAGCGGGTTAATCTGGTGTCAGAGGTCAGGGCTGGGAAGCAGAGGCCGGTTCCCACGCGCAGGGCTGGGTGCCCTGCAGCCCGGGCCACGCCCCCGCTCCGTGCCCAGGCAGAGCTTCCCCAGCCGTCCCTCCCCACCCCCCGTGGGTGCAGGTCACAGGGGCCACGGGGCCCTCTGTCCCCCCGGGGCCCTGCACGGATCACAGGAGGAACACAAAAGCCTCTTCAGGAAAAGGTTACGGCGAAGAAGCCCATAAATAAACCCGTGAAAGGAGGCAGATTATGCCTTCACCCAACCGTACAGGAACCAGGAAGTGAGCGGTGATCCGAGAGAACCAGCGAGAACCAGAGCCAACCTCCCCCAGTCCGGAGCCCCGCTCCACGCCTGGCTCCCGGTGGGAGCCACGGCCGCCGCGCCCCGCTCCGCTCTCCCCCGTGGAGCACGGAGGCCGAGGCTGCCCAGCTCCTCTCCCCCTGGTGCGTTGGCAGCTTTTAGGATGTGGCTGCAGGGGGCAGCCAGGGCTTTGCCAAGCAAAGGGCGCCAAAGCAAACACCGGCCTGGGGCCCGCGGGCACCCGAGAATCATAAGGAAGAGGGACAGGAGGCCATGCTCTTCCCTCTCCTGCCGCTGGGCCCGGGGTCCAGGCTTCCCAGGGCCTGTCCGGGGTGCGCAGCGCAGGCCACCTGCCACCTGGTGCAGCATAAGCTTCTGGGGGCCACGCTCCTCGCACAGGGGTGCGGCTCTGGAGGTCCCCTCTGGGTCAGCCCCCGGGGGTGGGAGAGTGAGGAGCCCTCGGGTTGTGCATCACCCCCACCCCGAGACTCTGAGTCTCCATCCAGGCAAGGTGCAGTGAGCAGCCCCCGGGGACCCCGCGCCCGGTCCCCCTTTGCCCGCCCTGGCTCTCCCTCGGGCAGAGCGGGTTCCCTTCCCCAAACTCAGCAGGTGCTTGCTCACACCCGCCCCGCGGCCGCTCACCGATGTCTTTGGCCCGGACGGCCACCGGCCGGCGCAGCTCGGTGACGAACTTCTTGGCATCCAGGCGGATCTCGATGATGTTGTTCAGCAGCGCGAACAGCGGGGCGAGGGGGAAGGAGGCCACGAACAAGGTGACGAAGCCAAACTGGATGACTGCAGAGACAGGGAGCCATCAGCCTCCAGCACGGGAGGGGGTGCCCTCACCCCGGAGCCCCAGGAGCTGACCACTGGGGTTCTGCCTCCCGAGGAAGAAGGTGACCAGGGAGTGTGACCCTTGAACCATGGGCCCAGCTGGCCCATAAGTCCTCATCTATCACATGTTTAATCTTAAAAATAATACAATGTTATATTGAATGTAAAGTGTAATTGCAAAGTAAAAAAGAGAAATCAATAACCAATAATGGGGGAAAATGCCCCGTGAGTACCAGGGCCCAGGCTTGGCCACTGTGCCTGGGTTAGAAGGACCTTCGTGGGCCCCTAAGCTCCCATCGGCCAGACGTTCCTGCACGTGAGGGGCCTGCCAGTGTCTCCAAAAGCCCTCGTCACCCCTCCCATCGGGCCTGGGGGAGCCGGGCAGGGACCAGTGTGCAGGGTGATGTTGCCCTGCCTCAGACCCCTCCCTCTCCCTCCTCATCCTCATCACGGACAGGCCCCCTCTGCGGCTTTCCGGAGGGGACAGGAAAAGGTTGCTGAGCAGAACCGAGTGGGGCTGCAGGTTCAGGAACTGCATGCACCACAGGACCCGGCCCCGGCACTTGGTGCAGGTGGCGCACAGGAGGTGACAGGACGTCATGGTGTGCCTGGGCAGCTGAGTGTGGCCACTGCCCCGAGCACAGTGGGTGGGGCTCCATGTGGCCCCTGGGCCGTACGCTGGGGGCCGATAGGCTCTGGGGGTGAGGGGACCAGGATAAGCTCAGCGTGCGGGCCAGGGGCTGCTGAGGCTGAGGCAGTGGGTTCCCCTGGGCCAGGAATGGGGGTGGGGTTGGGGTGGGGGCAGGACATTCTAGGTTGGGCCTTTCCTTGCTGTGTTTGGGATCCCATGTGCTCTGGGTGCCCAGAGAGTTGGCCTCGAGGGGGAGGCAGGCGGGGGGTGTGGTGGGGCGCCCCCTGGATGAAGGATGAGGGAAAGGTCTGAAGACTCCTGCAGAGAGCTCCAGAGGGCAGCGCCCCGTGGCCACCACCACAGTTATTTAAAATGCGGGTTCCCTGGCCCATCCCTGGTCTGAGCCGGGCGAGACCTGGGGCTGTGGGTTTTCAAACAAAGCCCTGGGCAAGCGCGGCTGGGCCCTGCTGGGCCGTGGTGAGGCGGTGAGGCGGTGCGGGGCAGGGCGACCTGGGGCGGAGCTTCCTGCTTTATGGCCAGCCCGCCCTGCGTGCTTTTCGGCCCCGCTGGTCCATAAGTCAATCCCAGCCTCCCAGAGCGGTGTGGAGCACTGGGGAGCAGCAGGGAGCTCCCTGGGTGGGCGGGAGGAGCCTGTCCCAGGATCTAATTTCATCACATCCAGGGGAAAAGGGAGCTCACCCTCCAGCCATCACAGCAATGAACCTCTGAGAAACGATTTCATATCTTAGCCCATCACAGGCTGCCCCTCCCCCCCCCCAGGGGGGCTGTAGGGAGGCAGGCTCTCCCGCACCCAGTGCTGGGTGGACCAGCCCACCTGCCTCTGGTTCAGCTTGGATTTTATTCCAGGAAGAAACAGAGAATGTCCTCCAAACACACTACGGTTTCCTTTCATCCCAAGCCTCCAGATTCTTTCCCTTCTGAGTCAACGGCGGCACGGAGCTCCTTGCACCCCTGGGAGGCCGGGCAGGGCTTACATGGACCAGCGCAGGGCAGGCTGGCCATAAAGCAGGGAGCTCCGCCCCAGGTCGCCCTGCCCCGCACTGCCTCACCGCGGCAGAATGGCGCCTGGCGGCCTTTGCCCAGGGCTTTTTTTGAAAACCCACAGCCCCGGGTCTCAGCCCGCACAGACCCGGGATGGGCCAGGGAACCCACCTTTTAAATAACCTGTCTGTGGTGGCCAGGGGGCACTGCCCCCTAAGACCTCCTTCCCCCATCCATGCATTCAGTGGGTACGCACTGAGTGCCCACCGCCCACCTGGGCCTGCTCTGGGTGCAGGGGGCCCGCTAGGAAAGAGACGGGACGGGATGGGACGAGCTGATCACGTCAGAGGGTAAAGGGAGCCGTGTGCAGGGAGGGGCTGCCCCCTTTTACACTGTGGTCAGGGAGGCCTTCTGGGGTGGACACTGGGTGCTGAGCCCCTGGGGAAGGAAGCGGGGGAGTCATGCCAGGATTGGGGGAGAGTATTCCTGGCACTGCTCGCGCAGGAGAGGTGGCCGTTGTGTCTGGGTGACAGCGGGAGGCCCTCCCGTGTGGCCAGAGCAGAGGGAGGCGGGTGGGGTGGGGTCAGGGAGGCTCCGGGTGGTGGCCTGACCTCTCCGTCTGTCCCTCGCTCCGCCTCTGAGAGTTCCGGGCCACCCCTGGGCTCCCTCCCGAGCGCAGGAAGCGCGGCCATCCCTGGTGAGGAGGCGCCCGCCCCCTCCACGCCCGCCGTGCTGTGCTCACTCATCTCCATGTACTCGGGGGTGAGGCCCCCGAACGGCTCCAGCGTGAAGTCCGCCTCGTAGCGCTGCTTCCTCTTCATGTGCTCGTCGTGGTCGGCGGGGCTCTGGCGCTTCAGCCGCAGATAACGGATGAACTTCTTCATCTTCCTGGAAGCAAGGCCGGGCCGCGGTCAGGCCGCGGGAGGGCGGGCTCCGGGGGCCGCGCGTCTGCACAGCAAGCCGAGCACCCAGGTCCCTGAGCCGTCATTTCCCACCCTGAGCTCTCTAACTGTCCACGGCCCTCTTTGCCCTGGCCCCCGGCGGCGGGGGTCACAGGAAGCAGGGGCGCGGGGAGGGCCATGGCCACCTAAAATGGCAGGGAGGCCCTGAAGGTGCCCAGGGCCTGGCCGGGCCCACGCGGGCCCGGGGAGGGCGGAAAGAGAAGGCAGATCATGGCGCCCTGAAGAGGGACCGGGCCACGGTTCCGGAAGGATGCTGGGTAAGCAGGCACGGCCTCCGCCTGCCGACCGCAGGGCCTGTGGGCACTCTGCACCTCAGCCAGTCGGGGAGCAGCGTCCTCCGCCTCCTCTTCCCCGTTCCCGGTGGAGCAGCTGCCGCCGGGTCCTCCCGCTCGGTCCTCACCACCTCCCTGTCTGGCATCCCCACGCCCCCACCCCGTCCTGGTCCAGGCCCCGGCCCCGGATCTCCCTGCTCCCGGCCGGCGGTACTCACGGGATGCCGATCTCAAACAGGTTGTTCTGGATGAGCTGCTTGCCCAGCATGATGATGCTGAGCTGGATGCACAGCTCCATCAGGCAGCCGCCCGGGGCGCACTGCGGGCAGAGGGAGGGCGCGTGAGACCCCACCTACCCCGAGGGCCCGGGAGAGAGGACCAGCCCCCCGGGAGGGGAGCTCGGCCCTCGCGGGGGGGGGGGGAGGGGGGGCTGAAGGGTGTCCTCCACAAAGTGAGGTCCGCGTCCTAATCCCAGAACCCCAGGAGGGGGCCTTATTTGGGAACAGGGTCTTTGCTGACGTGACCACGTTAGAATGAGGTCACACGGTGAATCATGGGCTCCCGTCCAATGGCTGATGTCCTTACAGGAAGAGGACAGGGAGCCGCAGAGAAGGCGAGGGAAGCCGGAGGGAGGCAGAGATCGCAGTGCCGTGTCTGTCTGCCAGGGAGCGCCAGGGACTGCCCATGGCCACGGACGCCGGGCGAGGCCGGGGAAAGCCCCTCTCCTCTGGAAGGAGGGCAGCCCGGCTGACACCGGGGGTTTGGACGGCTGGCCCCAGAACTATGAGGGAATCAATTTTTTAATTTATTTAAATATTTTACATGATTTCAGAGAGGAAGGGAGAGGGAGATAAACATCAATGATGAGAGAGAATCATTGACTGCCTGCCTCCTGCACACCCCCTACTGGGGATCGAGCCCACAACCGGGGCCTATGCCCTGACTGGGAATCAAATTGTGACCTCCTGGTTCATAGTTCGATGTTCAACCACTGAGCCACACCGGCCGGGCGATTTCTGCTGTTTTGAGCCTCCCATCTGCGGTGTTTCGTTCTGCCCCTGGGAAGCTAGCGCGCCTGGCCTGCAGGCCGCCGGGCTGCGCCCAGGCTCAGGGGGGGAGTGCACGGCCAGGATGGGCAGCGCCAGGCCAGCTGCTCTTGGGCTTCCCCTTCTCCCCCAAGGCCAGCGCCTCGTCCCTCACACCGGCTGTCTGTCCACAGACCCTGCACGGCCACGGCCACGGCAGGCTGAGGTCCCCGCAGTTGGGAAGCCACACGGTGAGCCAGCCAGCCACCTAATGCCCCTGTCCTTAGGGGCTTGTGGGGCCTTCGGCTGGGGCCGGTATAATGAGAACTCAGGACACCCTGGAAGACCCCCTGAGGACAGAGGACTCCCCTTTGAGTCCCTACCACACCTTTTTATATTCTTACCCGAAAGTTTATCTTGCAGAGCCATCATTTCATAAAAAAATAAAAATAAAAAAAGATGACGGCTTTTGCTTTATTCTATTCTAGGAAGGCCTGTCACCGACTTCTCCCAACACTGAGGAGGTGGACAGGGCACCGTCTATGTGGAGGGCACGTTAGAGGAAAGCCCTGGCTGGGCCGTTTGCGAACATCTGTTCCCGTGGGTGAGGCTGGCACTCCAGGGGGTTGAGCCTCTAGGCTGTGCCCCGGGCAGCCAGATCGCCCTGTACCTGATGTCCATCCCCATCTTCCCTTCCCCTGGGTCTTCACCAGGAGGACACTCCCCTTTGTTTTCCGATACGTGGAATTATTCTGGGGGTTGGAAATGCTGACCTGGTCCCCAGAGGCAGGCTCAGAAGCCCCAGCTTGGTCTGGGGCCGGGACCCAGCGGCAGGGGACGGTGGGTGCCCTGACCAGACCCGCGGTGGCCCCAGGTCCCCAGCATTGTTTTTTGGGGGAAGAGAAGCGGGCACATTTCAGTGTTAAAGGTAGCTGAGTTTCGCTTTCCCCTCATCTTAACCAAAGGAGAACAGATTCTCGGTCTAACAGGAAAAGGGAAGAAATCGGCGCCCTTGCTGGGTTTCCCTGGCTCTGAAGAGATGGCCCTTTTGGAGTGATCCTGTATGGACACGCCTAAGACTGTCAGAGCCCGGCCACCCTCCGGGAGAGGGGCTCCCACGGGAAGGCAGGAGTCGGCCGGGTGCTGAGGGGACAGAGGGAGATGGATCGGGGGCACGGAGGCTTGCGAGCTCATTACCTCTTCCATGCGGAAGGACTGGAAGATGTACACGTAGTCGCCGGGGCGCCCCACGAACCTGTAATGGTTGGGGGGGCAGTTAGACAGCAGAGACCCAGCGTGGGGGGCCCCTCCCAGGGGAGGGGCGAGCTGGGAGTCCCGAAGGCACAGCCTGGAGTGTATTAAATGCCTGATCCAATGGCTAAAAAATGACCGGGGATGTTCTGTTGGCTCAGTGTCCCTGTGATTCCCAAACCCACACGGGGTAAGAAACGTAACAGGGAACCTAGTGGCTGAGGGGGGACGGAAGTGGGGAGCCCAGGGGGGGAGTAAGCCAAGCTGTCACCCACCATGGCGGGGCCACGGAACCCCAGGGACCTTGGAGGCTGGGTGTGGTGGTCCCTGAGGCTGCCTCTCAGCTTCCTGTGGGAGGCGAGGGCTGGGGGCCTCTGGGGCTGCTCCGTCATCACGGATGCTCTCAGGGGGCCTGGACCCCTTGGCCGGGCTCTGGGACCCCAGGGTGGGAGGACCCTGTGGTTCTGGAAGTTACGGGATGCTGAGGAGCCTTTGGGGAGGGGGGTTCTGGGATCAGATCTGCCAGCCCCAGCAGGAGGGGCGGTAGGGGGTCTAGAAAAGGGGCTCACAGGCCAGGATGGCTCCGGAGGTCCAGACACGGGCTCACCCCGTCACCAGCCTGGCATGTGGAGCTGGTCAGCAGCGGCATTTCTCATACCTCCTCCCAAGGCCCTCGCCCCGAGGCATCTTGACCGACTGCGGAGGCACCTGGCACTCGCTGCCTGGGGTCCTTATTATCTGGGGTCCCCACTGCCTAGGGTTCCTGGTATCTGGGGTCCCTAATGTTCTGGGGCCCTAATGCCCAGGATCCTTGCCGCCTGGCACCCCCATAGTCACTAGAACTCAGAACCATCCTGACTGCTCTGTTCTGGGCCACGGTGCCCCCCGCCTATGGGCACAGGGAGAGGACCCTCCCACGGGCCTGGCAGCAGCGAGTGGCGGGGAGGCAGCAAGTTCAGTGGCTGAGGGGGTCCCTACCGGCCTTTGAAGAAAGCCACGTAAAAGATGGGGGTGTAGGAGTTGACAAACTTCAGCAGGAACGCCTTGAAGATCAGCCTCTCCTCGAAGCTCTTCTCCGTCTTGGGCACCTCTGGAGGGAGGAGACGCAGGCCGCTGAGTGGCCGGCTGACCGCCCCACGCGGCTCTCAGGGGACGGGGCCAGAGGAGGGACGGGACCCGCCGGAGGCCCCAGGGCAGGAGGGGCCGCGGGCTCCAGGGCCGGCCGGGCCGCGTCCCGGACCCGGGCGCTCACCGATCTTGGTGAGCCACCGGGCCACGCAGCCGTAGACCTCGTCTAGCAGGATGATGACCACCAGGTTGATGATGACCGCGGTGGCCGTGACCGTGACCCGGATGTTGGAGCGCACGGCGGGGGAGGAGTTCATGGCTAAGGCGGCGGCGGTGGAGATTCTGTAGATGATGACGCCGAGGACGATGGCGAAGGTCACCGCGATCTGCAGAGGAGGAGGGACGCCTCGGCTGGGCCACCTGGGTCTCCCGGACCCCCCCTGGTGCTCCCCAGCCAGCACCCCCTCCACCCTCAGCTTCCTGTCACCCACACACACCAGGGCCTCAGTGGCATTAACTCCGCAGACACCAACAAGGGACTGGTGTCTGTTTTCCAGGAGAGACTGAGTGGTCTGCCACCAGGCCAGGTCACCCCGCACACAAGTGGGGTTCACCAGACTGACCACCTAGTGGGGGCTCCCCCCCCCCCCCCCGCAACCTGGTGACGAGCAGAAGTAGAGACACACTCTCGGTGGAGGCTGCTGCAGGCCTGGCTGGACCGTCCAATGGGGTCCCTTCTCTCAACCTCCCTGGGGTCACCAACACCCTCTGGCTTGTCCCCAAGAGCGAGCCCCTCTCCTTGCCCTCCCCCCCTCCCCCCCCGTTGGACTGGAACGTCCCACACAACTTGGGCTGGAGGTGGCCTGGGCGATGGGGGGCGGGCAGCTGGTTAGGATGACAAGGCTGTTCCGTGTGGCACTGTCTGTCTGTCTGTCTGCCTGGGTCCCGTTTCCTTTTCCTCAAAGACCCTAACTCAGCCGGGGAGACCCTGTCCTGCCCCAGGGGGAGGCCACCTGCGAGTCCTAGTCCCCAGGACACACCACAGGCTCCACGCTCTTCCCGCTCCCCTGGGTGTCCGCATCCTCACACATTTACTCCGTTAGGGAGCGGGGGGTGGGCCCGGCTCTGTAGGAGGGTGCCGGGCGGCTCCTGGGACAGTCCCGGGGGCCCGGGGGTGCGCTCTGCGCCCGCAGCCTGGCTCACCCCTGGGGACCCCGCAGCCACTGGAAGTCTCCCAGCAAAGCTCTTGTTTTGAACTCTGGGCCAGCGACGGTGCTTCTGCTGGTGACTAAAGGGGGACCACACCCTGCCCGAGAGACAGCAGCGGCCACACCACACCCGGGCGGAGGGGCGGCCCCACTCGGAGGTGTGGGCACCGCTCTCTGCCGGCTCTGGGAACAAGGGCTTTCCTCGGAAATCCCCGGCTCCTGCCAAGGGGCCCCTCCCAGGGGGAGGCACCGCCCTGGCCCCGAGAAGGCCCTCGTGCCAGCGTGCGGAGGGGCAGGCAGGCGGCCGGGCCTGCGGGCCTCCCCTTTCCCAGCCAGAGTGGGGGGTGGGGGGGGGCACGTCCCCATGACAGGCAAGCCCCGTGCAGCCTCCTTCCTGGGTGCAGCTACCCTGGGAAGGAAAGGGCCGCCCGGGCCTGGGGCTGGCTGGCATGGCCACTCGGGGTCTCTACGCCGGGAGGAACACCGGGCACGTTGTAGGTGCTCCACCCAAAGCTCCTGTGAAGGGAGCTCCTGTGGGTGGGACAAAGCTTACTGAGCCATTGGATGGGGTGGGGGTGGGGGTGGGGGGCAGCACATCAGGGGCCAGCTCCTCCCTTGCCCACTAGCCTGCCTCTGCTGGGAGGGACGGTGTGCCCATGCTCCCGTGTCCCTGCAGACGGCGGGCCCACGGGAAAGGGTCTGACTGGCGAGATGCAGGCAGGGGGAGCGGGCCGGGAGACCCAGGTGGCAGGTGTCTGGGAAGCACCTTCAGGGAGGGGCTGCCTCCACCGGCACGATCCCCTTCCCCTTGGCCCTGACCCTTCCTCCCGCCGGGAGAGCGGAGGGATGCGGGGCGGGAGCAGCCCTGTGGTGACTAAGAGGACGCCTGGGATGGGTGCGAGGAAGGCCAGGGAGGTCAGTGTCTGGCGGCATCGTGGAGCGGCCAGACTTGCCCTGCACGGCCCGCCTCCTCGTTGTTGCTTACGAGGAGCTTCAACGCCCTGCAAGGCCGCCCGGGAAGCGGCATGCAGCCAGGGGCTCCTCGCTGCGGTGCAGGAGGGCCCAGCCGCCCCTCCCCCCCCTTCCTGTCCCCCCCCCCCCGCGGGTCCTTCTGCAAGGACACGGCCCCTTCTCCGCCAGGTGCCTCCGTCCCCTGCTTCCGCATCCCGTCCCCTGTGACGTGAGCCCCAGGGAGGCTCTGGGTAGGGACCACGTCATCCTGAGGTGCTCGCCCCTCCCTCCCCCCCGGGCACTAAGCTCCGTGTTTGCCCAGAGGGGACACTCACATGACATTGGAGCGTGTGCCCCAGGGCCCTCAAGACCAGACCGACCCGCCCAGAGTCATCTGGATGGCACAACAGCCCCAGCCCCATCGAGTTGGCTCCGGGGATTTCTTTCCATTAGTTGAAATCCCCCTTTAGCGTGTGTAAGAGCACGAGGGGAAACTGAGTCCTCCCTCGGCCCTGCCCTTATCCCAGCCTGGAAAACCGAGATAAGCCTCTGGCCCCAAGTCCATGTGGAACAGCGGGCCCCTGGGGCAGACGGCCCTCGTGGCCGGTGGCGCTGTCCCCTGCTGGCGGGTGGCCTGGGGAGAGGGGCCGGACCGCCAGGCCTCAGTTTCCCCACCAGCTGCAGGGGAGGTCTCAGGACAGGCAGGTGGTGAGACCTGAAGGAGATGCTCCCTGTTCAGCAGCCCTCGAACCCGGGGCCCCTGGGAGCCAGGTCACAGGGTGGGGGACTGGACAAACCGACAGCCTTTCCTTCAGTGACCACAGGGGGCTCTGACCTCTTGGGGAAGAATGAAAGTACGGCTGGCCGGGGGAGCCCCGTGAGCAGGAGGGGGGAAGGGGGAACCCCTCGGAGAGCTCAGGTGTGGCTGAGGCATTGGAGACAGCCAGGCCCACCCGCCCGTCACAGCCCCCCAGTCACTTCTGTCCCGTCTGAGCTTATTTAATTCTTTCCTTTAAAAACCTTCCAATGAAAAGGACAAGGAGGTATCACCTCCCACCTGCTGGAATGGCTACCATCATTAGATCAACAAGCAGCCAGTGCTGGCGAGGATGTGGACAAAGGGAACCCCAGGGCCCTGCTGGTGGGGATGCAGACTGGCGCAGCCACGGTGGGGAACCGTGCGCAGTTTCCTCCAAAAATTAAACACGGAACTGCCTTTGGACCCAGCAACCCCGCTTCTAACACTATGTCCTAAGAAACCAGAAGCACCAATCAGAAAGAAGGTATGTACCCCTATGTTCACAGCAGCACCATTTACAAACAGCTTGAGATCTGGACACAGCCCGAGTGCCCATCAGTGGATAAAAAAGCTGTGGTACTTTTACACCATGGAATATGGTGTAAACATGAAAAAGAAAGACCTCTCGCCCTTTGAGACAGCACGGAGGGGCCTGGAGAGCACTGTGCTAAGTGAAATAAGCCAGTCAGAGAAAGACAAGCGTCACATGGCCTCACTCATGTGGAATCTAATGAACCAAATAAACAGACGATCGAAATAGACCCAGAGACACAGAAGCTTGGGACAGGCTGATGAATCTCAGAGGGAAGGGGAGGCGGCGAGAAAAGATTAACTAAAGAACTTATATTGGGGTGAAGGCCTGGGGAGGGGTGGGAGCAGGGTGGAGGGAGTCAGTGGGGTGGGAGGTGGGAAGGGGACATCGGTAATACTCTCAACAACAAAGATAAATTAAAAAAAGATAAAAACCTCAGTTTTGCCTTAAATAGTACCTTCGAAATCTGGTGTCCCAATGAGGGGGAACCTGGGAAATTATCTCACGGACCCCAGGGGACCGCTGGGGAACCTCGCTCCTTCCCATTCCAGGGGTACCATCCCAGGAGCATACGGCCGCCACAGTGACGGCCGACCCCAGGCTGGGGGTGGGCTCCCCCGCGTCCTCCCGCCTCGGCCTTCCGGAACTTACCATGAAGACGATGGACATCAGGTTGGTGAAGTAGGCGGGGAACCGGTCTCTCCAGGTCAGCTTCACCTTGTCAGTCTGCAACACGGAACGATGCGGGTCACCATGGGAACCACCCGGGCGGGGAGGCATGCACGCGCACGCGTGCGTGTGAGTGCATGTGTGCACATATGTGCGTGTGCGTGCGTGCGTGTGCACCCGTGAACTTGGACAACAGAAATACTGAGAAACACCTTAAAAAAAAAACAAAACCCCGCTCATTTACAGTTCGAGTGGATGCAAACGTCTAGCGTTCAAAGAAACCGCTGGGGTCTCACGACCTAGGAAACGATGCCGCGGAATGATGGAAGTGGGCTTCCTCGGTGCGAGGCAGTAACAGTAACAACAAGCGTGTCCAACGCTTTTCTAAGCCAGCCCGTCAGACCCTCGCCGGGGAGAAGCGTATTGGACCCCGTTTCTTTGGCTGAAGGTCTCCCGTCTAGGGCGTGACGGTCTAAGGTGCGTTGCCCTCCGCCGCCCAGACCATACTATTGTAGTTATTCTCCTTTGCAGAGCGAGTCCAAACAAGCAGCCCCAATATTTGCTACGGAGCAGCAGCGGACGGCGGCGACACGCGGCCACAGGGTCGGGAGGAGCCCTGCGCAGAAGCCCGTCACCCACCTGGGATGTGTCAAGACTTTGGGTGAGCCGTTCCTTGGGAAATGCAAGTGTTCGGACAAGGGATGCTGCCGAGGACATGCCCCAGGGCGGGCGACATGCGTGTTAAGGAGCAGGCGAGGCCGGTGGCGGGCAGTGGTGACAAGCACAGTGCACAAGGCCCCCCCCCCCCGCCCCGCCCCCCCCTGCCCCGCCCCCCCCCGCAGCCACAGCCATGCAGTGACACCTCCACACACGCCACAGCTCACCATGGGGTGCGGCGGGAGGGCGAAGAAGCACGATGGTGAGTGTTAAAAAAAAGGACAAGAACCAACACAGAAGTCAGAGTTGGCCGAGGAGGACGCGACGGACTTAGATCGTCGCAAACAGTCACGACTCGCATCGCCCCGACACAGACAAGTACCAATTTCACCCCCGCCATGGCTGTCTTAACCCTCCGCTTCCATTTGTTTGTTGACTCTTCTGGATTATCCCGGCGCCTCTACGGGGGGGAGGGGGGGGAGGGAACAAGAGAGCACCACGGGGTGAGGTGTGACCGTGGCCCAGGCCCCCGTCGCCCCCGTGGTGTGCTTGCCGCCCGGGCCGGTCCAGGTTCTGGGGGTTGCACACCAGCGGGAGCTGGCAGGGACCCCGACCTCACAGCAAGGCTGAGGCCCGGCGGGGAGGGGTGCGGCAGACCAGGCGTCAGAGGCCCGTGGGGCTCGGCAATGCCCGGCTCACAGACCGGCTGCTGCGATTTACAGGCTTCGCTTATGCAAAGACACCCAGCTCCGGATGCTGCCAACATAAAGGAGGCCACGCCCGGAGCTGTGCGTTAATACACCAACTAAGGGGTGGATTGTGTTTTCCCAAGTGGGTCTGGAGCCACCGCTGGAGGGAACTAAAAACCATCAAGGAGCTGCTGGGAGCCAATGAAACGGAGGAGGAAATAGAGAGTGTGGCCCATCAGAAGCACACAGGGCTTGGGGTCCCCCAGAGGCCTGCAGAAATCACCCCATCCCTTGTTCTCATGTGACCTGAGATCTCTGGTCAAAGCCCAGAGGGGGAGTGGCCGGGGGGAGGGGTCTGAGGGGCACTCCTGACGCCCACCCAGACCCACCGCTGGGGTTGGCGAAGTCCCTCGATTCACGTGGACGTGCCACGTGCCACAAAGCCCTTTTCCCCTCAGGAGGGGGTGCAACAGCCAACCCTGCTCACGCCCTGAGGTGCCGCCGTGAAGCCATGGCATGGCTGTCCCGGGCCACCGCGGCCGAGATGCCGCCCTGAGCACGCTGGCATCCACGCCCCTCCCTTCAGGAGGGGAGACCGAGGCCCGGGAGGGGTAAAGGAGCCGCTCAAGGCCACAGGTCGCTGCTCGGAAGGCACCGGGCATGGGGTGTCACACCTTCTGATCGGGTAAACTGAAGACAATCTCCCGATTTGGGGTGACGGCTCAGGCTTTTGTGGTTATAGTTTTGCACCCCGGGTCCCGCTCAGACTCGAAGAGTGTGTTCAAAGAGTGCACCCCCTTTGTGACAACAAGAGGACTGAGCTGGATTCTGCTGTCATGGAAACGGGCCTGAGAGGGGGCTTTGGTGCACCCACTTTACCCCCTAGATGGGATGTCGGTGATTGTGACCCCCAGCTCCTGGGGACCAGAAAACTCTGTGTGTGTGACACAGCGGCCAGGAAAGACTGGGGGACTGTCCTGATCAGCCCCAGAGGCTGAGTGTGAAAGGGGACAGCAGACAATGGAGCTGGGATGAGCATCCACTGGCCCCATTCCACAGGCATGATGCGAAGGTCCCCAGCCGCGGTCAGATGCTGACAAGGGCCCAGGACTCTGCGTGGTCCCAGCCATGGACAAACACCCCCATCGCAAAACAGCCACGCACTCTGGAGGCTGGTGAGTGCTCAGGCTGCACACGTAAGACTGCCAACTCGAGTGGCAGGTTTGGGGAGAAAGAAAGGCATTTGTTATAAGATGATGATGGCCTCAAGGACCTCCCCAAACGCCGCCCCTCTCTCTCTCCTCCTCATTGTCTGTGAGTGGAACAAGGAACTGGCCATTGGCTCAGGGACGCTGGCTGAGCAAGCCATCCAGGTCATCCTCCAGCACTGAACACAATGAGCCGGACACAATGACTGCCCAGCGGACTGCGAAAAAGCTGCAAAGCCACCGGGTCTTTGATGTTAAAATGCTGGCTGGCGTTTGAGGTCACACTCAGGGTAGATCAAGAAGATGGAGCTCCAGCAGGTTTGACAAACTATAGCCTAGAGCCAAATCTGGCCCCCCACTTGTTTTTATAAATAAAGTTTTATTGGAACAAATGGGCCAGGCCCATTTGTTTACCTGCTGTCTATGGCCGCTTTCAAGCCACAGTGGCAGACCTGAGTAGTTGTGATGGAGGCCTGCAGAGCCTAAATATTTCTGTCTAGCGGGCCAGCTTGTGATTGACCCTGTTGAACATACAGAACGTTCTGAGCCCTCGTCTACATGGTTGATGAACACACTGTGTTTTTTTTTTGTTTGTTTTTCCTAGGAAAGCTACAAGCAGTGGCTACCATACCTCTTTGTTCTTGGCTTCTTTCCTGAGTGACTTCTCCAAAACTCGAGCTTCGTACTCCGCTCTGGGATGGTCCTGTGGGAGAAACCACGTTGGCCGAGTGAACGGTGAGTCTGACACCCTCACCTTGAGCACGCACGCCAGATTCAGCCCACCCATTCCCCCTTTGGGGCCAATTCATAGCTGGCTGTTTTGTACCGTCTCCAATTCAGAACTCGCCATATGCGGTCTGTCCCCGGGATCTAACCCGTGTTGGGAACCCAGCCCGTGGGGAAGGCCACGGAACCCGGCTCTGGGTGCTGCTGGCAGCGAGTCTGTGCCCGGGGGCCCCCTTGGGAACACCCAGCTGTGAACTGGCCCCGAGAACGTCTACCAGGGGCGGGAGAGACGCGGTAAGTGTCAGCAAGCGCGGGCCGTCCGGAGGCGCCAGGCCTCGGGGCAGCCCAGAGCAGGCCAGCGAGGGGCGCTGGAACGGAAGATCGGGGTTAAGAGAGACCCAAAGGCGGGAGAAGCAGAGACCCCGCTGGCGCGGAGGAGCTGCGGGAGGCCTGGCGGGAGAAAGAGACAGGTGAGGCGCGAGGAGGGCCCTCTCCCCGGGGGACAGAGGAGTGACAAAAAGTTCCAAACCTTGACGGCCTCCTTCGGGGAACCAGAAACATAAAAGTGAAAACAAACAAACAGAAAGACTCCATTACTTGTGCTGTTTTTAAAGCAACAGGCCACGCCCTCTGAACTAAAGGCAGTTTCCCCCGGGCTGGGATGGGGGCGAAGGGCACACGCGGGTAGACGGGGAGCACGTGGGGGACCGGGACCCACTCGCAGTCGCTGTTGCTTTAGGGTGACCAGGCTGCTGCTTTTGCAGCCTGAGTGATTTTGGGGCTTCCCAGGCAAGTGCTGGACGGTGTGGGTCTCAGCTAAGAGGTACTCGGGCTCCTTCGCCTCCCGGGGCCGACGCCGGGAGCTCAGGCTGCATGGAGAGGCTGCTTTACCCCTCAGACGCACCCCCAAAGGGTCCCTGGTCAGCTATGGGGGGGAGGATGATGGGGAGATCCACCTTGCGGACCTCATTCAGTCCCCTGGGGCCTCATGCCCAAGGGCTCTGACTGCCACCCCAAAGTCAAGTGCAGGGGACGGGGGCAGGTGAAGAGATCACGGGGTGGATCCCCGAGGGCTGGACACACAGGACCGGCCCCCTCCGCAGCTTTCCCCAGCCACAGGGACGTCATGAAAAGGACGTCCTTCTAAATCTCCTTCTAGAACAAGATGGCGACCGCTTTTTGTTGTATTTGCGTCTTCCTAACGGGAACAGTGACGGGAAAGAACCTGCTCTGTGCCCGGCTCACCCCTGAAGGGCTGCCCGCGGGAGAGCAGGACGCACCTGTTTTGGCGTCGCCATGTGCGAGGCGGGATAATGGGGCTCCCCGCGTTAGAGGGCTGAGCTCAGAGGCGGCTAGCGGGCAACCGGTCCTGGGGCACTGACTGGTGCGGGGCCCTCCCTGCCCTACGCGCTTCTTATCCACTGAGCCCCCCTCAGACCCCCTAGAGTGAGAACTAGCTCACACTCCGTAGTTAAGAAGGGAGGCCCCTGAGGCCCAGAGAGATTAGGCGACGTGGCCTGGGTCACACAGCAAGGGCAGTGCCGGATCAGGACGGAGGCCAGCAGCCTGGCTCCCGGGGTGCGCTGCGCCTCCCCCCGCAGACTCCAGTCCCCTCGGCCCCCAGCAGCACGGTGAGCCCGCCCCAGCTGCCCTGCTGAAGGCAAGCGGGCAGACTCCGGGTCGGGAGGGAGCACGTGTGGGGGAAACATAGGGATGCTAAGAAACCACGGGGGAGAGGCCACGTTCCAGGGAACATGCAGAGCGCTCGCTTTAAAAGACAAGCTCGGCGTTTCATAAAGTTACGTGGCGGCCAGCGTGGCCACACCTCGCCGCTCTGCTCTGTGGGCGCCAGGCGCGGGGGGTGGGGTGGGGGGGTGGTGGTGCACTGCTTTTCCTCGTCTTCACCGCTCCTCCCGCGGGGAATGCCGGCGGGAGCTGCCCATGTGGAGGGCAGTGGCCAGGCTGCTCCGAGGAGCCTCAGGAGAGGGTTCTCGGCCGCCCCCGGGCCCGGGGCCCTGTCCTGGGAAGGTGGCGATGCTGCGGCGTCTGGTTCTCCCTCGGCTGGGAAAGGCTCGGCTCAGCCGCGCCCAGGGACTGGCCCTGGGGAGTGGCTTTGGCACCGGGCAAAGGCTCACAGCCGCTTTCGGGGACCCGGCCTCCTGGGCGGTGGTGATTCCCTCCCAGACTCGCCCGGCCTCCCCCGCGTCCGATGAGGTCAGCGTGGCGAGCCGGCCCTGACCGCACTGGTGGGCGGCGCGTCCATGCGAGCATGGAGATCGGAAACACTCGACAGACATCAAACGGTCGCCCTGGCAACCGTGGGTGATTCAAACACCAGGGATGTGAACCGAGGAGCCGGCGGGAGTGGCCTTGCCTGGGCCCGGGGCCTCGGGCGTCCAGGAGTGTCCCCAGGAGCTAACGGGCGGGGGCGGGGGAGGGCGCAGGCCCCCCACTCACCTCCTCCTCCTCGAAGCCTGTGAGGTCCCAGCGGTAGTTGAGCCGCATCTGCTTCCGCTTCCAGTGCTCCATGAAGGTGGCGGCTGCAGGCAGGGGGAGGAAAACCACAAAGTCAGGGCCAAGCAGCCCGAGACACCGGGCGGCACACATGCCTTCTTGGCTTCTGCACCGTTTGGTGAAGGGGGGTGCCATCGTGCTGGGCCAGGAACGCCACAGGAACTTTGCCCGCCCCCCCCTCCCCGAGGCAGAGATGGCCACTTGCCCCTTTTACAGAGGAAGAAACTGAGGCACAGGGAAATCAAGTCCCGGCCAAGGTTACCCATCCAAGCCAGTGAGGGGCCAGCCCGGGCTCTTAACTGCCCCGTTCCATAGATCTTGGGGACCCCCAAGTCCCCGGTGGTGCTCCTGTGGTCAGAAAGCGAGAGGGGAGAGGCACGGCCATGCACTCGAGCTCCAAACCCACGCTGGTGGTCTAACTGCTGAGCTGCACTCTTCAGCGCGACCTCCTGCTTTGCATACCCAACTGACTAAGCATCGGCCAAACGCCGCCTCCTCCAGGGAGCCCTCCACGCTCCTCCTCAGTGTCAGAAGGAAACTGACTCCTCCCGGGGCCTCTCCTGCTCACACTGTCCACACTGCCCTCCATTACGACCCCTGTCCCGTGTCAAAGGGCCCTTCTCGCGTGGGGACAGAGGCGGGGCCCTGGGTCCCGGCATCCGGCCGGGCATCCGGCACCGACAGGAGCTCAGGGCGCTCACTGAATGAGCGAACAGCTTTCATGAGCACACAGCTTGCAACGGGAGAGGCAACTGGCTGCACCCTTCATCCTCGATGCTCCTCCCCAGGAAGGAAGCTCGGGGGCGCGCAAAGGTCAAGGGGTCCCGAGTCAAGCCTACAGGGAGGGCTGTCCTGTCAAGCACCCATCAGCCTCCCGGGAACCACAGGAGGGAGGTGCTGTTCCTTCCTCCTTTCCCAGAGGAGGAAACTGAGGCTCAGAGGGATTGTCTGACAAGGGGTGGCATCAAGGTGGCATCGGATCACAGAACACGCAGGACGGATTTCCGGCTGGTCACCGGCCACACCTGGAAAGCAGGGGAAATGGACTGCTTTCCTCCGGGGCTTCTCAGAGCACAGGCCTGGGACCTGCGATATCAGAGCCCCCCCCCCCCCCCCCGGGAGCTTGTGAAAATGCCGATTCCCAGGCCCCGTGGCTGTGTCCGGAACCAGCTGTGCCGGTTGCCCTGGGGCCCGGGGCATGCAGAAACACTGACCCTCCATCGCCTGTTCTTCCTCCCACCCATCCCTGCCCAGCGATGAGTTGGCTGCTTACTCGCCCTCCCCCCAGGCCTCTGTTTCAGCTTCCTCCCAGGCCGCATCCACACGGTGCCCGGGAGGGGAGGGGTGGAGGGGCAGGAGAAAGGGGGCCCTGTCCTGACCTGTCCCCACTGTCTTCCGCCTGGGCCTGCCTCCACTTTCCCTAATTCTGATGCCTCCTCCGCGGGCCACCGGGGCCCTCTCCTGAGCACACCCCCGAATGCTGCTTCTGTGACCGAGCGTGACCTTGTAGGCCCTGGGGGACGCCCAGGCTCGGCCTCCCCGCCGCCTTTTGTGCCAGGGGGTCACCAGGACCTCTCAGACCTGCCGCTGGAGTCTCAGGCCGCAAGGCGGGGCTCTGACCGGTCTGGGTGCTCCTGCCGCTGTGGGCAGACCTGCCGCCTCCCCGGGGAGGACCGAGCTCCCAGGAGCTGGGGCCTTGTCTCCCAACCCTCTGGGCTCCATCACTCAGACTGCACATCCTTAAGGGCCGCATCCTCCTTAAAGCACAGCCAGCCCTCCCCCTCCCCCCCTGCAGCTTTGTGAACGGCGGCTCCCAACAGCCACACGTTTGTTCAACGCACATCCGTTTCCTGAGAGCGGAGGGCAGTCCTGGCCCTGCCTGTCAGCCCCTGTGGGGACGGGGCCAGGCACGAAGGCCCCCAGCCCTCTACGGTCTCACCGAGTCCAGCAGAAACCACAGCGTAGCTCTCCCTGTGTCCCTCCAGCTCAGGGTGCCTCAGCCGGGTCCCCCGCCCACTCCACGCCGGCCTCTGCCATTTCACTCAAGCAGGGACCATGGCTCTCCGGCTCCTTGGGGCCGGGCTCAAACCAAATCATTCCATTTGTTCTGCACGAAACCAACAGGCAGTGAAAGCCCACGATTATGCCATCATTTCAGAAAATGGATCCTGGACAACAGCTAAATGGGGCTCCTCTAAGTTGCCGTGTGTGACGCCTAATTTGAGGCTTTGAAATGTCATACATTCCAGGCAGCTGGGAGCTGAGGTCTCTGGGCCCACAGCCTCCGTGGCGTGGAAGCGAGATTAGAAGCCCGGGCTGGGAGCCCTTCCTCCGGGGGCACAGCCCGCGCCCCTCCCAGCAGAAACGGGTTTGGGGCCGCCCTCTGTCGCCGGGAGCGGTAACGTTAGAAGCTGGGGGACAGAGAAGAAGGGACACAGTGGGCGATGAGCGGCAGTGGGAGGGGATCCCTGAGGGCAATGAAGAAACACTTGAGCACAGGATTCAGAATCCAGCAGCGGAAGGCCCGGGACAGAGGGACGGTGCCCTCACCCCTATCCCCCACCCCCGTTTGGGGCGGCCGCACAGGGCACACACCCCTCTCAGCCCAGCACGCTCTTTCCCGTGGCTTCTGTCTTGATTTCTAATAACTTCCTTTTCTCCTGAAGTCAGTGCTTCGTACGAGTGTTTGGCTTTTCTGTTATTCCCCCCTCCCCAATGGGAAAGTGTAGACTGAACTTGCTTTTGACCCTGACAGACAGGCCCACTTGCCTCCCGGGTGGAAGGGGAGCTGGAGGAGGCTGGGGCAGACAGCCAGACAGATTTGCCCTTTTCCCTCCTGGGGGCGGCGATGATGGTGGTGCAGAAGGAACCATGCTTTTCTCCCAGGGATGGGCTGTTGGAGAGGGCTGGCCAACACCTTCGAGGGTGTGGAGCAGCACTGCTCTGCACATAGTAGGTGCTCAATAAAGCTGTGTGAAGAGGCCAAGCTGGCGGCAGGGAAGGGGCTGCACCGGATTTACTGGATTTACCCTGAACGTGTGGTACTGGTGCTGCTGCCTGCGTGCCCTCACCACCCGCTCTAGGTGGACCTCGGCTCCTCCAGGAGGGCACGGAGCAGGGCTTGGAGGAGGCTGGGGTGGAGAGGTGTGACCGGGGCATGGATCGGTCATGTCTGGTGTGAGCCTGTTAGCTGTGTGACCTTGGGCAAGTCACCTAACCTCTCTGGGCTTCCGTGTCCTCACGAGAGAATGCGAACAGAGCCTCCCTCTGCTGTGCGCCGAGGTGGGGTCACGGAGATAAGCCGAGCAGAGCCTCTGCCAGCGCCTGGCACAGCCAGTCCTCAGCGCAGGCTCTGGAGGGGGAGGCAGGCGTGGTGGGCAGACGAGGAAGCCAGTCCAGCACCCGTGTGAGCTGGTCCCGTCAAGAACGGGCCCGGCGGGTGCTCAGGGTGCTTGGCACCAGAGCTGTGAGTGACACCAGCAGAGGGGGCAGGGCCCAGGGGTGGGGGCGGGGAGCAGACGCAGGGTTCTCGTCTCCCTTTGCCTCTGATTAGTGGTGTCTGCTTGGGAAAGTTGCCTCAGTGTGTCCATCTGTCAAATGGGGTGATGGAGGCAGTACCTCTGAGAGCCACGGGGCGGGTGGGGGTGAAGAACCACTTCCTGTGAGGCGCTCAGAACAGCGCCTGGCGCAGCTCCCTGAAGCTAGCGCTCCTCTCTGAAGGTGCAGAGAAAGGATTCACAGAGGGCCCCGAGCACAAGGGGAGGGCACAGAGCAGGGCGTGGAGGTCGCGGCCGCAGGTTGAGAACCGCTAGCAGGGTCGCCTACGACCACCGGCAAACACAGGCATTTGCATTACGATTCCTAACAGTAGCAGAATCACGCTTACGAAGTACTAGCAACGAAAACAATGTTATGGTTGGGGGTCGCCACACCATGAGGAACTAGGAAAGGGCCGAGAACCGCTGGCGAAGGAGACACGTGCCCCGGGGCTGACTCAGCGGGAGGAACGCAGAGCCAGGCCTCCCGCTCCAAAGCAGCGGCCTCCCCGGGCCACAGAGCCGGGTCCCGGGAGAGAGGCCTGTTTCTCAGGGCAAAGCACCCTCCTCGGCGTTTCCCAGGGGCTCCCGGCTGGGTCAGAAGAACTCAGAATAGCGGCAGCCGCGACGCAGCGGAGACCCTGGGAACGGCAGGTAACGCGGGGGGTTGTGTCCATGACCTCCCTCTGTGCTCACCGGGCATGGGCCGCCTGGGCCCCAGCGGCCCTCTGCTTACCCCAGAGAGCCATGAAGACGGAGAAGAAGACGGTGGCCGGGTTGTCGAAGAGGTGGCTGGCCCGGGCCGTGGCGCAGGCTGAGCTCATCTTCCAGTAGCTGCAGGTCTTGTCGCACAGCGGGCACATGGTGATGTTGTGGCTCTGGTCGCACATCTCTTTGCTGGAAGAGAGGGAGCCGCTGAGAGTCTCCGCCGGCCCACCAGGACTGCCAGGCCTGGTCGTGGTGCCCCCGGCCAGTCCCTTTCACCTTCTGGAAGGTGAGGGGAGTGCTCAGCCCTCCTCCCACGGACCTGGACAAAACTCCGGCCTCCGTTTCCCCATCTGCAGTGGGGATGCTGAGAGTGAAGCATGCTCATGTTGTGCCCCAGGCAGGAGTCACTCCCAGGGAGGAGAGGGCCATCGGGAGAAGGCTGGGGCCGGGGGGATTGCTTTTTGTTTTACATTTCTGATGCATAGCTTTATGCACCAAATCACAGCTGGCCCATGGCCGTTGGTGGGTGTCTATAAACGTCCGAAGAATCGTTCTGGGGGCTCATCTTCCCGGCACAGTGGGCACTCCGGCCCCATTCTGTCCTTTCAATTACTCATAAATGCATATGAAGAACTCTGCATGTGCCGTGTGTGCCCAGCTCTGTGTTGGGCATGGGGGATGGAAAGATGCATGGTGACCGAGGCTGCTGGCTTGGAGCAGCTGGGGAGCTGTGCATACATGTACATGTGTCTACGTGTGCGTGTGCGTGAGGGGTGGGTGCATGCCGGTGTCAGGGCAGTGTGCAGCCAGCCAGCTCTGGATTGGACCTGTGTGCCCTTGGGCATGTTACTCCAACTCCTTGGGCCTCAGTTTCCCCATCTGCAGCACGGGGATGCTGAGAGTGAAGAGTGCCCGTGTTACTGGGTTGTCAGGAGGGTCGCACGGAGTGAGCGTGGAGCCCGGAACAGAGCTGGCACGTGCATACCACACACGCCTATTACGGGAGTAATCGGGCACCGAGCAGCTGCAGGGATTTTGAAAGGAGGCCCGTGGGCCACCTTGTGGGGTCCATCCCTTGACTCTCCCGGGATTCTGTCTTCTGGGGGCCTCTGCTTGGAGGCAGAAGGAACCCATGTGTGAGGGGCAGACACCCCACGGAGGGCCGGCCCCATCTCTGCCGGCTGTGAGCCTTGCCAGCCAGACTAAAAGCCCGCTTTCTGCCAGTTTTAAACCCTCCGCCTCTCCCTTCACCACTCAGCCAAAATAAAGACCAGGAATGGGGTGGCTTGTTCTCAGAGGGGGTAAGAGGGCGGATCAGACCCCCCTTCCCCGAGGAACACCCCCACATCACGGGCTGAGGTCCGAGGGGACTCAGGAGTCCCCGGTAAGCGCCGTCTGCCTCTGGCGGGAGGCGCTGGCCTGGCCTGGGAGGTCACTGCGCCCTCATGGGGAATGCACGCCTGCCTGCAGGGGGGAAGGATGGGGGCGGCCTCTGCGGCCTCCCAGGGGGACCCTGAGGGCACCCCAGCTTCCACGGGCCACGCCCCTCAGGGCTTTAGAATCCGATCCCCATCCCCGCCCCAATTAGGCCACTTTCATCTTCGCCACAGCCACGCCCGAGCACAGCGACCTCATGTCACATCAGCAAACAAAGGCATAGGCTTTCTCCGGCCTGGGCCCCAAACAAGCCGGTTCCCTTAACCGTTAAGTCCCGAGTGGGTGGCTCGTAGGTGTGATTCACGTGTGAAAACACTGACACGTGTGTGAGGTGCTATTCACATCTTAAACACTGTGTGTGAGGTGCTATTCACATCTTAAAACACTTACGCGAGGTTCCCTGGATACGGTCCCTCTGGGCCGTGGGCCCTACGAGTCACTCCTCATGATTGGACGGTGGACGCCCTTCCCAAGCCGCAGCTCGGCCTCCGGGACTCGGGGCTGAGTCGTGGGGAATGGAGCTGAGCTGATGTCTGAGGGCTTTTCCAGAGAGACCGGGAGCTCCTGGGAGGCAGGGCCAGGGGCACCTGCCCTTCTAAACTCGAGTTTGCCCAGGGGTACAGCGGCCTCTCGTCCTCACACACCACCTGGCTGTCTTTGGGCTGGTATTGGCAGGTCTAGGACTAACTAGAAAGGAGGGGAGGCATCTGTGCATGCGGGGACAGGGCCCTCTGAGCTCTGTGCAATTTGACTTTCGTTCTGGCTGTCACTCCGGGAGACACCTCCCTCCACGCCCCCAGCATGAAGCCCGATGTCCCTAGAATCTCGGCCTGCTCCCTCGTGCCCGGCCCGCCCTGGCCATGGTGAACGGCAGCAGGAGCGTGGGTTCTGCGTGCAGAGGCCTGGTCTGCTGTTGAGGCCTGGTCTGCGGTTCACGCCTCACCTCCCGAGACTCGGGGTCCGAGGAGGAGAGAGACCAGCCGGGTCCCCTGCCCGAGGCCCATGAATGGCGTTTGTTGTATTTCCCAACCTCACAGGAGGCGGGGGATTTTCCAGAGGACTGGGAACGAAAAGGGGGAAGAAGACTTCAAGGAAGAAAAGGAGCTTTGTCTCCTGTCTGCTTTCGACAGTAAAACGGCTCCTAGGGTGTTTGTGCCCGAAAAGGATGCCCGGCCTTCACATGGCAGGTAAGCCCCTTGCCCTGGGGCCTGCCCTGACAGCACACGGCCAGCATGCCATGTCCAGGGCTGAGTGGTCGCAGGGATGGGCGTGTCCTGGGACAGGCCCCGCCTACCTGGGGATGTTTTCATTGACGGTGGCGCATCCATAGAGGAAAACGATGGCCCCCACCACGGAGGCGGGGATGAGCATCTGGGTGTACACGCCCAGCCAGGCGAAGTACAGGCCGATCTTCTCCCCAAAGTACTTCCTGCACGCGGGCAAAGCCAGAGAGACAAGCTCACTCATGCTGCACGGGTGCGAGGCACGTCCCCTCCCCTCCCCTCCCCTCCCCTCCCCTGCAGGGAACAGCTCAAATCCGCCCCTGCTTCTCTGGGCCGGGAAGTAGAGAGTGGGCGGGGCTCTGAGCCAGGCTACCAGGTTTCGGGGTGCTCCCCGCTTTCCCTATGCCCCCTCCCTCTCTCTGTGCCCCGAGGAAGGTGTTTGCATGCTGGTGGGCACCCGCCAGGCTGCCAGCTTCCTTCCAAGCCGGGCTCAGCTTGGCGCTGGCACTCTGGCCGGGATGCCGTGATGGGTGTACACGGCTGCTCACGGGCTGAGCTCTGGTCTCCGTGTCCCCAGAGGACACGCACGGCTGACTCCGGTCCACCCCCTTCCTGCCCTTGGGACAGAGGTCCCCTGGGAGAGGACACATTCTTTCCTGCCTCTCAGCACAGCGACGCGAGGGCCTGGCCCGCCGCCCAGCAGAGTCAGGCCGGGCTGCGAAATGAGGAGGAGACGGCGAGGACGAGGCCAGAGCCCATCCTTTCATGAGCTTCGAGGAGCTGCGTACACTGAGGCCGCCGGTCCTGCCGGGAGACCTCGGGGCAAGCTCAAACAGGGCCCCAGGCACGGCACAGCCAGGGCATCTGGGACACGGGGGAACGTTTACCCCAGGCTGCTCTCTCACCTGATCAGGTCGATGGGCTGGTACTTATAGAAGACGCGGTAGCTGGCCCACTCTTCGTACAGGAGCTGGGGGAGAGAGAAGGGGGGCTGGTGAGCGTGGGGTGCTCCCAGATCCCTCCCCAGAGCACAGGGCTGGTGCTCTCTGCTCACAGCCACCTCCTTCATTCACTCAACCAGCACCGGCGAGAGGCGGCCAAGGAAGGGCCAGGCACCATGCTGGGCCCCGGGCTCTCAGAGGGGAGCTGGGCAGACACAGCCCCGGGCACGGGCCCCTGTCCTGGTGGGGAAGACGGACCTGGGAAAACGGGGTTCGGCCGTCAGCTCTGGGAAGGGCCCCAAGCACCCACCCTCGGGGGCTGCTGAGCTGGAGCTGAAGGCCTGCGATGGGGCTGGGGATGGGAAAGAGACTTTGGGCAGCTTCGTGGAATCCTCTCCCTTTTCCACCTGATCTAAAGCGGCCCAACGCTGCAAGGCTTTTCCACGTACGCTTCCCGGCCGTCCCTGTCACCCACGGAACCATCGAGCTGAAGGACAGAACCCACTCGGCTTTGGAGCGAAGAGATGAAAGTGGCAAGATTAAGGAAAAAAAGAAAAAGAAAAATCGCATGCGATGCACCGAGCTCGACGCTTGTCTCCGGAGACGGGCTGTCTGATTAAGACACGTAGTGAAATAAATGAAGTCTGCACACACCCGTCAAACACACACCACACACACACACACACACACACACACCCCGGGCTGCGGGCAGGAACGGTAATGAGGGACGGCTCGGGAGCCGTGTGTGCACGCGCTCAGGGGTCCCAGGGACGCCGCGGGTCAGGACTGCTGGCTGGAAGGAGGAAAGCCCACGCACACGGGCGATTCGTGCTTTCCCAGCCTCAACTCCAAGCCCAAGGTCACAGGGCCAGCTGCAGAGGAGCGGAGACCCCCCCTCTCCCCGCCCGGGCCTTCCTTACCCCGCCACCTGTCTCTGCTGGGCATGCCCGTGAGGACTCGCCAGGGTCTCTTGTGGATGCTGCAGCGTGCCTTGTATCCTTTCTTTTCCCAATAGTTTAAATATTTTTTTTGGGGGGGTCTCTTAGGCTCAATTTAAAAAATTGGGGGGGGGTCGCCTAGGCTCAGATTTTGCTGTGGCCCCATCTAACCTCATCACCCCAGGCACTCAGTGCCATGGACTGAAATCATGTGTCCCGTGTGACTGTACTTGGGAAGTAACTAAGGTTAACAGAGGTCATGGAAGAGGGGTTTGGATGTGACAGGACCGGTGCCCGGATAAGAGACGCAGGAGTGTCACTCTCCACGGCTAGGGGTGTCGAACTCAATCAGAGAAGGGGCCAAAATCTAAAATCCAGCCTAAATCGAGGGCCGAATGGTTTACTGAACAGTCATAAACTGTCATTGTGATGGAAACGCAGCGGAGTGCAGTGATGACAGCGCGGTGCGGGCCACATTGCAAGGCCTGGCGGGACGGATTTGGCCTGCGGGCCTTGTGTTTGACACATGTGCTCCACGCACACGGAGGGAGGAAAGGCCCTGTGGGGACTCAGCCAGAAGGTGGCCGTCTGCAAGCCAGAAGGCGAGTCCTCCCGGGCCCCACCCGGCGGCACCTGGGCCCCCGGCTTCCAGCCTCCAGAGCAGCGAGAACCAATGTCTGCTGCGCACGCCGCCCTTCTGCACACACAGTCCTGTGCCTGCAGCCCGAGCTAGCACACTCTCCTCCTTTTCTGGGCACCGACGTACATTCAAGTCTTCGGAAATGAAAAACGCGCACAGAGCTTGGTGGGTGGGTCCAGCTTCCACAGACCAGGGAGCCAGGGCTCCCCAGAAATGGCCCCGGCCAGTTTCTCCACCTCTGCGGGCCCCCGCAGAGGCTGAGGGCACCGGCTGGTCGGGGAGGAAAAGAAGCTCTGTGCCCCACATGCACCTCTAAACGCAGGGAGGAGAGCGCGCAGGAGAGTGGAGCGTCGTCGCCGTAAATCCCAGCGAACCTGGCTGTCAGCACCCTGCGCTCTGCCTGCTCTGGTCTCTACGGGGGAGCTGCCTTCGGACCTCCAGTCCTGCTGCTGGGGGAGGGGCAGGGGGAGGGGGAGGGGGAGGGGGAGGGGGGAGAGGAGCTTTGCAGCTTCGGGCAGGGAACCAGGATGCCCGGGACCTCCCCCGCGGTGCCCTGAGCGTGGTTGGCTCTGCTGAGTCTGGAGCGGCCATCCTGGCAGACCCTCACCACTGAGTCCTGGCGGGCATCCGGGCTCTCCCCAGAGCCCCGTCGCCTCCTTCGTACGGAAGGGCGCTGTCCTCCCTGCCGGCCACAGCACGACCCTGGCCTGGCTCATGCATGTGCACCGAGGGCGCTCCGCGGAAGGCAGCGGGCCGGGCTCCCTGTCTCTCACGCCAGGCTGTGCAGAAACGAGGCCCAGCCACGGCCGCACTCTGTGAACGGGAGGTCTGCGCCAGCACACTTCGATGGGACTGCCCAGCACCCCGGAGAAGCAACATGGCCATCCCTGTCCCGGGAGGCTTCCTCCCTTGGCGGAAAGCAAGTCGCTGATTTATATCACAGACAGGCCTCATGGGAGGTGCTGGGAAGGAGGGAGAGAGGAGGGAGGGAGGGAGGGAGGAAAGGAGGGAGGGAGGAAACGAGGGGGGAGGGGGAGGGAGGGATCTTGGGAGGGAGAGAGAGAAGGAAGGCTGGCCCGGGGAGCGTGGCACAGTGGGAAAGCCCGGAGAACCTCTCGAAGGCACGGCCATGCCACGCCAGTCACCCTGTCCCCGAACCTGCTGGGGGGGCCCGGCCACCGTGCACCCACCGCCGTGCCAAACGGGCACGCCCCGATTGCTACATAAGCCACTCTCCCTCGCCGGAGTTCTCTTCCTGCCAAGGAGAGAACATCCATCACCCTATAGCTGTCAGGGCTGAGAAATCTGACTGAAGATTTCCCTGTTGCCGTTGGCAGGACTCCCGGGGTGCACCCCAGCCTGGGGAGAAGGTGGGAGGCGCCCGGGCCCTGAGGGGGCGGAGCTTGGGCCCCAGTCACAGTGACCTATTGCACCCAGACCTCGGAGGGGTCTCGGCTCCGCCTGCCAGCATTCCTCCTGCTCAGACCTCCCCCACCCCCAGGCCCACATGCTGGGCGCTGGCCCAGTTCTTAATGGCTGTATATACGGACTTGCCCTTTGCCATGTCCCCCCTGAATGGAGGCCCCAGGAAGACTGGGCTGGTTTCGTCTGTGCCACCCGTGCCTGCCCCCCCCCCCCCACCCCCCAACACTTCGAACAAGGCCTGGGCCAGATAACAGGTTTCCAGTCAGAAACTGCCAGATGGATGAATGAATGCACGGAGGGAGGGAGGGAGGGAGGGAGGGAGGATGGGCCGGGCCCTGTGGCTCAGTCCAATCCGGGATGGAGCCACCTTAATCCACTCCTGAAGGAGGCGCCCGGGTGCAGAGGGGAGAGCCATACCCACCACCCCCGTTGGGGCAGCACCTGGGGCCCCTGCTCCTGCAGCTCAGCCAGGAAGATGGCGCTGGCTTGCCTGGGACTCCCTTCCCGCCCTGTCCCTGGGGCCCGCCACACGGGCTCCCGACACTGACGGAATGCCACAGACTTTGTCACTGGAAAGGCAAAATAGTCAGAACCGGGTCCCTTAGCTGGGGGAGGGCCCTCATGGGAGAATGAGAGATTCTCTAGGGCCGTGGTCCCCAAACCCCTTAGCCGCAGAGCCCAATATCCACAGCACAGCGACGGAAATTCCTTTGGAGAGCCACATTTTTTAAACTTAAACTTCTTCTAGTGCCACTTCTTCAAGACAGACTCGCCCAGGCCGTGGTGTTTTGTGGAAGAGCCACACGCAAGGGGCCAAAGAGCCGCATGTGCCTCGCGAGCCGCAGTTTGCCAACCGCTGCTCTAGGATTCTGAGTGAGGACCCAAACACCTGACTCGGCATCCTCCCTCCCGGCCTCCCTCTCTGTTTTCCTTTAGTCCATTCATCCATCCATCCATCCATCCATCCATCTATCCATCCACCCACACTTTTATCTACTTGTCTGTTGTCCATCCACCCACCCACCCACCCACCCATCTAATACTCCCTGACTAGCCCCACGGGCCAGGCTGGGGCATAACATTAAAAAGGAGATGGAGGCTGGCAGCTCTCCGGGCAGAGGACAGGTGGGTCTGGGTGAACGGGGTGCCGTCCTGGCTGGGCCTGGCACACAGCAGAGTTCAGTAAATAGTTCCTGCAAAAGCAACTGGGGAGGCAGTGTTGGCACTGCTTGTCTGTGATCCTCGTCCGAGGAGTGCTCAGACTGGCAAGGCAGCCGGTGTGGCTGGAGCGCGGGGGGGAGGGCGGGGGACGGGGGCAGAGGGACCTGGAGGATGGACTTGGGCCAGATGGGGGTCGCTGGGGCCAAAGGGGCACACAGAGAGGCAGGGGGCCTCCGAGGCCGGGCTGGCCGGGCCGGGCCTGGGGAGGGGCTGGGGGAGCTCTGCAAGTCATGGGGTCTCAGACGGATGCCAGATGTTCCACTAAAAATAACCAAATATGTAATTTTGCGCTAGCCCAGATAGCATCTTCAGCTGGATCCCGGGGCGGGCAAGTTGGATCAAGCACCGGAGGTTTAAAAACACGTATGGGGGCCGGAGGGGGCGGGAGGGAGGAACATTCTGGAGCCAGAGGTTCCTGGCCCTGCCATCTGGGCCGAGGCCACCGCCGGGAGGCCCTGGGGGGAGCGTCTCTGCCCTCCACCTCGGAGGGATCCGCTCTCGGGGGGAGAGGCTGGACAGGGGGCCGAGAGAGACCCAGGGCCCGGGGAGGGCTGCTCCCCGAGCGGGGGGAGGTCTGAGCTTGTCTGGAGAACCGAGAGGGGTGACCCAGAGCCCGGGGCGAGGCTGGGGTCTGGGCATGGGCACAGGACCTTCCCGAGTGTGGAGGGAGGAGAGGTGGCAGTGGTGGGACGATGTTTATGTGTGGGGGGTGGGAGGGGGAGGGGTGGAGGAACAGAGCTTCCTGGAGAGCCTGGGGGCTGCAATCAGGAACACCCCCTGGGGAAGGCAGGAAGCCCTTTTCCAAAGTGCGTCTCCCATAAACACGAGCTCAATAAGCTGTCCCTTAGAAAGGGTTCCATGTCAAGTAAGTTTGAGAAACACCCGGTTGAATGCCTTCCAGCAAGTTCCCTCAGGCACTGCCGGGGCTCCCCACGCAGGCGGCCACAGCGGTGCCCACACTCCTCTGCCCGGGGTGGGGCTTTATCCTGGGTAAGACACCGGTTTACCCCAGCCGGGCCCGGGCAGCCTCTGAGGAGCACAGATAACCTGCCAGCGGCGTTTCTGAGCATCAGACGGAGCAAACCAACCAAACAGAGCTCACCGACATCCTCCCTCAACCGCGGGAGCAGAAGCCCTGTCACCACCGATGCCCCCGGCGCAGCCCGCCTGCCCGCCCCTCCCGAGGCCTGGGGGCCCCTCCAGACCCTGCCGGAGCCCCTTCCCTCCCTCGTGTCCACTTACTTTTCTGTCGTTGAACTCCACGTCCTCACCTTCATAGTCGCCCTGTTGGAAAAGGGAAAAGGGATGTTTACTCTCGAGTACTTTCCATTCCCAGCGTTTCCAAACAGACACCACAAACACGCACCGGCCCGGCTAAGATCATCCCAGGACGAGACTTCACAGGGAGCAGGAGGTGGTCCAGGCCTCCCTCCACGATGCAAATCACTCCGTGTCCCGCGCGCCCTGCCCTCCTCCCGACCCAGAGGCAAAGTCCGAGGAAGGACTGTGGCTTCTGGGGCTGGAGAATCTATCAATAGGGTGAACGCACTTTCTGCTCTGCAGGATGGTCCCAGGGCCCCGTCCTGGTGGGGCCCCTGTCACTCTCATGTGTCCCAGGAGGGATGATAAATGAAATGGTAGCTGCACGTACAGATCAGTGAGCCCAAGCCTTCCATTTTACAGATGGAAACATTGAGGCTCATTGATTTTCCCTGAGGAGAGGAAGGCTGAATTTGATCCAACCTGGGACTCAGATCCCGTCTCCAAGGGCAGTGGAGAAGGAGGGTCCAAAAGTCAAAAGTGAGTCCCATGCCCCGGCGCTGACTCAACAGGAGCCACCAGAGAGGGGCTCAGGGAGGGCCTAGCCAGGCTGCTCCTGAGAACTGCCCAACAGATAGAGCGCTGAAGCTTTCTGGAGGCGTGCCCACTGCCCGTTCCACCGCCAGCCCCCTCCAGGCCAGGAAGACTGGACCCCCTGGCAAGCCACCCACCATCTGGCCCTGGCAGGGAGATGCTCTGAGAGCAGTGGAACCACTGTCCTCTCCCCGCCCTGTCATTCTTCTCATGGAGGAGCCAGCCACGTGGGCCCCACAGTACATCCATCCGGAGGTCAGTGAGCTGGTGACCTTCAGGCGGGGAGGTGCCAACCAGGAAGGAAGCCCAAAGGCTGCCGAGCGGCCAGCTGAAATGCCGGAGTCTGTTCTCTGCAGCTGGCACACTGAGTACGGAGACCTCCTGGGGGTCTCGCTCAGAGCACAACCATGTCGGCAGGGGTCCTCTGGTTGGCACCGGCACCCCACACCTTGCTGGCAGATGATCTTGCTGAATGAATGAATGAATGAACGAACGAACGAATGGACGGACGCAGTGAGCCAGGCCCTGGAAGCGGGTGGGGATACTGTGGGCATGCAGGGAGGGCAGCGAGCAGTGATGCTAAGCACCTTAGTGGTGAGTGAGACGGGGGGTGAGAAATTCAGATTTCCACCCGGCGAGCCACAAGAATTGTTAAACATGCAATACCTGATTATTCAGTCATGCGCACTGACCGCTTTTCCCTTAGACCAGTGGTCGGCACACTCATTAGTCAGCAGAGCCAAACAACAGTACAATGATTCACATTTCTTTGGAGAGCCAAATTTTTTAAACGTAAACTTCTTCTAACGCCACTTCTTCAAAACAGACTCGCCCAGGCCGCGGTATTTTGTGGAAGAGCCACACTCAAGGGGCCAAAGAGCCGCACGTCGCTCACGAGCTGCGGTTTGCCGACCACTGCCTTAGACTGTCAACTAAAAAATGATACCGGCCAACACAATAACTCTCAAAATTATATATATGTTTTGTTGTTGTTGCCAGATTTAAAAACACGTATGGGGGGCTGGACATCAGCTATTACATGCTGTAACATCCGTTATTAGTTACATGCAAAAGATTGCCATGGGATTTTAGTAATTAGGCCACATGTGCCTGAGATGAAAAGGGTTGAATGAGCTAGGGCTACACAGCACGTGCGAGGAGCCTGCTCCGGCCAAGGAGGGTGCACCTTCGCCGTGGGCATTAGTCTCTGTTTAAGGGCACGGGTGCCCTTGGCCCGCTCACAGCGATGTCTGAACACCAGCTTTGGTGCTGAAGGAGGTGAGTGTCCTCCAACTGTATGGAAAATTCACAGATATAAAACTCTGTATTCCCTCAAGACGCCCAAGTCCAGAACCTGGCTGGAAAGAACCCTGGGATGGAACCAGAGGATCTGGGCTCCAGGCTCCACTTCTTCTTGGCTGTCTTTCCCAGCAACCCCAGCCTCAGTTTCCCCATCCATAAAGTGGGAACAGTTTGCTTACACTGCAGACAGACTCGATGCGGCAGTGATGGGGGAGGGAGGTGTGCATTTGGTGCCCAGGGAAGAACGAGGTGGTGGTCCCACTAGGGGAGGGAGGCATTGCCCAGGGTCAGAGGCTGGCTTCTGGCCCTAACTCTCCCCAGAGGCTGTGTGACCTCAGGCAAGTTACCAAACCTCTCTGGGTCTCCTTTGACTGCACTGGAGTAAAGAAGGTAAAGCTCCTACTAAATACAGTTCTTTGTACACAGTAGGTGCTCAGAAATGTTGATTTCTCCCCTTTCCCTTTTAACGTGTGGCTTAAAACAGGCAGGGAGTCTGAAACATTTCCGCTTCTGTGTCCCTGACCCTTGCTGGGAGTCCTCAGCTCAAAGGCCACCTGGGTGAAGGAGAGGGTGGCATTCCTGGTGCTGGTGGGACTGGACACTGAGTGGCCTGAGCGCAGGGCGGGTGGGTGAGCGAAGCCCCTCGGGACCCCTGGCTCTGTGGGAGGAGGCAGAGCCATGGCGGGATCTGCGGGGCCTGAGCCCTTCCCCCGGAAACTTCCATCCAGCAACATGGCTCACGGAGGCAACCTGGCTTGGTCCAGCCCATGTCAACACCACACTGACTGAGCACCCACTAGGTACCAGCATCGGGTTTTCATGAGATACACACCGTGAACGGTGGCCAAACGTGGTGTCTTAGTGGGACCAGAGCACCAGAGGGGCCAAGGAGGCAGGGAGAGGTCCCGGGGTGGGGAAGGGGAACAAAGCAGGCCTGGGTCGGTGTGATGCTTCGTCTGCCCTGGGAGGGGGGAGGCGTTGTCCAGCAGAGGAGGCAGGAAAAGCACGAGAGGCAGGAGGAACAGCGTGCACGAAGGCACAAAGATGGGCAGCTGGCCCAGGCAGTGGGGCTCAGTGGTTGAGCCTTGGCCCGCGAACCAGGAGGTCACGGTTTGATTCCCAGTAGGGGGTGTGTGCAGGAGGCATGCGATCAGTTTCTTTCTCATTGATGTTCTTCTCTCTCTCTCTCCTCTTCCTCCTCTTTCTAAAAAGTCAATAAAAAAATATATATTTTTAAAAAGGTGCGGAAGCCAGTCGACCTCAAATCCCTACAGTGAGTGGAGAGGGAAGGGGCAGCAGGCTCGTGTTCCGGGGGTCGCCCTCTGCTGTTCCACACCCTCCTCCATTTGTCCAGTCCACTGAAACCCCTTTCCTTTCTGCATCCCCTCTGACAGCCCACACGGACCCTGGCAACGGGGCAGGGCGGGTATTATTCCCAGTGGGCAGGTGGGGCTCAGAGACAACAAGGGGCTATTTTCCATGGTAGCCAAAGAGGAGCAACCAGGACCAGGCCTGTCCTCTCCGGCTTCCTGGCTCCTAGCCTGGGCAGTAAGGAGCATTTGGAAAGTTCGAGATCCTCTGTCCCGGATTCCCACACTGCTCAGGCCCCGCGGCCCATTCCCAGCGCCCCTCTGAACTCCGGACCGTTTCCATAGAGACAATGAGAAGGAATCATCTCGCTCTCTCCGCCCCCGGAGGAGCCAAGACAACGTGGGCCGAGGCCACGGGCTATATTTGTCAGGGGGATCCCAGTGGGATTTGGAGATTCAGCTCAGGAAGCCGGCCACTCGCTCTGCAGAGATAGAATCATGCAGAGCCCTGGCCGCTCGGCCAGACCCGGGGGTGGGGCGGGGCGGGCCGGGGACCAGCCAGGGGAGACAGGTCCTGGACTGCGGGTCGCGGGTCAAGGCCACGGTTTGATACAGCTCTGCCACCACCGCTCCCGGTGGATTTGCTCTTCCAGAAAAGAGGGCCCTGTACCACTCAGTCCCCACTCGGGGGAACAGGGAAGGCCTGTGCGCAGCTGACATTTAAGGGCGAGCCAAAGCAGGAAGCCGAGACCGCAGGGTAATTGGAGCGCCGGGGGTGTGCGGCCCATGGGGATCTGGGAAGGCACATGACGCAGAGACAAACCACGTTGTCAAGGTCACTTACATCGTGCAGAGGGTAGGCAGCCGAGTAAACGCCATTGGCCAGCAGGCTGGTGATGCCTTGAAAAAAAATAAAGGCAGAGTGAGAGGGTGGTAGGGACCGGGCGTGTCCCCCGCTGCCCTGCGTTCCGACAGAGCTGTCCCCGGACGGCCACAGTCACCAAGCGCTTTCTGAAAGCGAGGACCGCACCTCGCCGCGGAGACCCGCCACCTTGCCGGAGCGACTAGATGCCAACGACATGCTCTACCGGCAGAATGAGAAAGACACCCAGGGAACCCGGACGGGAGGTTCCGTCTGGGCGGGAGGAAGGAAGAAAGAAACCCCACACCTGCAGATTCACCAAGCCTGCAGATCGGAAGGATGATCTTTTTTTTTTTTTTTGAGGGGTTAGAAAAGCTGAATCATGAGGAAAATGCGGACGGGGAGGAACACGGACGGCTGTCAGAAACACGCGTAAATTTGGAAGTAGATTTTAGGTTGATTGGAGAAGCCAGCGGGGAGGGAGGCCTGTGGCCCCGCACGGGGCAGAGGCACTTACCGTATTTACCACATTTTCGCCTCTTACTTAAAAGGGCAGAGTCCTTCTTTCTTCCCTCTCCTTGCCCTGTTTACACATCCGGCTATTAGTGACATGCAAAAGCATCAAAGCTGTGATCGGGGGAGAAAGCGCACCGCGGCCCAGGGCTCCTGGGCAGTGGGGTGAGAGCCAGGCCTTTGTCCGCAGACCCGGGCCCTTCACGGAGAGCATCACAACAGCCACGCCTGCGCGTCCTGACCCCCTGAGGTGCGGGTCAGGGCGCCCCGCCCTGGAAGCTCAGATCCTGGGTTTCTGGTCTTGGTCCACACACACACACACACACACACACACACACACACACATTTTTGGGATTCAGCCATTGAGGGGTTTCCATGAAGCCCTTTGCTGGTCACAGAACCACCTGCCTGGCCCAAGAGGTGTTCCAGTTAATATGTGGGTTAGGATTTGCACTGGCCTGGCCGGCCCACCTTCCACTGCTCTGAGACTGCTGGAAAGGGGACTTCTGGAAATCTGCTTAAAAACTGTGACCACGCCCTGGCCGGTTTGGCTCAGTGGATGGCGCATTGGCCTGCGGACTGGGGGGTCCTGGGTTCGATTCTGGCCAAGGGCATGTGCCTTGGTTGCAGGCGCATCCTCAGTAGGGGATGTGCAGGAGGCAGCTGATCCATGTTTCTCTCCCATCAATGTTTATGGCACTCTATCCTTCTACCTTCCTTTCTGTAAAAAATGAATAAAAAATATAAAATAAAATAAAAAACCCACCAAAAACGGTGTCCACAATCGGTGATCTGGAAAGGTCAGGGCACCTGAGGGCGCTTGGAAATCCAGACCAGAGAGAGGTGGGAGCACTTGGCTGAGACTGCACACAAGTGAGTTTGCCTGCATTCCGAAATGGACCTGGGGCCCAGCCAGCAAGACTCAGTGGCTGAGCATCGAACTATCATATAAATCAGGAGTTCATGGTTCGATTCCCAGTCCGGGCACATGACCAGGTTGTGGGCTTGATGCCCAGCTTGCGGGCTCGATCCCCGGTAGTAGGTGTGCAGGAGGCAGCCGATCTCTGATTCTCTCTCATCATTGATGTTCCTATCTCTCTCCCTTCCTCTCTGAAGTCAGTAAAAATATATTATAAAAAAGAAAAGAAAAGGATGTGGGTGTGGTCCAGGTCACCGGCTCCTCACTGTTCCTAGGACACTCTTGCCACGGGGCTGCCTTCCTTCAGGTCTGGGCCTTCTCTGACCACTCCTTCTCAACCCCCGCCTCCTTATCCCCCCCACCCCCCACACACCCCCATCCCGGGCCTCCCCACGCCCTGCAATGCCAAGTTTAGGACCTGGTGCATCTGATGTTTTACTGTCTATTTCCCTCCCCCAGAACGCAGACCCCTGGGGACAGGGAGCACCTGGGGGGGGGGGCCTGGCGGGCGACAGATGCCTCAGGTGCTGAATGAATAATCTGGAGGCCAGTAGGTGCCAATGTGAAATGGGGGTGCAGAGCAGGTGCCCCCCACATCGATCTGCTCTGAGACCAGACGCTGGGAACAGACCCGCCAGAGAAATAGCAGAGGCTCTCGCTCTACTGAAGGTGGCCAGGCCTGTGGGGACAGTCTTCTGGGTCCTTCTTGACCCCTCGCTGAGGCCCCACTCCCTCTGACTCAGGACATGGGCTTAGAGATTTCAGGCCTGCAAGCGTGTCCCTGGGACTGACCATCAGTCCTGCTTGCCAGAGGACACACAGCCTGCCTAACGCTGTACGGCTCATCCTCACCCGGAGCCCCGGACTTGTCCAGGACCGTCAGCTGCCGAGCATCTACTCCTCCCCCCGTCCCCCAGGGCACCCCTCCTTCCGCAGGGAGCATGCGGTAAGGACTCTCTCTCCTGGGTGCACAGCCTCCCGCTCCTACACGACCCACCCTGCAGCCCTCATCACCGCCTCACCACCTCAGCTTTAGTGCGATAAACCGTCCCCACCAGGGCCTACCGAGAAGGAGAATCGGTTAGAAAAGGCATTCCTTTGCCCTGAATGTTCCAGATTAGCAAGCTCAGCCTGCAGCTGTGGGCAGGGGACCGGTGGCGGGGCAGTGCGCATCCACATGCTGTGATTGGTATGGCTCAGGACACTGGCCCCCGAGGAGCCCAGATGGGGTGGTGGTGCGGCAGAACCAGGGCACGTGGTGAGGGGAGCACTTTCCAGCAAGGCCTGGCGTGAGGCTGCACCGGCCTGGCGCGAGGCTGCACCGCCCGGCGCGAGGGTGCACAGGCCCGGCGCGAGGCTGCACCGGCCCGGCGAGAGGCTGCACCGGCCCGGCTCGAGGCTGCACCGGCCTGGTGTGAGGCTGCACCGCCCGGCGCGAGGCTGCACCAGCCTGGTGTGAGGCTGCACCGCCCGGCGCGAGGCTGCACCGGCCTTGGAGGGGCCGCTTTGGGCCATCGCCCCGGCTGGAACCCTAACTACTTCTTGCTGAACTGTGAGGGTCAAGAGCGGGTTAAGACACCTGGTCACCCTACCGCGCCCAGCAGCCAGGGCTCACCACCTCACAAACGCCTCCGGCCAAAGACGAGGCTTTGGCGCCGGGAAGCGTGGCCCGTAAAACCGCCCTGCGGTTCCGGCTCGGAACAGCGCTCCTTTCTGAAGCTGTCACCCGGGCCCTAAATCAAAACCCTCCAACAGCTCCCAGGCCGCCGCCCGTCCCCCACGGAGATGATGCCGAGGCGAGATTACCGCTGGGAAACCAGCGCTGATCTCAAGCCCCAAAAATGTCCTTACCCATGCTGTACTTGGCTTTGGTACACGTTGTTCTTTTCAGAATCTCATAGACCTGGTGTGGAGACAAGGAGGGCGGACAGTTATGCGGGGGCCGCCGTGAGATCGCGGGGAGGGACGCGGTGGGCGCGGCCCGCGGTGACCTCCTCTCGGGGACTTCTCTGAGGATGCCCGGTCAGCGGGGTTGGGGTTGTGGTGCTCTTGGGGATCAGCCAGTGCGTGTCGAAGGGGTCCCGCCTTTTACTCTCTTTCTCGGAGCACCCACTCCGTGCTGCGCTAGACTCAGGGCCGGGGGTGGTCCCAGGGGCCCTGTGTCATGGGTTCCTGTCCCCCTGGCTAAGAGGTGAGTTACAATGCAGAGACGCAAGCACCCAGCTAATAGAGCAACTCCCGGGGTAGCCAGGAAAGTTCCAGAAACCCCGAGTGGGCAGATCTCAGGCTTCCATTCTACGCTGTCAGGGGGCAGCAGAGCGCAGGGTGCTTGGCCGGAAACACCCCCCACACACACATCCCGAAGTCTCCCATCGCACGCCCCTCCGTGCCCCGTTTGTTAATAAGACATTTGGCCTGGTGGCCTCAGGAGCCCTGGCTGGGGAGTCTGCCTGCCTGGCTCTGAGTCCAGGCTCTGCCTCTTGTAGCTGTGTGACCTTGAGCACCTGCCTCACCACCCCGTGCCTCAGTTTCCCCATTCGCAAAATGGGATGAGAAGAATGGACCTTACACCATACGCATACGGGGCAGAGCACACTGATCCCCCTCGCAACCTCCCGCGACCCCCCTCACTTGGGCAAGGCCAACAGCCTTCCTGTGGCCGCCCAGGCCCACCGGTCTGACCTTCTCTCCCCAGCCTGTCTGTTCCAGTAACCCCAGCCTCCTGGCTGCTCCTCTGACTCACCAAACTCTCCCCCATAGACTAGGCCTCCACCCTGGCCGGTCCTTCTGCCAGAAGCGCTTGCCCCGAGATCTGAATGAGAGGGACTGAAACCCACGGGCCACAGAGCACCTGCCGTACCTGTCGCTCTGCCTTCTCTCTTCTCTCTCGTCCTGGGGTGCATTTCGCCACCTGCCCTATTGCTTCTCCGCTCCGTAACTGCCCACCGTACGAACGAACGAATAAATGGACGAACGGACGAACGGCGGCCCACTCAGTGGGCTCCCTCTCGTCATCCCCCACATCTAATAGGTGGCCTCTTTCTGACCACGCTGATTCTCCCAGGACTGCCTCCTCCCATCCACCTGCCGCCACAGCCCCGTTCACAACCGCCGCCATAGACCTACCTGCACTTCCCATCTGTTCTCCCTCGGCCGGCCCCGGGCAGTGACCTTGGTAGGACAGATCTGACCTCACCTTAAACCTTGCTCCACAATCTCCTATGGCTCCCTAGTGCCCAAGGCTGACGGTCTAAATCCCAAGACCAGCACATGGCCTCCTTCCCTGCTGCTCCTGCCGCTTACCTGCCTACAAGGACCTCACTGCCCAATAGTGTTGGGACCCAAAGGCCGTGGGGCCTGACTAACCAAGGGCAACGTTTTGAATCACCCAAGCGTTGACTCCAGAGCTCCGGCAGTTTACAAACTGGCCTTCAGGGTCTCCGGGAGAGAGTGACCCCGCCCCACAGGTAAATGGACTGACGGACGGTTCAGTGTATACTTACTGCCCTACCCAAACTGCTTTCTGTGACTCGGGGGTCACGGATGGGTCCCCGATGTATGAGAACTAAAACTTCAGACTCACGTATTCCTCCCTTCCATCACAGCAGGAGTGAATTTGCACACGGGCCCCTGCCCTGTGCTCCGGGGAGCATTGTGGCAGCCCCAGGTGATGTAAAAAGTTGGGGTGCACACACGTCATGAAACACGGGCACCTGGCTCAGTAAGCACCGCCGGCCACTCTCGCCTGGCTCATCCTGGCGTAGGAGAGGGAAACTATTCGGGTGAGAACTGGGTGGCTCTCCCAAGCCCTGGGCATCCCGGGGAGAGGGCTTCCCTCTGGACACAGGCCAGCCCCAGGCTACACCGGGCACAGGGGCTCCTCCCTGTTTGTGATTATGGGATCTAACTGCTAAAACGGATCAGTCACACGGTTAAGAATGAAAACCGCAGCCTCTGTTCCCGGCTCTGCGTCCGGTGACCCTCGGAGGCGGCTCCCACTGCTCTGGGAGCAGGAAGCCGGGATCGCCGCCATGGTTCTCACGCAGGCTCCGTGACTCCCGAGGCCGGGAGGGACCGGGGTGGAGACAGCACCCCGATCTGCCTGTCCAGGCCTCGCAGCAGCCCCCCCACCCCAACGTGACCCATTGTCTCTGGCCGGGCAGTTCTCTGCTCCAGGTCCAGCCCTGCCCCTCCCCCCAGGCTGGCTTTCTGGGCGGGGAGGGGAGGAGGGGAGGGGAGGGCAGCAGCGGACGCTTGGCTGTGGCTTGGCTGCGAGGTTAATTTCTTGTTTAGATAAAAGCTGGGTCCTGAGCCACGCAGGGCCCATCTTGGCTGGCGGACAAGTTGGCAGCCGGTGGATAAACATTAAGCCAATACCTTGAATAGGGCAGGGCGGCCTGGTCAGATTTCAAACCTTGGTTTGCTCATCTGGCAAAGCCTCAGACATCTACCCCAACCCACTCAGCTCGGAGGGCCGCCGCCCATCACTCCTGTCTGGCCGCTGCCTGGGCAACCTCTGGGCCCGGGCCCCACAGTGAGAAGCCTACAGAACCCCCTAAGACCAGACCACCCAGAAACCACCCCAGGGTCTGGAATCCCTCTCCCTCTTTCCTGCTGTCACTCCCTTCCCTTCCCTTCCCCCTTCTCTCCTCCTCCTCACCCCCTCTCCCGGACTGGGCCATCCTCTGGGCCCCCCCAAGCTCTCTAGGTTTTATCGTCCTAATTATTTCTGTCACAGCCAATTAGAGGCACTTCCACCCCGAGGAGTTTCTCTGAAATGAAATTACCATCCCTCTCTCTGGGGCCACCTTGACGGTCGGCGGGTGATTCCCATGCGCACACGTGATACTCACTATTGTGCTCCGGGTTTTGCTATCGAAAAAGGAGTCCTTGTCAGACAGGTCAAATCTGTTGGAATAATAAGACACAGTTCGCTGGAGTCTGAGAACCACGCTGTCCCCGTGAGCATTAGCTGTGGAACTGGCAGAACTGTCCACGGCCCAGGAGTGACCAGACCCCGGGCATTAGGAGCAGTTTATCCTCCCTCCCCTCTCAAAGAGGCTGGGAGACCCCTCAGGGGTGGGAAGTGGCCCCAGAGGCAAGTGTGCTCAGACACCACCACGGAAGACCCTACTTCTGTTAGGGGCAGAAACAGAATATTGGGACCAGCTGCAATTATCTTATATAATGAAGAGGTAGCATGCAAATTGACCATCACACCATCACAAGATGGCTGCCTACGAACAAGTCGGCAGGAGGGTAAGTGAGGGATGACCAAATGACTGAACAGCAGGTTGCATGGGGTTACCAGGCCATTGGGGGGCAGGGGAGGGGGCGGGGGCCTGTGAGGGGTGACCAGGCCAACACAGGGGGCAGTTAGGGGTGATGAAGCTGGCAGGCAGGTGAGCGATGAGGAGCCAGCGGGATGGGGCCTAAACCAGCAGTCAGACATCTCTGAGGGGGTCCCAGATTGGAGAGAGTGCAGGCTGGGCTGAGGGGACCCCCCCATCCCGGGCACGAATTTAGTGCACCGGGCCTCTCGTAAGAAATATACATCGTGCTCTGTTAACCAGGATGGTTCTGTTCTGATTAGAGAGAGCACATTCTAACCTGCCGGGGAGGTGTATGCCCTGAGACATGGGAGCTACCATCAGAATGCAGTCCGTCCTCCTTTCCAAAGAACTGCCTATCAGCATGGGACGATATACAACCTCGAGGCCGAAATAATCTAGTCCCAGAGGCACCAGCCCTTTGCAAGCCCCCCCAGCCCTTATTGCCTGTAACTATTGTATTATCCCTTGCCAACTTCCCCAGGCCTGTGATTCTTACTTTCCCACGTAACCTTTGTCCTTCTACCCTATAGAAGCAGTTGGCTTATGGGGTCGGGGGGAGAGCAGATTTTTGTGAATGACCTGCTGCTCTCCCATCCCACCGGGATTATGGGAATAAACGCTCATACCATAGGATTCAACCCTGCCTCTCAAGTAGTGAGAGGCAGCCTGGACCCCTTGGTGATCTAATCATATGGTGTTGGTGGGCAGTTGTGGTCTCTGCCTCAACATGACTGGGGGCAGGGATGGCATCATTCCACCAGCGTGCTTTCTGGATGTAAGACAATCTCCCTGCAACTCCCAAATGGGGTTTGGTGCTGAGGCCTCGGGCCACCTTGAGGTTGGCTAACACTTCTGAGTGCACAGGGACATCGATGGGGTAGGTGACCCACTCCGCAAGGCAGGGCTGAGAGAGCAGCTGCGGGGAGCCTGGGCTGGCAGGCTGCGAGGGAGCCGGCCGGGGCAGGGTGAGGGAGGCCGGGGCCAGGGGTCCTGGTCTGCCTCCAAAGCCCTGGAGCTCGGCCTGGGAGCTGGTGGAAGAAGCTGGGCTGGGCCACTGTTTCTTGTTCCTTGTCCTGGGGAACTAGGCCGAGCGGGGCGCGGGACCTCTGGGCTGTGACTGACGCATTTGCATTTGCCAGGCTGAAGCCCCAGTTCTGAGCCGAGGCACAGGGCTCCGTGCCAGTGAGAGCGGGGGTGTCTGGGAGCCCCTCCCTCGGCTCATCATCGAAGTCCCACTGTGTTCCCAGAGCCCAGGCTTCTTATTCCTACCACTGCCCGCACTCCGGCGCTGCCCACGGGGGCCGTGCAGCCACCGCCGACCCAGGTGGCTACGCCCCACTGCCCTTGGGGCAGACACTGCACTGCCAGGGGCCTTGGGACTGCAGCTGGGGCCGCTTTTCGGTTCCTGCCTCCCAGCTCCCGGGCAGGCGCATCCTAAGAAGGGCAAGAGGGATGGAGCCGGGCAGGAGGGAGGGTGCCCAGACCACTGCTTTGGGGCTGTGATCCGGGGTCCCCACCTGCCCTTCCTGTGCCCTCGCCAGTGTCCCTGTCAGGCTGGAAAGTTCTTTGCCCCCTTAGTTCCACAGTGAACAGTGACCTTCGGGTAAGGTGACCAGACGTCACCTTACCTTGGGGAGTATTTTTAGGGCCCCAACAACTCCAAGGGCCAAGAGAAGAGGCACCAGGGGCTGCCACCCCCACTTCTTTGGGGGAGTTGGCCCCACAACCTGCATTTCTCACGTTACAGGGAGGTCACCCCCCATCCCCCCCGGGGAGGGGCTGGTCCTACTCACAGGTGCTGCTTCTCCCTAGAGAAGGGGTAGGAGAGTCGCTTCATGGTCTGGGGTCGGCGCTCCACCACGCGGGGCTGGATGGGGTCCGTGATCTTCCGGAGCACCGAGCTGATCTTCTTCAGGAAGCCTCGCGTCTCGCCGATGTGATACAGCTGGGGCGAGACGGGGCGGAGATCCATCATCTGCCGAGCCCAGAGCCAGGGGTCTATTTCCACCCCCCTGAGGCGGCCCCTCCGGGGAATGCACGCCAGGACCCGCCAGGGTGCCCCTCTCCACGGGGGGGTTCCAGACACATCTGGGAAGCCCACGGTTTCGGGCGAGACCGGCCCGAAAGAGCAATTGCAATCCATTTCAGAAACTTCCCCGGACTTCACTTTTGTCTCAAAAGGGGTGGATTTGAGACGCCTGGAGGACTTACTCCCCCCGCACCACCGTTTCTCCCTGTCCTCGCCCAGGAACCGCACCTGCCCCCCCTCCCGACTCCCCCCCCATCCCCCCAATGCCAGCTGAGCTTCAGGAGCATCCCGTCATGCCCTCCGCCCTCCGCACTCCTCCCTCTGCCCTCCCCCCTCCCCCCTCTGCCCTCCCCCCTCCGCCCTCCGCCCTCCGCAGGGTCTGAGCTGCACCGTTTTCAGAGATTAAAAAGGAAAACCCCAGCCAGCCAGGAAATGCAACTAAGATGAGCCCGATGCGCTAGCTGAGACACGGTGAGCGAGAAACCCGTGCGCGGGGAGTTCGACTGCATCCATCGCACAGCACCGGCCACGGCTCCCTGCCCGAGCCACCGCCCGGGGGCGGGCTGCACGGAGCCTCCCGCCAGCCTCTGGCCGCGGAGTCTGTGGGGGCCTCTGGCCGGAGACCCGCCTCTGAGCAGACACGTCCCCACTAACCTTCTTGGTCGGCATCTTCAGTTTCAGAAACTCCGCCTCCCGGCACAGCACGTTCCAGGGCGCGTGGATCTTCACAAACCCGACGCCGTGGATTTTGGTCTGGAAGGGGAGAGGCGTCCTCCGTCGGTGCGGGCAGACACGGGTGGAAGCCGTTCTGGCATCCGGACCCAGTGACGGCTTGTCAGGGGCTGCCACGCGGGACCTTTCTCCGTCACCCCTTGTGCCCCTCTTGGCAGGGTGCTGAGTCCCCTCCTTGCAGGTGGCGCACGCAGGGAGCTCTGCAGGCTGGGCCTCAGGAGGGCCTGGATGGAAGGTCCAGGCTCCAAACACCCGGGGTGGGGGGAGCCGCAGCCCCCAGGGCGGCCCGGCCATACCACACAGAGGCCCCTTCACAGCACAGAGCCAGCCCAGGGCGGTGCTCCCTCTGAGAGCTCCAGGGGAGGGTCCTTCCTGCCTCCCCCAGCTTTGAGGGCTCCAGGTGTCCCTGGGCTTGTTGACCTCATCACCCCATCTCTGTCTTCACAGGCCCCCCCCCCCCCGCCCCTATGTGTCTCTGCTTCAAACCCTCTCCTTTCTCTTCTAAGGACACCTGTCATGGGGCTGGGGCCCACCCTACATCCAGAGGATGCTGTCCAAAGACCCTTCACTGCGTACATATTTGCAAAGACCCTGCTTCCAAACAAAGGCACAGCCACAGGTTCCAGAGGACACGGCTGCACGCGTCACAAAGATACCGCCTGAGCCCCCCGGGGCCGTGGAGCGCCACCATCAGGGAAGTTGCAGAGAAGCATGGGCCGGAAGCTGGGGCGGGGGCTGCTTCACGGACACAGCCAGAACCAGGGCGCTCAGGCGCAGGACCCTCCCGATGGGCAAGGCTCAGAGGTGTGCCAGCCGGGAGCCTGGAGCCCTGACACAGTGGCCCAGGGCTGGGGTCTCAGGTCAGGTGGACAGCGGGCAGGGCCACGGGACTTAGAGGCCTTGGGATCAGGTGGCCTGGGTGGGAGTCCTACCCCGCCCTTCAGGGTCTCCAGCAAGTCAGCCAACCTCTCTGAGCCCCCGTGTGCCCATCTGCAAATCTGGGCAGCACAGGATTGCGTCTCAGTCAGGGGAGGCCCTAGTGCCCAGCCCTCCCCCCCCGCCGGCTGGCAGGAGAGGCCAGAGAAAGAGGGGCTGTGGCCCCTGCTCCGGACTCCCTCTCATTGGCCGAGAGGCAGCCGAGGCCATGCCTGCTCTGCGGCCTCCTTTGCCAAGAAGCTGAAGGCAGCTTCCCAGCCCGGGAGCCCCGGGAGGGCACCGAGGGGCTGGCCCTGGTGAGCCGTGGGCACGCCCGCGCAGGGAGAGATGACCGTGGATGCCCACGTGCGGCTCAGCCCATCTCCTCCCGCTACAGATCGAGTTTATTTCTGGGCTCTGCTCATCCGCACGCAGGCCCAAAATACACCCTCCCGGCCCGAGGAGAGCTCTTGAGGTGGTCCGGGAGCTGGTGCACTCCTGGGAAACACGCTTCTTTGTTTATGTCTCTCCCAGGGAAACATCTGGCGGGCTTGGGAAAGGGGTCATGGGACCAGCTCGGCAGCAGCACACGCGGGATGTTTTAAAACACGGTGCCCAGCCTGCCCGCAGCCCACTCCAGGGGGGAGACACTGTGAGACGCGGGGTCCCCTTTGCCAACAGCCAGAGGCCCCAGAGCAGTGAGACCCGTCCCGACTCGGGCAACCTGGTGCTGGGGTGTGTGTGGGGGGGAGTGTGGGTTTGGAGGCCACCGATTGGCCAGGGCCAGAGCTGTGGACCGGGGGCTCCCTGAGGAGACAGAGTCCGGGACCCGATTGGACTCCCCAATTTAATTAAAATACTGGCAAGGGACGCTCGCGTATACCCAGGTGTGAGCCCTGGGTCTTGGGTTCTGAAAGGGTTAGATGGATGATGAATCAGAAAGGTTCTGCCAAGGACAGGAAACTACTAAAACCCGACACAGCCAACTTGGAAATGAACCCGAGAGAACTTCCAGAAACAGACTGTCACAAAGAGAATTAAACACTCAACAGACATGTTTGGGAAAATACCCAACCAAAGAAAGGAAGACAGACACGCAGGGGAGAGCAGGTTGACGCTGGTAGCCTGGCTCTGCAGAGAGCAAAAACAACCCCTGGCCCTGATCTCTGGTTGCAGCATCTGCCCATTTCTGTGGTGTAAAGACTCCCATTGTGGCCTCCTGCCGTGGTTGGCAAACTCATTAGACAAAAAGCCAAACATCTACCAACAATACGACGATTGAAATTTCCTTTGAGAGCCCCATTTTTTTAAATTTAAACTTCTTCTAATGCCACTTCTTCAAAATAGACTCGCCCAGGCCGTGGTATTTTGTGGAAGAGCCACACTCAAGGGGCCAAAGAGCCGCATGTGGCTCGCGAGCCGCAGTTTGTCCGCCACGGGCCTAGTGCAAGCTACCAAGGGGTTAGCAACCGGCTGGCAGGTTCCCAACGAGCCAGAAAGAGCTGACTCTGGCACTCCAGGGCCTGAGACCCATGAGGATGTCGGAGCGGCAGCCAGAATGGCACAGATTTCACCACAACCCGTCTGGGACCTGGGCGGGGCTGTGCAACCATCTCTGAAGGCTTCTAAAGACGTGGCTTTAAAAAGGATGTCCAGCCTAAACCGGTTTGGCTCAGTGGTAGAGCATTGGTCTGCGGACTGAAAGGTCCCGGGTTCAATTCCGGTCAAGGGCATGTACCTTGGTTGTGGGCACACACCCGGTAGGGAGGGAGGGAGTGTGAAAGAGGCAGCTGGTCGATGTTACTCTCTCATCGACGTTTCTAGCTCTCTATCTCTCTCCCTTCCTCTCTGTAAAAAAATCAATAAAATATATTAATAAATAAGTAAATAAATAAATAAAAAGGATTTCCAGCATACGCTTTAGAGATAGGCCAAAGGAACTTGGGGGTGGTGGGGTGGTGAGAGGAGTAAATGTCTCAGCAGGAGACTCAAAAGACATAAAACCTTCAGTGCCAGAGAAATGAAGGCATAGTGGTGGAAGTATGAATGAGAAATGACTGCTTCAGGACAGGACTGGCAATCTGGGACGCAGGCCCTGTGGGCTCAGTTTCTGTGGTTCACCTCTCAGAGCCTCCGACCCTTCCTTTCCGTCTGTAAAGGGGTCAGTTCCCGGACCACCTCCTCACGGCGGGGTTAGGGTTTGCTTCCAAATGGACAAGTCCCCCCAACATGTGGGCCACTCATTTGTTCTGAGGTATCGAGATGCTGGGATTAGACCTCAAGCTCCTCCAAGTTGAAAACACACCCCCCTCCACCCCTAATGCCATGGGGGCCGAGGAGGAGTCTCGAGGAGGGGCTGCCCTCACTCCCGCCTATGCTGAGGGCCCAGCTGGTCATCACGGTCAGCCAAGCCCCAGAACCACCCGGGACACCTGCCCATGCCCTCCAGGCTTCAGCTGGGAACTGCAGGAGACACGTCCCCTTCCTATGGCCCTGACCGTGGCAGACCAACCCGCCCCTGCCCTCTCAGCTGGCGGTGTCTCCATCCTCAGGGAGACCCTTCCCCCAAGATTTGCCTTCTGGTTCCCGACAGGCGGAAAGAAAGGCAGGAGCTGAAAGCCCCTGTGACCATGAGCAGGGCACCTGTGCCCGGGGAGGGGGCAAGGAGTGTTCACTCTCTCAGTCCACTCCCTGAGGAAGGAAGTACCATCATCTCCATTTCACAGATTGGAAAACTGAGGTCCTGGAGGGGAAGGAAGCCCCTTGCCCGAGACCGATCAGCCAGGAAGTGGCCGGGGTGGTCTGAGCCCACATCTTTGCCAGCCCACGATGCATCCCGGGCCCGAAGCTTGGCCTGGAAGCTGCCTCCGTTCTCCCTCACTTGTTTCTCCGAAGGAGCATGCCCAGTAAGGAGGATGGGACACAGCTGCCGCTGAGGGACCCCCACGGGCTCCCCGGGAGGAACCCGGGCCAGACAGCCCGGCGCACGGCTGATCCCCGGACGGCAGTGCGAGGGAGGACGGACTTCCCAGGGCTCTGAGGTCCGCGGCCCTCGCGGTGCTGCCAGAGCCAAGGTCAGGTTCAGCGTCTGGGCAGTGCGGGCCTCGGCGCCCGGCACACACACACGGCGGACAACAGCGTGTGGCCTTCCCGGCGATGACCGCGGACATAAATCACGTCCGGCGGGCTCTGAGGCCGGACTGGAGAGATGCCGATGGGTTCCAGTTGAGGGGAACCACGCTGGCCACCAACGGCTCTCGTCCACTTAATGGGATCCTGGATGCCGACCCCTCTGCTGGCGGACGGAGGGATAGAGGGCCCGCTCCCTCAGAAGGCAGGCGGGGCCTCCCGCCTCCCCGATGCTTTTCCTTCCCGTCGTTTCCTATCACGGGTGCTGGGGGCTCTGACCTCGGGTGCCCACATGGGATCGGGGCCGTGGACTCTGGGGCCCTTCTCTGAGGGTGCCTCAGCCGGCACGCCCCTCATGCCTCCGAGTGTGGTCGGCACAGCGGCCTCCCCACACCCTGGGAGCTGGTTGGAAACTCAGTCCCGTTCCCACCCCACACCTGCTGCCCCAGAGCCGCATTCTGACAGGACCACGGGGGGATTCTGTGCATATGCTGGGCCCTGACACCACGGCTGGACCGATCCCAGACCATCTGCCCTGCTCTGCCCCCAACCAGGACCGCACCTCCCTCGCGCACTCACTGCTCGTACCCCTGTGTGAGCCACCCACTCCTGGGGCCGCTACTCCAGGGCACGGTCTCAGCTGCTGTGCTGGTGAATGGCGTCTCCATAAAGGGCCGCCCGTGTCCTAACCCCCCATGTCTGTGACTGAATGGGATCCTGTTTGGAAGGAGGGTCTTTGCAAATGCAACCCAGTCAAGAGGAAGCCATACTGGGTTAGGGTGGGCCCTCAACGCCAGGGCCAGTGACCTTATAAGAAGGTCGCACAGAGGCAGTCTGAAGACAGGGGCAGAGACTGAAGTGTTGCAGCCACCGCCAAGGGAGGCCTGGAGCCCAGGAGCTGGAAGAGGGAGGAAGGAGCCTCCCCTGGGGCCTTGGGAGGGAATGGGGCCTTTCCCACACCTCGACCACAGACCCCTGGCCTCCTGAACTGGGAGAGAATAAATTTGCATTGTTTTGAGCCCCCCAGTTTGTTATGGCGGCCCCAAGAGAATAACCATTTTGTGTCCCTAAGAACTGGCCCTCACTTTGCCCCGAGCCAGGCAGGTCTTCCTCGTCCTTAAGGATGTCTTTACCTCAACCCCCGCCCCCCGCCCCCGACTCACGGAAAAGGCAAGCACGGAGGGGTCCTGTCCACGCAGGGCTCACAGCCCACCCGCTCAGGAGCCGCACAGCACAGCATGCCCGCTGGCCCCTCAGGGAGCAAAGGCAGATCACGCCTGTGCTGCTGGTGACCTCCATGGGACCGCCTGGACACGGCCAGGGGAGACTGGGCTCATGGGGGCTGCCGTCGCACCCACGAGGCCTTTTTCTCTGTCCCGTTTCTTGTCCCCACCGTCCCCGAGCCTTTTGGGGAGGAAAGGGGCCACACGCTGACCTAACAAGCTCAGGGGAGGCCTGCATGGCCGGTCTTGCAAACTCAGAGACCTAAAGTCACCACAAGGGATGGTCTGAAATGAAACTTTCACTAAAAGCAGTGATGGTGGGTAGTCACCTCCTAGGCTGGTATCTTCCCTGACAAGGTCAACCTTTACCTTACCCGAGCCTATTTGTCTTTTTGCATCTATAATAACACACTCTGGGCACCGGGACAGAGACCACAAATTCCTTCACTGTTATGTTACTTGTTCCTGCCCCCACCTACGTATGTGCTTATCGTTTTACTTTTGATCCAATTCCAAGGGCCCGCCCCCCCCACCTCTCGCCTCTCTAGTCCATCACCAATGGATTCCATGTAACCCACCTATGTTCCTCCTTTGACGGCCATGTATAAATTCAGATGTAACCGCCATTCTCCAGAGCATCATCTCACTTCCCTGAGGTTCTGCTTTCCAGCATATGTCGACAGTTTGGCTCAAATAAACTCACAAATTTTTTTTTACCGGTTTGAATATCTTGTGTGTGTGTGTGTGTGTGTGTGTGTGTGTTTATGTTAACACTTTAAAGCAGAGCCTCTCCATATTAGACCCAGGGACAGTTAGCAACGTCTGGGGACATTTGGGGCTGCGTGACTTGGGGGTGCTACCGGCCAGAGATGCTGCTCAATATGAGCCGCCAGCAGCTCCGAGGGAGAGAAACCTGCTCCATGCGACAGTCCCTTCTCTTGGGGTGTTGCCGAGTAGTTGAGGATCCAATGGGTTCCATGGACTCCCCACCCCCATCTCCCCCTCCAAAAAAAAGTTTACAAAAGCACCAAATTGTGCTTCACATTGGGTACGACTGCACGTCCGGGTCTTTCAGAGGCTCCTGTGTTCCCCAAACTACAAAGCCCCCAGCCCTTGTCCTCGGAGCGCACAGGGGGACTGGTTCCTGGGTCTCTCCCCCCAGAAACAAACTGCAGCGGCTGCCTGCTAATCGCCCTGGCAGGGGCGCGCACACACCTCACAGGCTGTCTGAGCCCCAGCGGCCTTTGAATAGATCCTGGTCCCGCCTGTCTCGGGAGAGCTGGCGAGGGCACCAGAGGGGGGCTTTCCCCAGCCATCTTGGGCCTGACGGTCTCGGGTGGGAGCTGCACGTGACAGCGGCCCTTGTTCGCCGTGGAGAGACTCCACCGGGAGACGGTCCGCACTCAGCGTCAGCTGCTTGGGAAACTCCAACCGTCTCTATACTTCCACCGCATTTTCCTGTTAAAATGGCCCGATGGTAGGGGAGGGTGGGGGGAAAGGGGGAGAGATCAACCAAAAGGACTTTTATGCATGCATAGAAGCCTAACCAGTGGTCATGGACAACAGGGGGGTGGGGGCATATGTGGGGAGGGGTTTGGGATGGGAATGGGGGGAGGGGGAGGATGAGGACAATTATGTGATACCATAATCAATAAAGAAATTTTAAAAATAAAATAAAATGGCCCGATGGGTGGCCGAAAGGCCGCTTTGGGCCACAGAGCCAAATTATCAATGGCATTTTGGGGCCCCTTATTGGGGAAACTAGATCTTTTATTGGTGACAGTCTTTAGGTTGGCTTGTCACAAAGTTATTGGAAAAGACACGGCTCTTTTCTCTCCTCCTTCTCGGGCGCTGCTGTTCCCACTTCCCAGGAACAGTGATGAAGCATTATTAGCGTTCAGTATGAATTTGTCACGTGCCAGACTTGGAGTTAAGCACTGTGCACTTTGCTCACGACAGACAGCCCAGTGATATAAAAACTAGGCGTATCTCCATGTGGCCCATGGGGAAACTGAGGCCTACGCCGTTGAACAGAGGACAGGGAGAAGGTCTGGGAGCGGGCCAGGGTCAGCGTGAATCACCAGACCTCGTGGGCCCTTTCAAGCGTGAGATTTCACAGCTGTAGTGAGGAGAGAAGGGCAGCGACAGCAACCCCCTGGGTACACTATACCGACTGGCACACCCCACACTGAGCCCAAGACCCCGGCTCTGCCCGCCCGGTCCGGCGGGAGGAGCGTTCGTGGAAGTCGGCTCTACATAGTAGCAGTATTGTCTCCACCCATGGCTGTGGGGCTGGCCAGGCAGAACGACGCAAAAGGTCATCAAAAAATGACAGCTCTCTTTCAGCGGCCCCAGCTCAGGCCTAAGGCAAAGTGAACCACAAAACTCGGAAGGGCCAGCGCACACCTGTCTGCAGCTGCTGCCCAAGGTCACAGCCACCGTCAGGACCAAATCTTGTGTCACCAAAGCACTCTGAGGCCCCTCACACACCCTCGCGACTCCAACATCCCTGCAGCGGGAGCCACCCACACCCGCAGGCAGCCCCACCTCCGAAGGTGAACGTGACCCAGAAGGTGCTCCCTGCCAAACACTCAAACCCACGCCTGGTCAGGGCGGAAAGAGGTCAGTGGGAACAGACCTCACACCACGGGCTCCCCAACCGAATCCCAAAAGCTTGCTTATCCCCGGACCCAAAGTATCCGCTATTGATCATGGTTCTCATCGATGGACTAGCAAATCGATACCAGCTTTGATCGTGAACGCTCACAGGTGGCTGTCAGCGTCCTCAGTGAACCGGCTCAGGCACGACTGGTTCTGTTCGCAGCGTGCGGTGCCCACTTCTGCCGATTCTCCGTTACCCCTGGCAGGCCCCGTGCTCAGGGCGGTTAAGGGGGTGACGGGGGAGCACGGGCAAACCCAGGGCCGCTAAGGGCCCTTTTCCCACACACACTGCTGTGCCTCTCACCGCCAGGGCGGCCCTGCTTGCCAGGTGAGCTCCCTGTTTGCTCTCCCCCGAATCGTTTTCTGAGAGCGGTTCTCTCTCAGGCCTTGCCGGGGAGCGGGGCTCCAGGAAAGTGTCAGAGTTGCGGGATTTCAGAGCACCAGGCCTTCGGGGCTCAGTCAGGCGGACCTCCCAACTTGGAGAAGCTAAGCCTCTGAGGAGGGCCATGGCCAACCACCAGGAAGACTCCTGGGAGAGTGCCATCCTCTGGCCCTCGACCGGGGCACATCTTCCAGGGAAGGAACTGACAAGAGCAGGAAAGGCCTCCACACCAAAGGCCATCGCTGGAACGTCAGTCCTACCCCAGAGCAGACGTGGCCTGGAGGGGGTGGTTTGGGACTCCCCGAAGCCACTGGAAGCCATTTCTACCCAACCTGAACCAGAGAGGCATTCCCATTCGCCTTCCCTAAGCACGGGTTTAAAGCTAAGAGGACAGCATAACCATGACTGCTTGACTCATGTTCGATTCGTATATTTCCAGTAGGACATAATCTCACTCATCTGGGGGAAATGGTGAACACCATAGACTGATGGACAAAAACAGACCCAGCGATAAGGAGCCATGGGTCAGATGGTTGGACCTCAGGGGGAGGGTGGGGATAAAAGGGAGAGATCCACCAAAGGACTTGTGAGCATACATATGAGCCTAACCAGTGGTCAAGGACAATAGGGGGGTGGGGGCATGAGTGGGGTGGGGTAGGGGATTGGAATGGGGGGTTGAGGACAACTATGTGATACCTTAATCAATAAAGAAAATTTTTTAAAAAATTAAAAAATAAAGCTAAGAGGACCGACACGTCCCCTCCGCCTTCAGGAGAAAGAACTGCACAACCTCCCCACTGAAGCCCCCCCCACCCCGGTCCCCGCTCCACCCTGTCCGCCCAACAGGCCAATAAGAAGAGGAACAGGTACCTCCTCGTCGTGCTCCAGCTCCAGCCCCGCCTCCAGGAGGTTCCCCTCGTACTCCTCCCTGCGGAACCGCTTGTCGTCCTCGTAGAAGTCCATGGGGCTCTCCAGCTCGCGCTTGCCCCCGGGGCTGCCCTTCCCGGGCAGGGGCTGGCCCTGGCGGCCGCCCACCGCGGCGTCGTTCTGCAGGACCCTCCTGGCCAGCGTCTTGCTGCCCGAGCCGCGCTTGTGATGGTACACCAGGACGTAGTCCACCTTGCGCTTGCCATCGCGGAAGTACAGGCCGTACTTGCAGTTGGCGTCAGGGTTCACGGACAGCGAGTTCAGCAGCTGCAGAGGAAGCGGAGGGAACCCCACTCACGGCTGGGCTGTCGCCCTCGGAGGGAACGCGCTTCAAACCGAACCACACAGTCCACCCGCTCCCTCCGTCCACCAGCCACCCAACAACCACCGCAACCGGTTGACAGAAGTAGCCCCTGCCCGCGTTCACGCCGCTGACACGAAGGAGACAGTCTCTGTGAAGACGCCAAGCAGGCCATCGGCCCTCGGATGGCCTCCTGGTCCCGGGAGTCCGAGCGGGCTGGCCCAGAGGGACCCGATGGTTTGCCAAAGGCGACCAGGGTTGACCCCAAAAAGTGTTCCTCACATAGGCTCACGGGCAGGGCAGAGGCCAGGGACTGGGAGGGCTCCTGAGGGCCCTGCCCAGCCTTCAACCCCGTGTGCACACCCAGGGGGCTCCATCCTCCATAGGAGTGGGGACTGGAGGTGCTGCTCCTTTTCAGAGAGGAGCCGTGAGGGCCAGTGGCTGAGCACCAGGCCCTACAGTCAGCCAGACCTGGCTCTCAGTCTGGGCGTGGGCCTCAGTGTCCGATTCTGTAAAACAGGAGGATAATGTGAGCGGTCCCCTGGCGGCCAGGAGGGTTATCTGAGTTACAGAACACCTGGGCTGGGCCCACGCTCCATCCAATTCCCAGGACGGGCGCTGGGGGGCGTCCTGTCACACACACACACCCCCCTCGATCCTGGTGCCATTGGCGGAGGCTCATCCTCCTCAATGATCTCAGAAATGCCAGGGGAGTGCAGAGTCAAAGTGAGCTGGCACACGGTGCCTCTTCTCCCGGAGGAGTGGACAGAAAAGCCAGACCCGAGGGCTGACCAGGAAGCTACCAGCCGGTGCTCAGGGAATGAACTGCCGCCGGGCAGGGCAAGAGCTTGGGACGAGGTCAGTCCACAGTGGACAGCCTGCCTGCTGCTCGGATCCTGGGCATGCCAGACGCCCAGCACTTGCACAAGGTGCTTATTTCTATGAACTTCTCTTTTAGAGCTGAGCCAGGCTTGGCTGTCCATCCTCGTGTCCTGCCCACACCACCATCCCCAGCTTCCTGGGCCCCTGCCCATCCACCCCCTGCCCCCTCCCGGGGCGTACACTGGAGTTAGGACATCCTCATCCCCTTTCACCTGCTGTGCTCCCTACCTGCACACCCTCCCCTCCTCCGTACTTTGTAATTCTACCCAGCTTCCAGGGCATGGGACGAATCCCCGTTCTCCACGCTCTGGGGGTCCCTGACCACTCCAGCCTGTGTAGGTCTCATGTGCCGGGACTGCCTTGGGGCCTTCCACTTAGGAGCTCTTAATGTACAGGGGCCTCTAAAGAGGGTGGCAGGATCCCTGAGGCCTGGCCAGGAACTGCCCCAATGCACTCCCATTCATGACCTGCTACCCACAGGGTGGGCTTGGCACCTTCTGTGGGCCCCTGGCTGGCTAGAATTACTGCTGCTACTCATCAAAGTGGACACACGAACCCTGAGAGAGTGGGAAAGAAATTCAGAGGGACCCATCAAGCCAGAGAGCAGGGACATAAACGTAGGGACAACTCCCCAGGTTCAAGTTCAACACTGGACAACTCTGTCCGCTGAGGCCTGATGGAGGACCCATGAGGCCTGACGGTCTGGGGAGCAAAGAAACATCCCCACACCTCTCAAACCACCTGGGGAGTGGCAGCACAGAGGCGGGCGCCCTCCTGCCTGAGGGCAGAGGCCAGCTCTGCCCCTACTGCTGCCTCATCCCGGGCACATGGCCTCACCTCTCTGTCCTCTGGGTCCTTCTTTGTAAAAGGAGGGCTGGGGGAGTAACAAGACCTCTCTCGTCTGATGCGACTGCCCTCAAAGGGTCGTAGCAAGGATTAAATGTGCCTATATATATATATCATCCACCCAGAATCTACAACAGAAGTTTGCTCTAATTGGGAAGTGAGACACAGCACCAAGAACTAGGAGAGGACCGGGGAAAACAATCTCATGGTCAAAGTGGACCACCCGAGGAAGATGGTGGCAATGCCAAATCTAGATTTAAAAAAAAAGTGATAAAAGAGAGCTGGATGCACCGCCTGGACATGCAGGAGCCAGCACCACGCCCTGGTGTGAGAGTCCCGGATCCCGCCCCCAGACCTGGCCCTGTCGCTGATGTGTGCCTCTGGGCAGTTGCTTTGTCTGTTTGCGTCTTGACTTAACGTTATAAAATGGGACGATCCTACCTGAACAAGGGGTGAGGGGGTAGCCACCTTTCAACAGAGAGCGTGGGCTCTTTTTCTGCTGCACTCAACGTGGGCTGGGAGACCCTCAGGGCCTGGAGAGCAACTCTGAGCTGGGGAGGTGGCCACACTGCGATGGCCACAGAAGCTCACACGGTGGCCATGTGACTACGGGGCCCTTCCACGGAGCAGTGGAGTGGGTGCTCTGGTGGGTAGGACGGGACAGAAAGGCAGACTGAACTTGCAGCGGGAGGATGTGCGTATATTGTATGCACGGCCTCCCATTTCAGGGGCTCCGGGACGTTCTTATCCGTAAGGAAGGGGCGATCCCACAGGGAAACGTGGGTGAACGGGTGGTATGGAACGAGCATGCGTGCAGGAACTAATGACAGAGGCTTGGGTTTTGCACACCATTACTGGTGGGGGGCCCAGGATGAAGGAGACAGAAGCTGAGACCCAACTCATCCATGAGGCGCCTCGGCACTGGGCCTGTGTTCTCATCGGAGAGATGGGGACACAGCATCTCGACAGAGGTTGCAGGATTCTTGTTAGGGCCAAGTGTGATGGGTGGGAGGTTTGAAAGTATTTTGAAGATCAACCCTTGGGATATTGGGGGGGGGGGGGGGAGAGGGGGGGAAGCGCTCCTGGAAGGAGCTTCCCCAAGGAAGATGGAAGAGAAATGGCTCCCTGAGGGTCCACGGGAAGATGTCAGGGGACAGAGGCCCTGTCCCGACTCCACAAACAGGGAGAAGGAAGTCCACACCCAGGCCACACCTGCCTCTTAAGACAAACTCCCTCCCCAAACCCCGAGGAAAGGGCAGAAGAGGGGACTGCAGCCCCGTGTCCACACCTGGGACGCTCCTGGGGCCCATTTATTTGGCTTCGGACCTGGAGTCGGCGCCCAGGAGCGGAATTCCACATTCGTGTGAAACAGCCACAGTCTCAGTGACCATTCCAGGGGAATCTCCCACATTCACTTTTTTTTTTTTTTTTTCCAACGGGAAAATCATTGACCTGCCAAATTTCTTTCGGTTTTCAATTTCAGATCCAAGGGATCCATCCCTCTGAAACTTCATTGTATTCCAAAATTAAAAAAAAAAAAAAAAAAAACCTGAATCACCAGCACGCTACATCCACGTCTGCTGATCAGGCAAATTGTGTAATCTATGAACAGATCGCCTCCGACAGCAGATAAGCAGGGAAGCGCAGTGCACGTCTCTCGGGCAGGCAGGTGCCAGCGTCAGGTGCCTCTGGGGTGTCTGGGCTTGTTGGGCACACAGATGGGGCCACTGACAGCCACCCGCGTGAGGGAAGGACCGGGAAACGCTCACAGGTGAACACAGAGAACAGCTCAGGAAATCAACAGCACCCAGCGCGGCCTCTAGCTTTTGAGCCATTCCTTACATCTCTCTGTACAGACACCACGGAGTGACTGTCACCTTTGGGTCTGGGAGCAAGAGAGGGGAGGCACCCAGTCCTGGGCGGGGAACGGCAGTCTGCACGGGACCGGATGATGGAAATTACGGCCGCACCGCACGTGTAGGGGGGCCCGTCAGGGAACCGAATAGCAGCCCACGCCCTCTGCCCTTTGCATGCACAGAGCCGCTGCCACTGGGTGACTCAAGATAACCACTGAGCAACAATGATTGGCTTCAGCTGTGCCAAGGATGCCCTGGGGCAGTGGTCGGCAACTCATTAGTCAACAGAGCCAAATAGCAACAGGACAACGATCGACATTTCTTTTGAGAGCCAAACGTTTTAAACGTAAACTTCTTTTAACGCCACTTTGTGGAAGAGACACACTCAAGGCGCCAAAGAGTCACATCTGGCTCTCGAGCCGCGGTTTGCCGACCACGGCCCTAGAGATTCTCCCGCCACGCTGCCCCCCGGCTCCCAGACAGGCCCCCGGCTCCCAGAGCTTCGGCCTCCAGTCCTTCTGCGGCCTCCTCTCCTACAGCCAGTGCCCGATTCACAGCCCTAGGCCTCAGTACCCTGCAAAGTAAGAGCCAGGAGTCTCACCTGGGCTTGTCTGCGGGTCTCCAGACTGTGAAGACCTTGAAAGAAGGGCCAGGCTGCCTCTCTGCAGACTTTGTGCCCCTCACTAAGATTTGAGAGAGACAGCTTCTGGATCCAGATAACTGAGGGGGGGGGGGGGGGGAGGGAGCACTCCCTGAAGTAAGACTCCAGAGCCAGGGGCCATCGGAGGTTAAGGGCTCCATTTCTTATTTCAAATTTATTCGGGTCTACCTCTGGACTGTCCGTGTACCTCCATGTCCTCAAATGCCACCATTACCTCATGGCCCTTAACTGGTGTCCTGCGTCCCCACCTCTGGGTCTTCTTAGCTCTCTGTCTGACACAACCCTTATCCCCCCCTCTATCCCTCCCCCCCTTATAGGTATAAGGAGCCCCTTCTCCAGAATGCCCATTCCTCAGACCACCTGCTTTTCTGTCTTGGCCCTTCCTAGCTCTCTCCTCCGAGCTGCTGGGTGACTGGGAACAGCTCATCAGATCCCTCTTGGCCTCGGTTTCCCCATCTGTAGCAACAGCACCCACCCCATATGGTTGCTGTGAGCGTTAAGTGAGCTGCTAGGCAGCGCCTGGCCCAGTGCTAAGGACGTGCCCCTTGCCACTGTCCAGGGTAACATCCGTCACCGCTCCTCAAGGTAGGTGAGGCTTCCCTATGGGGTGCCCGGGACCCAGCACAGCTTGGCACCCAGCAGGCACCCAGCGTTTGCTGAAATGATGACCCTGAAGCTCTCAAGGCCAATGGCATTACCACAGGCAGGCCCCTCTCCATCCACACTTCCCAGGGCTGCCTGCCTGCTCCTCTGGGCAAGCCCAGCGGCAGAGGAGCCTTGAAAGGACTGCCGGGAGCTCAGCGGTGACCCCAGGGGCTGCAAGGCCTTCCAGTCTCTGCCCCGCAGGGCCCCACATGGCAGGTGCCTCCCTGATGCCCGTCTCCAGACCTGAGGGTAAAGCAGGCCAGGGCGATCCTCAGCTTGGTCAGGGCAAAGCCACTGGTCTGGGGCTGTTGGCATCTCCTGGGGAGGAGCTGGGCCCTTGGGCGGGAGGGGAGTCTGCTTGTGCAGAGTGAGCAGCCCCAGGGCTCCCGGGCTGAGGGCATCCATGTCAGACCTTCCCTCCTTAGGCAAATTTTGTTCTAACTCAAGCCAAACCCCTCATGGGCAGACTCTGTCCTCCGGGGATCCCTGTGACTGCCAGGTCTGGACTGGAGAGGGCAGTGGGGGCGGCGGGGACCCCACAGAGGTCCCCAACCACGTGGCCGGCTCAGCGCTAGCCCATGCCTGGGGGCTACCACAGCACTGGGTGCGGGTGCCGGGTGCGAACTGGGTGGAGAGAAACCCCAAAGACTGGAGCCCGCCCGCCCGCCCGCTGCCTGGGGCACGGGGAGTTCCCGTCCCGGCCGCGCGCCCTGGGAACTCGGCGCACCCGGGCAGGTGAGGGAGCCGCTGGCGGGGCGAAGGCCAAAGGGGCTCGGCTGCCCCCGCCAGAGCCGCGGGGCTGCGGGGCCCGGAGGCTGCCCCCGCCCTTCCCCCCCCCCCTCCTCCTCCTCCTCCTCCTCCTCCTCCGGCGAGGTGACTCCCCCACCCCCATCCTGGCTGCCCCAACCAGCACCAACAGGAAGGAAAAGTCCCACCCGGGGCCCCAGTTTGGGGCAAAAGCGACTCCGCACTCGGGGGCCAAAGAGCCGCAGAGCCGGGCGGAGCGAGGGGCGCCGCGCTGCGCGGGCGGGGGCGGCGGGGGCTCCCCGCTCCGGACCCGCAGATCGCAGGCTCCGGGCGCCGGCAGCCACGCCCCACGTGCACGGGTGGGCGTCCCACGCGCACCCGGGGCCCCACGCGGCCCGGCGCGCCTCCCGGTGGGTGCTGCCCGCCCCTGGCTGGCGCGGCGCAGGTGCGCGGCCCTCCCCCGGCCGGCCGGCCGCTCGCGGCGCCCGCACTCACCGTGCCCTCGGACGGCAGGTAGCCGGCCTCCTCGATGGCGCAGATGTTGACGATGTGGACGCTGCGGTCCTCGGCCGGGATGGACGAGTACTTCTCGTGGACCCTCATGTCCGCTGCCGGTGCGCCGGGACCGCCGGGCGGCGCGCCCTGCCCCTCCACGGCCCCGGCGGCCTCTGCAAGCGGACACGGCAGGCAGCGTTCGCGACGGGCGCGCTCCTCGCCTCAAGGGGGCCGGGCCTCCCGCTCCGCCCGCCGCCCGCCGCCCGCCACCCCCGGCGCCGGCGGCTCCGCGCCCCGTGCGCCCACCCGGCCCGGCCGCGCCCGCCCCGCCCCGGCCGCCTTCGCCTAAAGGGAGACAGAAGCGCCCCGCGCCCGCTCCGCGCAGGGGCGGCGGCCGCCGGTCAGATTTTCCGTAGAAACTTAAACACAGGAAGAAAAGTATTGCGTTCCTGCGGCCCCTCCAAGTTTTTTATTTTTATCCGGAGAGAGTGCCCCTTGGACTTTTTTTTTTTTGAGAAGGTGTCCAAGGTTTCCTAGTGGGGAGGGAACTCCCGGCGCCCCCACCTTGAATGAAAAGTCTCCAAAAGTCGCACGCCTGTGCTGCCTGGTGGCCTCGCAGGCAGAGCCGCTTCTCCGGAGAGTGAAGTCAGGAATGAGTGCTCTCTGCCTCTTCCCCCTCCGCTCAGCTGGCGGACTCCTGCCGTCACTCAGTCTCACCTCCTCGGGAGCCTCCTCCGGGGAGCCTCCCCTGCTTTCCGCAGGCCCGCCCTCTGCCCTCCCCAGGCCCTGGCTCCGTGCATATCTCCCCCAGGGTAAAAACGTCTCTCTGGAATCCCCCTGCTGTTACCCGCAGCTCCCGGGTGTGGAATGCTTAGTATTCTGCCATCAGGCATCAGCAGAGGCCATCCTACCGCCCATCTATCTCATTGAATGCCGCAGCCTGGTCCTTGTTTTGCAGAAGGGGTGGGGGGCTTGAAGGCCAGGGAAGGGGGTGGAATTCCTGTCTAGTAGTCTACACTCCTTGCATGACTCTCTACTGACTCCCTGAGGGGGTGTGTGGGGGGAGAGGGGGACAGTGACTTTGTGCTTCCCCCAGGACCGCAGGTGCCCGGCACTCAGCAGGGGCTCCCCAGGACAGCTTTTTAATCCTCTGCCCTCTGCGGTCTCCAGGGGTAGCCACACCCAGTTTAGTTCCCAGGGGCCACACTGGCAGCCCAGCCCAGGGAGAACTGCCTCCCTTCCCCGGCCTCTCCCCATCCTGTCAGGTCTCCAACGAAAGCGCCAGCGCCACCTCCTCTAGGAAGCTGCCCTGGATTGCCCCTTGCGCAAGCACAGACCCAGGAACCTGCACCTCAGCTATGGCACTTCCTCTCTTCACTCCCTTCCCTGGAGGAAAGGCCTTGTGCAGTTGACAATCAATTGCTTGACGAATGGCCTGCAGAAGTGGTTCTACAAGCTGCCCTCCAAGGTCATGGTGTCAACAGCATGCCCCAGTTCCAAGGGTGGATTCTGGAATTGGCCAGGATGGGGTGTGGGGAATGGGGTGAGTCTGGTTCCAGGGTTGGCACTTCCCAGCTCGATGACCTTGCGTGAGCCTCCTTCAACCCCCGAGAGGCTCCGTCTTCTCCTGTGAGCCTGCCTCCGGGGTACACAAAGCTTCAGCTCAGTGCCAGGCGCCGGGGGAGGCTGGGCGTTGGTCGGCATTGTCACTGACTCCCTTTCAGGCTCATCCCTCCCAGTCAGGCTCAAGTTTGTGGGCTTCTTGAGCTTGGAGAGGTGCAGGGAGAGAGGTTATTTTATCCTTGAGCTGGCCTTGCCAATGGGTGCTAAGTGGCCCCAAAGGACCCTTTGTCTGCACCTTGGACAGGGATAACAGGTTTGGAGAAGTGCATAGGGCTGGCCAAGTCCCCGCCGGAAACAGCCCTCCACGCTTTCTGCCTCGCCTAAAAGTTCACGTTTTTTAAAAGCTGGGAAGAATAATAATACACACACACACACACACACACACACACACGGACACGCACGCGCGGTTATGTAACTTCGTTCTCTTATCCTTGTTAGTAAACAACCAAGATTGTGTAATGTCATCTTTCTAAATTTATTTCCAAGTACAAAGGGTCCTGCAGAGAAGTTTACGAGGTGTAATTTGTGACAAAGAGTCCATTTCTGAGTCCTCCATTTTGGGGACATTGGGCATTCCCAGAGTTTGGGAAATGACCCTTGGCTTCTGACCCGAGAGGATGCTGAGCCCTCTTGGGGGCTGCAGACGGGGGGACAATCTCTCAGGCACGGCAGCCCCGCACTTCCTCCGGGCACAGTGGCCCCTAGGGCCCTCCTGGGACTGTGGCGTATGCCTTAGCCAGATGCTCCAGATGTCTGCTTGCTGCGGAGCGTCCTTTCCTGGCCACATTCCTGTAGATGCCCCTGCTCTGTCCCCTCCCCGGTCGCCCCAGGTGGGCAGTGTCTCTGTGCAGGGCTGGTGAGTGGATGGCCAGCAAGGACGTCAGAGGCCTGGGGATTCTTGGATCGTGAGATGTCAAGGACTAACACAAAGTAAAAGTAGGGAGGGGCAACGGGATTCTCTCTGTGGAGACATCTTCCTAGTGAGAGGACTTTGAAGGGCCCTTGCCTGGGCGGTGATTTTGGCTGCCTCACTGGGCCGCCTCCTTGGGATTCTGTCTTTCGTCTGGGTTGCTAATTGCTTACAAACAGGCCCTCTGGATAAACGGTTGCATTTCCTGCGTTTTGGCTCAGTGGTTCTCCGGATTAAAAACCCAAGGGCATCCATCATGGGGACAAGGGACAGCCCCCTTGCAGCAGAACAAGGCCCGGCCAGCACCGGACCCCCCTGCCCAGCAGGTCACGGTCACTCCGGGGCACAGCCTGCATGGCCCTCGGATTCCACTCTTTCAAAGGGAAAGCCGAGGGGGCATTTGGGGGTTGAAAGAATGAAAGGACTTCAGCTGCCCTCAAGGCCCCGAGGACAAGGGACTTCACACACAGAGGCATCTCCAGAAGGGTTAATTCCCGGCTCAGGGATTAGTAAAAAGCAGTCTCATTAGCCCACACGGTACATTTGATGACGGGAAGGTCTAGGCGTCACAGCTCAGCCTGGTCTGTCACCCACCATCAGGTGCTTATGTCTTTGCTAATATAAAACACACACACACACACACACACACACACACACTCCAAAATCACTTTTGTTGATATCAGAGCAAGGAAGGGAGAGGGAGAGAGATAGAAACATCCATGATGAGAGAGAATCACGGATCGGCTGCCTCCTGCAATGCCCCCTTTTAGGGATCAAATGCGCAACCTGCGCATGTGCCCTTGACCGGAATAGAACCCGAGATCCTTCAGTCTGCAGGCCGGCACTCTATCTATCCACTGAGCCAAACCAGCCAGGGCATTTTGCTGACATTTTAATACCTAGGAGTCCAGGCACACAGTGACAAGGGACCCAGGAGAAGGCTGAGTGGGCATCGGGGGAGGTGGCGGCTCCGAAGGGCACCCTTCCAACAGTTTATTTCCACATCAGTGCCACCTCCTTGGCTGCCCACAAGAAGAGGCAGAGAGCAAGGTGTATGCCCGAGTCTGAGCACTCCCCGTCTGCAGCGTAGTGACAAGGTGACTGCCAGGCTCTGCAAAGCAGGGCAGACCAGGCCCTCTGACTCGCCGCGCAGCGGTGCTCTGGGGTTCTTGGACGGGGCTCTCTCTCTTCCAAAATCATGATGGGGGTGAGGTGGGGAGGTGGCTTCTCCACCTGGGCACCGTGGACCTGTGGGCAACACCACCCTCTCCCAAATATCTCCACACATTGTTACTTGTTCCCTGGGGGCCATGGCTCCCATCTGCAGTCTCAGGGAAGATTTTGGAGGTGGGGGGGGGGGCCTGATCGTATCACCCCCATTTCTCAGATGAGAACATGGAGGCCTGGAGAGGTGGTTCCCATGGCAGCCCAGAGACAGGGCACATTCCTCGAATTCAACCCTCGCTCTCACCGAGGGCATGAGAGAGCTCTGAGGTGGCAGGTGTGGTTTCTCCCCACAAAATGCACAGTCACCCCTGGGGCTGCCCCCGGCTGGCTGGCTGGCTGGCTGGTGAGGGGCTGGTTGCTGGGCAGCGGAGGCTGCTCTCCTGGGTCCTAGCCACCCCTGCCCAGGGCAGCTGCCCACTGCAGGTCTCTGTCCTCCGAGGTGCTAAATAAATGCCGTTGACTCACAGACAGCGGGAGGGGAAGGAGCATGGAAGAAGTGAGCCGCTCATGAGTCAGGGCTATTGTGAGCGCCAACGGCCACCCGTGCCACTCCCCGCTGGCTCTGTGCCCCGTTGGAGTGTCCGGTGGGGGCATCACCACACAGGTAGAGGGCCTAAGGCCCTAAAAGGGACTTTGGGTGTAATTATCCCGGGAGAGATGTGCCCGGGGAGGTTATAACGGAGAGATGGTGGGTGGGAGCCGGGGCCACTGTCATTTCCTCCCCTCCATGAGGTCAGAATCCCCAGCAGAGGCCTGCGCGCTGCAGCTGGCCGGGCAGACTCCGCGGGCATGGCAACCGCCGGCCCCACGGTCTGGAGCGCGGCCAAGGCATGCAGCTCTGTCTGGGGGATTTCCCCCCGCAGAACCCACGGCTGTTGTTTCCACCCCAGGGCTCTCCGAGGCCTTGCCTTCTGAGAACAATTCCTCGGGACTCCGAAAACATGCCCGGGTGGGTCAGCGTGCGGCCAGCTCAGACCCGCCGCCTCCTCCCGGAAGCCTTTCTGGTCCAGCTCACTCGCATTACTCATGTCAGTTCCGCTGGCCCCGCTCCCGGCCCCGTCCGGGCGCTCCGGCTCGTTGCTGCCCCATCACTTCACATCTGCTGCGTTATTCCGCCCTCTCCACTCTCGCCACCCCACAGACGTCCCATGAGTGCTCACTTAGCTAACGGGCCGTGGTGCCATGCCCACCGCGGCCAGCCAGCATCGTGCTAGGCTCTCTGCAGATCCTACCTGGTTCTTAGGTTCTTAGGCTGATCACCACTGTCTGCAAGTGGCTTCCCACAGGTGTCTCCCCCCCGCCCCGGCCACCCCACGGGGTTCCTTTGGCTGAAGTGGGGAGAGGTCTAGACTGAGTGCCCAACAGACCCCTCTGCCCAGGGCGGTGGGAGTTGCAGCACTGATCCCCATGAGGATGGTGCCTTCTCTTAAGAAACCCCATCCATCGTGGGGACAGGGGACAGCCCCCCCCTGCAGCAGAACAAGGCCCGGCCAGCACCGGACCCCCTGCCCGGCAGGTCACGGTCACTCCGGGGCACAGCCCGCATGACCCGCGGATTCCAGGCTTTCAAAGAGAGAGCCGCGGGGGCATTTGGGGGTTGAAAGAATGAAAGGACTTCAGCTGCCCTCAAGGCCTGGAGGACAAGGGACTTCACACAGAGGCATCTCCTCCCCCTGAGCTCAACCCTGCTGGCCTTCGTCCAAGGAGTGCTGTCCCCCAGGTCCTGTGGAGCCTCTGAATGATACGGCCCACATCCTCCTGGCTGAAGGCCCCTGGAGGCCTCAGGCTCTGAACCAGGAAGAAACTTGGACCCTGACCGTGCCTGACAGCCCTTGCATCCTCCGTGTGTGTGCATGCGTGTGTGCATGTGTGCGTGTGTGTGCACGTGTGAGCGCCCCGCACCTGCATTATTGCTTCCCTGGGCTCAGTGGCCATGTGCAGCC